TCAAAGTGCGTGGATCTGCCATCAAGATTTTCAACAGGTAGGAGAGTATATCTATTTACAAAGTTCTTTGGCACAGTCTGGCGAGGAGTCGCAGCTGGCCTTCTTAAAAACCCTGGAGCAAGTTAGCTCGTTCTTCTTCCGGCATTGCTTCTAACATTGCTCGGAGATCGAATTTTGGTTTTTGTGGTGTTTGTCCGTTCAGATGGTCTCTGGCTCTATGGCCCTTCTCTCCGCACTTGAAGCAGCGTCCTTCAGTTTGGAACTTCTGCTTGTCTACTTCCATCTCTTTTCCGGCCCCGGTATATAGTGTACCCGTGCCGTCTTTCTTCGCTTCCACCGTCTCGGTCTTCTTCTCCGAAGCACCCTTCTCTTGGTATCTTCCATTGGGTCCCCGGTTCCCTGTACCGGAGCTGCCGTTGGTTGATCCTTTCAACATCCGCTCATTCTCTACTTGGTCTCGCCACAATTGGTCGTTTGTGACGATCCTCGTCTTCCACTCTGTATATGTCGTGGGAACGTTTCCACTATAAATGATCTGTTTTATGAGTGGACCATTTATGTTATTCCTGATTAGTGTGATCAGGAATTGTTCGTTCCGTTTGACATCGTAGCCGGCCCGTCTTCTCAACTCTTCGAATTTTACAAAGAACTCTTGGGCCGTTAGAGTTCCTTGTTTCTTGTATATGATTTCGTATCTCGCTCTCTCTTCTTTGTGTGTATCCGCGAAATGGTCTTTGAGGGTCCTCTCAAAGTGAGCCCAGCTCTCTAAGAGGGTGATTTCTCCTGCATCCGACCTTTCCTCTGCGATCTTCCTCCTCTCTACCCACTCTGTTCTCAGGGCCGCTGCTGCCCCTATACTCATATAGGATAAGGCGAAGCTTATCCGGTTCCTTTCTCGGGAGAAGTATGCTGAGTTTGCATTAAAATGGAGTTCTAATGACTCCGAGAAGCTTCAAAACTTCTTTTTGTCTCCGTCATAAGGTTCCGGCTTTGCTAATGCCGTTTTCCTAAACTCTGCTTCTTGTGCGCGTGGCAGGCCCATTCCTGAAGGCTGCCTCCTTTCGCTCTCTGCGAGCCTTCTGCGCAAGTCTCTTACTTCTTCGTCTTTTGATGAGAATCTCTCTTCCCATAATTCGTTGTTGTCTGCGATCGCGTTGTTGACCGCCGCTAGGATAATGTTCTGCAGGTTCTGCATTTGCTGCTGGTTGGTTGCCGGCGATGGTGCGCGCGGCTGAATATGTGGTAATGCGTCCCGCAAATCTGACATGTCGGTGCTCTCGGCCATGTCTGGGTTCTCTCGATATGTGTCGTAAGACATTCAGGGATGATGTGGGGGATGGTGATAGGAATGATAGGGTTGGAGTGATTCGTTCTTGTTTTATAATTGGCCCGGGAAAGGGCAGAATCGGGATCTGGTAGGAATATAGTGGTGCAAAGGGCATTCAAAAAAGGTTCCCCAGATGACAAGTCTGGATCAACACTTCTTTAATGAAGATCCCTTTCTCTGTCTTTCCTTCTGCTTATGGGTTCCTCTTCTGTCCCCACTAAGCGTGTACGTAAACTATCTATTTATAGTACCAGTGTTCTAATAGTATCGTAATCGAGGTCCGAACGGTTGTCTCGATGATGGCCCGCGTTAACCGCTGTCAGCCCTCTTCCTACTGGCGGAGGCAAGTGCCCGGCCCGGTAAGAAGTATAAAGAAGTTTTTGTAGCTAATAGAACCTTAGCGACTCCACGTCACTAAGTTCTCTAAGTACGGGATTGTGGGGGCGGATGATGGGAGATAGAGGGATAGTTTCGAAAGATGAGTTAGATGGTGATGATTGGATGAAGGTGATTATAGTGGATGGGCGAGTGATAGGGGATGTGATTTGAGAGAGGGGTGTGGTGAGGCGAATGTATAGTTTGAGTAGAACGAAGAATAGGATGATGATGACGGGGGTTAGGATGATGATTAGGATAGCCTTTGTTTCTGTCATCAACTAGGTGCTCTTTACAAGCTTTTGATTATATAACGACTGAGTTGCGCTACTGGAAGAAACCAGGCAACTCAACGTCAATCTCTAGCAAGTAGTTGAACAGGTGTATAAAGACGAAATCAAAAGCTAAGGTATGTACATCGTTGAGTGTCTACTTATATATGTAAGAACTCATGTCAGCCATGAGGCGCTGACTGATAGACATGAGGATGTATCGTGTTTAGCTTGGTAAGATGATTTGTAAGTGATCATGTGACTTAGGGTCACATGATGAGATAAGAAGATAAGATAAGGAAGGCTACGTGATAAGATAAGGAGAAATGAGTGTTTCTACGTCAGAGTTTGAGATGAAAGGTGAAATTTTAGGTGTAGGAGAAGAGGATCGTGACAACTGGCATTTGAGCCAGGACAGGCATTTGAGCCAATGAGCCATAGCACATGTGTTTTTTGTGTGATCACCAGCCACGCAGCTCAAGCATGTTAAGAATACATGTGTATTGCTATTGTAATGTGAAAATCAAAGGAATGTGTGATTTCTTGTGCTATAGACGAGGATAAAGCTCAACTTTAAGAGTAAATAATGTGTACAGTGGATAAAATTTAGCATTGTGCCCCAAAAACTATGTAAAGTAGTGCTATAGTATCACATACACATTTATAGTGTGATTTAAAGCCTTTTTGAGCTCGAGAGCATTGTGCCAGTGCAATGCCGGTGATGAGTGTCAACCAAGACTGCTAATCTGAGTGAGATATACCTTAATAGGAAGGAGCAGAGTCGCAGTGCACTAGTGGTGGGATACTCAATTTGCTATATTTGGTGCTGGCTCAAATGCCCGGAAACCTGATTTCATTGTGTCAACCTAGGTTCTTGAATTGTGCATGCAGTTGCCAAATGATGTTTATAATTTATTCATACAAATGTCTATACAGGTATCTCAGATAGGAGATGCAGCTAAATGGATGAAAATTGCAAGGGAATGGGGCCTGGAATGTGCAAGTATTTTGACTGGCTCAAATGCCGGTCCTACACTGTAACCTGCCGCTGTCCGTCGGAGATCGAAATTTATTGAATACACTGAATACACTGAGGTCCGCGTCTATGTACCGCAATTTGTCAATGGGTCCTTATGTACACGTATTTATAGTTTGGGTCGAAACTCATCGGCAAGGTTGACCTCCATCCTCGTCCAATGCTTTCCCGTCGTCGCAAGCGTGAAGATGAAGAGAGGGCGAAAAGAGCCGAAGATCAAGCAAAGTTCGAGGAACGTGCGATGAAAGCATTCGGCGCACCTATGTCAACCATCCCTGGTACCATCAAACCAGGTGAATTGTGGTGGTGTAAGCATTATCAATGGTTGGAAGGTGCCGGGTATCTGCTTCGCCCTCGATACTCTCCAGGCTGGGTCCCTTCATGGCAAGGCACCAAAAAGGATTGGATGGACTGTGAAGATAGTCGTGGACCTCTGGTACATTATAATTTCTATCACGTGTTCTCCAACATGACTTGTTTTCAGATACAGCACATATTGGACGCAACTCGCATATCCGACGGAGTGTTTGTGACTTTGAAGTTGATAAAAAAGTCTAGGCATCCCTATGAGATTGAAATCGGCCAACTTTTCTCATCAGAGCCGGTTGCGTCTGATCCTGCCAACCACTGTGTACCAATCTACGACGTCCTCCATGTCCCAAACGATGAAGACCAGGCTATCATAGTCATGCCCTTATTGCGACCGTTCACCAATCCACGTTTCGATACTTGCGGCGAAGTAGTCGAATGCTTTCATCAGCTTTTTGCGGTAAAGAGCTTGCTGACATCTTGATGATACCTCTGAAAACAATTCATTCACTGCCAGGGCCTGCAATTTATCCATAAGCAACACGTCGCACATCGGTATTTGAAGTTCGTCGCTTATAATTTCTACCACTGATTGTTTATTTAGCGACTGTATGGCTCTGAACATTATGATGGATGCTACAAGTCTGTTCATTGATCCGTATCACCCTCAAGACATTGTGATGAGACGCGATTACAAAGGGGAAGCTAGATGTCTCACTCGCACTCAAAGTCCACCTAAATATTTTTTCATCGACTTTGGTATATCTCGGCGTTATGATGCTAATAATTTCGCGCCTCTGGAGAGTCCCATATGGGGGGGGGATAAGTCTGTACCAGAGTTTCAAAACTCGGATGAGCCACGTAACCCCTTCCCAACTGACGTCTACTATCTTGGTAATATGATTAGGTATAAATTTTTGTTGGTGAGTAAACGTCCAAACTATCAAATTAGGGTTGAATGTACATCGTTCCCATATACAGACAAATAATGGATTCGAGTTCATGGAACCCCTGGTGAACGACATGATACAGGATGACCCGGCAAAGCGGCCTACTATGGATGAAGTCGTTCCGCGTTTTGACCAGATTCTCAAGCAGATCAGCAGCTGGAAATTACGGTCACGCGTCATCGGCAAGGAGGATGGCCATATCACAGGCCTTTATCTTGGTGTCACTCATTGGACCCGTCGCATCGGTTATATCATCAGGAGAGTGCCGGCGATACCAACGCCTTGAAACCCTTACGTTCTTTACCATTATACCTGCTACATCTACTTATGGATCTATCCGAGGAACTGGATTCCTGGCCTCTGTGTAGTGTACTTTATGTGACCAGGAGTCGCAGCTACACATGAATGTGTTATTGAATGCATTCGAATTTGCTCTGAACATATCTCCACTCAGGTCGGTCAAAAGACTCTGAAACTGATAAGGACCGATTTCAATGGTTTGAACGAATGGATATCAGCTGGTAAGTAATCTGAATTTACAATAGCGGCAGGCTGCATGTCGGTTTTTGCGATGTCTGCTTCTTGCTTTATACTAGGATGTAGATTTCGCCGTCAAGTCAGAAGAAATGTACAGCTCGAGGTCTGCTCAATTCTGATTTATCTGGCTATTTTACTAAACGATTGCTTAAGACCTGCATGGATAATGGGTTTCCAGTCCTTTTCGTGTAGTGATATCAATGACCTATGTCTTCAGGCGCAGGGTTGTGCCCTAACTCGAAATACAGTTGACATTCTAATAATGTATGACGCTGGTCCGGCCTGCTGTTCATACATTATCAGATCGTAGCGGCACCCAAGTCGCCAGTCCCCGACTCTGACTGAAGTACAGTGCAGGATTTAATAATAGCAACAAAATTGTATCATCGCTGCAGTCCAATGATGCAGTCAAATGATGAAAACAGTCTGGAAGATAATTAGAAATAATTTCAAAAACATGCTGTGGATAAGGGTTGAATATAAGGAAGATATGAGTTTGAAATATGTCTTAATAAATGCTTAGGATCAATGATAATGCAATTCAGAGTGGATCCTTGGATATTTTTATAAATGAGACAGTAGTACAATGGTTTTACTAAAAATTCCAGACTCAAAACTGTGAGGACAGGCAAATGATATTAGGGATTATATTTTAAAATTTTGCTCCATATTTTCCTTAGATATAAATGGTATATTTTTACAAAAAAATCACTGTAAGATCATACTGCAAGTCTAGCTAATATAAGTCGATCCCCACAGTGTATAGACCATTTCTGTTACGATAACACAATTTTTGGACCTTTAATTTTCATTCTCCTCTTTAACCTTTTTTTTCTGTAGTTTTCACACACTGTGCCATGCGGCACTTTCCCTTTTGTTCAAACTCCTCTTTCTCATGCTGCACTGCCTTCCTTCTTATTTTAGCTACAAGTATCTCACGCAGTGGAGCTGGTCACATGGGCTGTGCCCTCTGACATCATCAGCCACTGCTTTTATCAACTGTACAATACATAAGTACAAACACTCTGTATTAGTGTATATACCCCAATAGATCCAGGAGACTCCTCGGCGAGTCCTCCTGTTGTATACCCACAACTAACTCGGTCCTACCTAAGGGGTAACCACTCCCTCATCACTACCTTTATAGTTGGTTCTAGCTGTGTGCCAGAGTAACTAACTCTTGGTTGTTACATTAGGACTTGCTCTTTCTACTCTCTTGCACTTTGTGCAAACCCGGTCCCCAGGGTTAAGGGGTTATTGTTTAGGGATATCCCGCATAGCAAAAGGGTGCGCTCCTAGCAACGGCCGCGTAGTGCTTTGGGAGAAAGGACAATTTGACAAAACCGGATAAACCCGGTCTCTGCCAAAGCAGCCATTGTTCTCCATGGAGCATAGCCACCACTCCATGGAGTAACCATTGTTCTCCTAGGAGCACAATTGTACTCCTAGGAGTCATTATACTGTAGTGAGTAGCACCTCCGACTATAAGTAGTAGGGGGTTTAGTATAGGAATACCTCAGTCGTTTCTATAGCCTCTTGGGCAGCAGCTGAGGTATGTTACATTACATTTATTAGAGATCACCTTAAACTAACATCTATTGTAGTTTCACTTAGTTTTATTAAGGCAGACACCTCAGATCTTCTCGTGAAGTCTGAGGTGAGACACTTTTATGTTAAACTTATGAGTCCTTAGCTTATACTTCATTTCCAGTCTATTATATTGCTGGATCAATTACACCAATCTCATCATTTTCCCCTGGAAAGATCCCAGAATGCAGGGCAAGGTTTTCTGGATGAACTTGAAAGTGAACACTGTCAGACAGTCCAATAGTGATATCAGGGTCAGGGGCTGAGACTGAGACTGAAGACACATTCAGCTCTATTGCAGTGGCTCTAGTGAGATAAAAAGTACCCACAGTGTTCGAATAGTTTGATGGTCATCTCAGATTTGATGTCACTTGAGGTCAGGCATGCGGGCTAAATATTGGAAAACCAAGATGAGGGGCTACACATCCAGTTTCTTACTGTAATAAACAGTAATTCAAGGCACTAATTACACACTAGCTGATAGCCCCTTTTCACCATTCAATATACCGACTCGGCACCCCCTGACTCCGAGTCATTGAGGGGCTAGCCTGGGCATGTTGGAGAATTGTTAGTATTAGAGCAAGAAATGATATTTGGTGATTCGGGACTCACGAGCGCAATTAATCATCCATAGTGTCTACAGCGAAGAGCTAAATTTAATCTTAGATATATGACTTGCCACTGATACCTCCCATCGCTCAATTCGATTAATGCACCAGCTACATTCGCTTAACTTGCTCTTCGACGACGCGACAAATTCACTAAAGCGCAAAACATTGTCAGGTTGTCCAATGAATTTCTTGATGAAGGTGGGATAAAACTCGTTCCAAAGTGCGCAAGACGGTAATCCCCCACGATGAAGGACTGTCGGCTCAGTAACATCTCTAAGAATGGGCATGATTTTATCACGATAAACCATCTGTTGTTGTAGGGTAGATAGTACATTCGATAACTGAGCGCATAGTGACAACAGGAAGTTATACATACCCATGCCGCAAAAAGCTGCAAATTCAGTGTTTGCTGGCCTTGCTGCAGTGAACATCCGAGGGATTTTGGGGCAGCTACATCGCATACATCTTGATAGCCATGTCGTCCTGCATACAGCAGAACCTTTATCGGACCTTCATCCACCCTGGCCCTGATAAAATATCACTTTAGCCTAAGCGATGCATACGATCTGGAGGATTTTTGTGTGGCCCACGTCATATGTACTTTACATATTTCCAGAGCAGAATACACTTGATATTTCTCTGCCGTATTTGCAAGAGAGTCCAAAAGTGAGAACTGGAGACCGGAGAGGCTTGGTTGTCGTTGCGGATACATATATTGGAAGAGGAGTTCCAAGACCTCGGAGCTCTCTGAAAGATCGACAATTTCATCTCTAGTGCTCATTTCGGAAAAATCCCAGAATGCATGGCAAGATTTTTTCGATGAACTTGAAAGAGAACACGATCAGATGATCTGATAGTGATGTCAGAGTCAGGAGCAGAGACTGAATTATAATTTTAGCTCTATAACAGCGACCCTAGTGAAACGAAAAATACTCACAACGTTCACATACTTTGACAGTCATCTCAGGTTCAGTGCCAATTGAGGTCATGGGGGGTGGGGGCCACGCTACACTGACAGTCTCTCAATAAATAGTAATCGAAGGCGCTAAACTCTGACAACTTGCTGTAACAAGATAGGCGCTAGCCTGATTTCTTACATAAATGTTTCTTGGATGCATTAATTCAACAAAAATCGAGTCACGGATAAAGCGTCTACAGTGTTATCAAAGAACTGATTTTCGGGACCCTGGAGAGATTAGCTTGTATTGTAGCTTCCCATTGCCCAGCTCGCTGAAGGCACCAGTGACAGTCACTCAACCTCAGCTTCCAATGTCCAATAATCCGAGCGTAATCAAAGACCTGTGCAGGACGTCCCGCAAAAGCCGAGATGGAATGTGCATAAAACTCATCCCAAGCACTGCATGTTTTCTTCCCTCCACGGTGCATAACTATGCCGGGGGAACGATGAAGAGCGCTCATTACACTGTCCCGGTAAATCATCTGCCATGAATTTTTTAAAGTTAATTTGGTTACCCGGTGTTAAACAATGGAGAGCTCTACTTACCCAAGCTACCAGGCATGACATATCCAAGCATTCGCGGGCTTCAGATAATGATGCATTTAGAGATTTGGGGGCAGCGGCGTCGCAAACATCATGATAACCGTGCTTCACTGCATATTTAATCACTTTCAAAGGTGACATACCAGCGTTGGCTCTGATGGAAACATCTCCATTAGACATCTCGAAATCGATACTTCGAAGAAAACTCACTTCATGTGCATTCTACATACTTCGATGCCAGGAAAGACCCGATATTTTTCCACTGCATTAGCCAAAGATTCCAAGACAGAAAATGAGGTCTCGGAGAGTTTCGGTTGTGCCTGTCTGTACATAAATTGGAAGAGGAGCTCCAGCACGGCAGAGCTCTCATCTAAGTCCACATCATCTTTTGCCTCCAGCTCCTCTCCGGGAAAGATCTCTGAATGCATTGTGAGATTTTTTCGGTGAACTCGAAAAAGAACACCATCAGATGATCGGATAGTAATATCAGAATCACTGGCAGAAACTAAAGTTGTAGCCTTAGCTATATAGTACTACGTCTGGAGGAAGGATAATGATACTCACAACGTTCACAAATTTTGACCTCTGAGGCCGTATTGGGATCAATATTGGTTTGAACTGGGTCGATATCCATGTATGCGTACACACTGGGGGAAAAAGATGGACGCACTTGCTCAACGAAGACATTTTCTGAAGAGATAGTAGAGGGCGCTAATCGTTGACTGTAGTTGCTCGTATATGGAAGCCACAGACTGTAACCATTAGTCGTTGCTGTGACCTACTTAAGACGTGTACATCCGACTACAAGGTCGACAGGGGTCTGGAATACTACTCAGAGATCAGTTCAAGAAAACGACAAATTATTGATCTTTGCTAACCTGACTTGGAAGACCGCAAGATACTGGTCCGAATACCACCTGAATCGAATTGGTCTTGGTCCTCGGGAACGTTTAAACAAGCGCTAACGTGGTCCGTTTATAACCAGCTTCTCAGATAATTCTGCTGATCAGTATCAATTCAATAGATAAACGTCTACAAAAACAAACAAAACATTTCTATTTGAGATCCACCATTGTTGGAACACCGTCGAATCTCCGTCAAATGTATCACTCATAAATTTCAATGGAACTCACGTCATATGCGCCCTACTTGCCCTCGTGACAGGAACTCTAGCACACGAAGAACACTCACAACGCTCACATACTAGGGCTAGGGCCGTATCAACCTCGATATCGTCTTGAACCGCTTTCATGAATCTGTGCAAAACCTAGAGCAGTAAAGGGGGCACACAACGCATGCACTTTATGGTCGGGATAATGTAAAGCGCTAATTTGAAATTCGTTGAAAAGCGCTGTTCATGCATAGAAACCCCAGAATAAGGCGCCCATATCTAAGGCGGATATAGATTAAATTCAACACCTATTATGCAGACATGAGCAACGGTTGCATTAACCCTAGAAGTATGACAAATTGCTCACCTTTGTGGGCCCTTGTCCATCTCAGCCCCAGAACCGCAAAATGCTGCCATTAGCATACCAAACAGAAGATATTATTTTCGTCATCAGCTGCTCAGCCACCCTTAAAATTCCTTAATTGCAGCCAGGCCGTGAACCATTACACACCATTAAGGCACACATAAGCTTACCTTCCGGGATACTCATTTGGATTTAGGATGTAGGCAACATCATTATAGGAAACAACAATATCGATTACTGGGGCGTATAGTGAGCGCACTGGTGAAAAATCCGATTACGAAGCTCGAAGAACAAAATGCTTATCAAAAAAAGCAAGTAAATCAGAGAATAAAAACTACAGCGATACTTTAATAAAGAAACATAGCTGTGCATAAGATCCAAACGCTAGCTCACTCCTTAGATATATGAATGAATAATTCGGGCGGTGCAGTTCTCAAGGTTTCCAAGTGGGCCTTGATTTTGCTGCCCCATTTCTCTTGCCAATAGTGCCGTGAGAACGCTTATCATCGAAGTCTTCGAAGCATTTAACGAGATCCTTTACACTTGCACCACTACTTGTGCGGGGTCGCGGTCTGGACGTAGACTGGTCGGAGGGATTGGATGGTAGTGGATGAAGTTGAACCATGCGTCGTGGCTCAGCAACACGAGGTATAGATGATTTTTGAATAGATGGCGGATGCTGTAGTTGGACCAGCTCCTTCGGATGTTTGGGCCGGTTGATAGGGGGACGTGCGGGGGTGGAGATGGGCTTTCGTGGCTTTTCAAAAAGTTCTGGAGGAGGGAGAGGGAGTCCAGGACGAGCTGACGATGTGTCTTTTGGTAACTTCGCCGACGAATCCTTGGAAAGTGTGGGCAGGTAAGAGAATAGGAAGCCCTTCATGCGTTTTCCAACGCTCGGTGCAGGCTGCTTCAAACGAGGAACTTTTGAAGATGCAGCCTCAGCTCGTGGCTGTTCTCGGGGTTCAGTGACCCTCTTCGCGGGAACAACTTGCTCGTCAACCACTCCTCCCTCAATCGCCTTGGCTTGATCTAGGAGATAGCTGTACTGAGGTGCAACAATTGGCTTAGCAGGCTTTAAACCAGTAAGTGTAATGGAATCAAAGGGATTGGCAGAAAGAGGTGGAGGTAGCTTGGGCTTGGACGTGATACGGCGGCTGAGTGGCGTAAAATCAGGTACTTCTGATATCTCTCTTGAGGAAGATGATCGCCTATAGTCAGGTGTCGGTGGAGCAACGTTACCGGATCGCTGTTTACGTTGCAAGGCCTTGACTCTTCTTAGAAGGTTATCACTGCCAACAAGGTATTAGCACCTAGTATTCGAATCGACTAAATAATGTGCTTTACCGAGTCCAAAGAGGTCCGAAATTGTCTACTATATCGATACCACCCTTCAGCAAGACGAACCTGTCGACGACGTCTTCAACAACGACTTCATCTACGCCAGAGAGTGATCCTTCATCTTGTCCCAGTTGAGCACCGACTGAAAGGCGCTCTTCTGTGAAGCAAGCATCTAAGTATTTCCAATCTTCTTTAGTCCATTTCCGATTTGAAGGGTCAATAGACTCTGAAACCTCGTTTAATGCAGCATTAATAGAGGAGATTGGCGCCTTATATGATTCAGTTTGCGCGGGCTTGTTTGGAGTAAATTGATGTATAGTGCCTTCAGCTTCCTGCAATAATGCCGGCAACGTGGTTATAGGACTGCCTGGTATGAATACTTTGTCACCGACGACGCCGCCAAAGGTTCTGCGCCGGAGGCGAGTGGATGGAGAATCACTGGATTTTGTGATGCCAGCATCAAAAAGAGTCTTCCGTCTCGTCTTCCGAGATATCGAGGAAAGTGATGAACGCGCGAGCCGCTTGTGCTGAAACGAGTCTTCTGAAAGGCAGTCATAGTCGTGCTAAAGACGATGATTTAGAACAAAAATGGTGTGGATAGAAAGATATCATACTAATTTCAAAATTGCAGCAGCCCGGGCAGCTGCTCGTGGATCAGCGCTGGTGATCCTGACCACATCGCCATCTACTGAATTGTCCTCTCCGTCAGAGGAAGCATCGTCCTCAGCACTATTACCAGCCAATGCAGCCAACTCGTCCTTATTCTGTGGGCTTTGCTCAGAGATACGCCGGGGTGTTACAAGTGTTTCTCGAGCATGAAGTTCTACCGCGGGCTCGAGGGACAATTGACGGTCTATCAACTCTTCTTCTGCTTCCTCCTCATCTTCTGACAAATCGGCACGTGGAACATCTGTCGATTCAGCGGGCGCATCTATAGAATCCAGGGATTCTTCAGGCGTTTCAGTTGCCTCTGTGGAGTCCACACTAACGTCAGGACCTAGTTCAGGTTCTTCAGTGTCAAGGACTTGAGTGGTATCCATGGTTCCAATGATGTCCGACAGGCAAGGTGACAAAGTATGACGAGGCGGCGAGGGATCATATGCGTCGATATCTGCCACAGGACTATGCGACTCTTCGTTGGGAAGGGAGGTCTCCTGCCCATATTCAGGGCTACTGCCACCCATGATTTCGTCTTCACTTATATGAGTCCCTTGAACAGTTTCATCTGCTACTCGGTTCTTGAACATAGTCGGACTAGATAGTGGTGCAAAAGCATCGATCTCGTCATCTTCACTGTCCGCTAGAGGCAGTGAGCTGTCCAAATGTTGGCTGTATGGGAATGGGCTGAGTGGTCTCCCCCATGAATCCATTCTGTCTCGTGTGCCGCTCGTAGGTGGGTCCTCTTTCGTCGGTATCTTCACCATTCTGAATTTCCCAGTATACTCCCCAGACTGGTCAAACCCATCTTCCTCTTCATCTGACTCACTCCATCCACCATCCGAAGGAGGAACTGCAGGCAAGTCATCAAATATGGGAAGTTGCATGTCGGTGTCATCGGTACTGAAATCATCACGTTCTGTTAAAGACAGCCTGGCGGAAAAAGATGGCTGCTCATCGTCCTCATCTTGAGAGTCGTAAGAGGAAGATGCGATGGATGGCGTAAAGCGTGAGCGTACAGGCTTGTGGGGTCCGCGCGTGGGGCCAGAGAGCAGTAAAGGATCGTCTGTGGGAGACGGCGGTGGAACTGGTCTATCTAGATCAAGTTCAGGGGGTTCTGACTTTGGCCTTGTGGACTTACGCCTGCTTGACTTTGGCATCTTTGGCGTGTGATATCCCACCGGTGACAGTGTGATCTCACGCGGTGGTGTGAACCTCTCTGTAGGAGGCTCGTACGGAATTATCGGTGTCGAGGACCTATTTCGGAATGAGATGTGCTTGCGAGTCGGAGAAGGTACTGGGGGGATGTAATCTGCTTGGGGGTTGGTCAAATGAGGCGACTGTATGAGCACATGTTTCGAGGGGCTCTTAGATGCACGTCGGAAAGCAGATTTCATAGAAACCTTTGAAGGGCTTTCATGTAGAGATGCAGGGAAAGAGATGGCGGTAGGTGAATGCATTATCGAGTCAACAGATTGGATTGAGGCGTTACGGAGATGATGCTTCGACTGTTTGCGGGGCTTGGGATTTGGTGTATAGACATTCCCACTTGCTATTATCGTTGAATGAGTAGGATTTCCTTGTAGGTTGGGGATGTCGGTGTCATGTTCGGTTAAAGGTTCACTCGAGTTGATAGTAGACATCAAAACTCCCGATCGCTTGCGCTTTGGCATCTGTGTCGTATCGGGTCGATTAGATGCGAGAAGTGAAGGTGTAAATTCCCGATAGTGCGAATTTTGAGATCCAGCTCTAATATTCGCAACCTGGTGCGGTCAAGCTGCGTGAGCAGGGCTACATTCTATATGAAACCCACGCATTTGCCACTCACCCGGAGAACTTCCTCTGGGGGAGGACTAATCAATGTCCTCGTGGCTTCCAGAAGTTGGCTTGACGGAGGGGTCAAAAGACCTGAAACGAAGCCATCTTCTGTGTCGGTGCTAGCTGCGCGTAAATCCAAGCGTTTGGTGGTATTCTTCCGTGGAGAGGCCTTGAAATGCACAAGATGCGCAGAAGGATCCGTACTATTCCAGTTCTCGCGGTCATCGTCGCTGCCTGGAGGCGAGCCTCTGGCCGAATGCATGGTATTGTCCATCACAGAGGAACGCGGTCTGGTCCAAGCTCCAACAGTTCGAACTGGCGACAACCTCAAGGCAAACCAGTCACGTTACCATGTTTCATTTTCTCACGTGACCTTAGCCGTTGGACGCGTGTCAGTTTCGCGACAGAAATGATTGGGGTATAAAGCACAAGCTCATAAATTTAATCAAACAAGGTGAGAACCGGCTTTACAGTAGATATTTTACATATACATATATTGGATTCAAAACCTATTGACATAGTTATCAACTGTATCCGCCAATATCATTCTGGCAATTCAGGCTGAACAGCAACCATCTTCTCAAACAAACCGTGTTGATCACCCAAACCGTACGTGAACGTCATCTTCTCCAATATTGATGATCCATCGTCAATGTCGATTTCGAGCTGAAAAACGAAACATTAAAAGAGATCGCATGAGGAAATACTCGTTGACTCGTACCATTGAAATGATATCATCTAGGAGGTGTGCTTGACCGACTGTCGAGCCTAAATATCCAGATTGGTTTGCATTTACAATATGTACGTGGAAGTGATCTGAATGTGGATCAGATTGACGGCAAGGTTTGACGGCAAGAAGACGCTTACAGTAGGAAGGTTGATAATGAACGAAAAGCCTTATCCCACCTTCCAATAGGTCCCATTTTTCTCGGACGATTTTCAACGACTCCCGTCTGATACTTTTAAGCATCCCAAGATGATGTTTTCGAAGATCCCTGAGACTACGGATCGCCCTAGACTGTGCGATAGCGACGAGATATAACGCAGAAACAGTCGTCATGTCCCATTTCATGTCCGGCAAAATAATGTAACCGTAATCTGAAGCTTCATCTTTGTATAGAATCCTATCTGCCTCAGACTTGCCGGACAACAGGTCATCAACCCTGGAGGGCTATCGATGAATTACCAAGACAACAGGCACGTTTGAACGTACCATAACGTACGTGAAGGAGGAAAAGACAGAATATAGGGTTTGACGATGCGGTCGTATATTTCTGGAGTTTCGTGAACCATCAATATTTCCTGCTTCGTGTACTATTAAAGAATGTAAGTAAAGCCGTGATAAAAGAACGATGTGAATCAATTACACCAACCTTTCTAATGTGTACTTCAGTGGCAGGGAATATGACGCTGATCTTGACATCGGGGATTTCAGAACGAGTCCCAAACCAGGCAAAAAGCCATGAATACTGGATCACTATTACTTAGTTACTAGGCCTGTGATTATTGCCCGAGGGAAATGCTTGCGATATCGTTGCTCCCAATGAGATTGACATCTTGAACGAGACCTGAGCTGAGGTGTCTCGGAAAATCCGCTGATAAAGGTGTCCTTTCAACTCGTAAAATCGCGGGTAGACGTTGGGGTACGTCTCCGGCTGTTGCGGGGAGCGTCCCCAGCAATGCCAATGAGTGCGATGCGGGATCTGGAAGCCATGTGGGTTAGCATATGGTTTATTGTAACGAGTAAAACAGCTTAGAAGGCAAACACACCCTCGTTCAGCAGACGTTCGAACGCAAACTCCTGGAATGCCTTTGCGTCCATTGTCGTTGTCGCAGTGGTTGCCGAGTATTACAGGCGTGTTACGGTAGGCCGGAGTTCGAACTTCATCTTGCTCTAGAGCGACTTACCGGTGCTCGCCCAAGTATCGAACTGCAGAAATACATACTAATCCTTGTGTTATGTTGCGTATACTGGCCTTATATTTTATTTCACATGGCAAGGAATATGCGGGTTTAATCCCCGAATATCGTTTCACTCCGCTGGGTGTCCGTCCCCGTCCTGAAGATTTCTGCCGATGTGCAGGAGCCTGTACTATGGATCGCGCTTCCTGATGGGACGACAATAGGCAAAGGCATATTATTATCTGCCTTGGGCCTCCCTAATTCCTAGGAATTCACAGGTTTCTTTAGACAGGTTTATTATTCACCTTGTGTTCTCTCGGTATTCCCATTGACGGTTGCCGTCACGAGGTCGCAGTTCGGACATACTATCTAGTTGTACATTCAAAGGTCTCGTGGTCAGAGCTATCCCTGGGAGTCACAAGTGAACTGTTCTACACCGGTCCACCCCGCGGTCCGCTACTATTTCACATATATAAAGCTACACATCCACTCCATGCGACGCCGTCAGCGAGGACACAATGTTTCAGGGACTCAGAAATCGATGCGCTTTAGCGTGCGTGTTCATCGCAGCTGTGGCTGCGCAAACTACGGTCACCGTGAGTGGGACCGCCAGTCATCCCATCCCATCTACCCTCTGTGAGTCGTGACGTCATCCACTGTGCGCAGTGTATATTTAATTGACTGTGATCCAGATGGGCAGATGTTTGAGGCAAGTCTTTAATCCTACGACGAAATGTCTACTGACACCTGTAGTTATTTTGTCGTTTAGGATATCAACGTTAGCTATTCCTTTCATTTCCAGCGTCAATACATCTAATGTTCTCTGGATGACCTGCTACGTCCTTTAGAACGTGAGTTTTTATATATATTTATTATATTTTACGCACGAACATATATGACAGAGTGGCGATGGTGGTGTATACGCCGAGCGCAAGTCATCACCGTTCTGCTTCATTGACCCCATCATAATCATGTTGATCTTGCTTCAGTTTTACAAAATCGCGCCTTTCAGCAAGTGACTGCCAGTAGGTGTTACCGTTATTTGTTTTGCAAGGGTAATTCACCATATCGTAGATACGACTGCTGCGCTGTATGCATGGAGTGCAATCAATAATGCTGCCATCAACGTCATTGCAGATCCCGTGCCTGTCTCTTCAGCACTACCGAACTCTCTTCAGCTCACCATTCCCCAAGGCTCCACTGGGCAAGTTGGTTTCGGCAACGAAGGTTATTGGGGTACGTCACTAAAGTTTCTGCCATGACCTGGTTTTTCGAATTGAAATGTGGACGAATCCAAGGTATCAAGGTAGATGCTGACTGGACTTACAATGCTTCTTTCTATTACAAATTCCCCACAAGCTCGAGTTTTGAAGGAAGCATAACTGTTGGCCTTCAGAGCTCTACTGGACAAATATACGCTTCAGCAGCTGTACCCATCAGTGGATCTCAAACCGCATGGGAACAGGTCGCAGTGTCTTTGAAACCTAGTACTTCTCCAACCTCTACTGCTAACAACTTCACAATTACTGTCGACGGAGTTTCCGCGGCTGGTCAGACGATCGACTTCGCAATGTTATCCCTTTTCCCACCAACATTTAAAAACCGAGCAAATGGCTTGAGAATCGATATTGCAAATGTATGTATCAAGGAGTCCAACCGTTGTTCAGTTCTTTATTGATTATCTGTAGACTCTTTATGAGATGAAACCTTCGTTCTTCCGACTCCCTGGTGGCAACAACCTTGTACGTGACATTATTTTGCTATTTTTGATCACCAGTCCTTACTCCATTCTAGGAGGTATTTCGCATCCCAGTTGTATCACTATGTGGATTCTTAAGACAGTGAACACAGGGACAAACCACTGCTACCAGGTGGCAGTGGAATGCGACCGTAGGCGCTCTCGTAGATCGACCAGGTACGGCAGCATATTATCACTAGTATTAACTCTCTCTAACATGTTGTATAGGTCGAATGGGCGACTGGGGCTATATCAACACAGAGTTAGGAAGTATATTATGTGTTGAACTTATTTGCTAACGATCATTGATTCAGTGGTCTTGGTCTTCTGGAATACATGTATCTGTGTGAAGACTTGGAACTACAGCCTATTATGGCTGTATGGGCAGGTTCGTCTTCACTTTGAAGCAGGATATGTTTCCACGCTTACAACTTTACTTCTCCTAGGTTACTCTCTTGGTGGCACGAGCCTTGCAGAAGATGAACTTTGGCCATATATTCAACAAGCTATTGATCAGGTAAATGGACTTGGTTTCCACCCCCTATCTTCTCAGCTTCAATGATATTTTAGATCAATTTTGTTATTGGTGATCCTTCTGAAAGTGCTGCAGGTCAGTTTATTGTTGCATATATAGACGCATGGTTGAAAAGACTTCATATCAGCGGCTTTAAGAGCATCTCTTGGCCATCCGGAGCCTTTCACGCTAAATTATGTTGAGGTTGGAAATGAGGTATCTCTGATCTATGTCGTGATTACTTCCTCTACTTAGTTTTACTTATAGGATTTCTTTGCATCGACTTCGTATGTTGTTTGACACATAAGATATGAAGAGAATGACTGAACGCACGACTTTCACCAGATACATATACCGATGGAGAGATTTTGCAGGCAACCTGACAGCATTGTTCCCACAGATTAGTAAGTCACGAGCTGAACGCAAGCACAGTGAAACTGAGCGCATCATTAGATTTTATCGCCACCACTTATCCCTTCGATCCTATCATCGAGCCCACTCCAAAGCAGTATGACAACCACGTTTACCAAACACCTAGTCAGTTTTCTGATGCCATGGGCGAGTCAAAACTTACATATGTTGTTTAGCCTGGTTTGCAGAAAACTCTTTTTACTATGACTCGTTTGAGGTATGCAGTGATTTTGCCATATTTTCACACAATGTTTATCTTTCATGTAGCGCAACGGGACATATTACTTCCAGGTGCAGTTCCCTGACATAGTTGAGCTTGCATTATGTTCTCATTTGTTTGCAGGGCGAATATGCAGCAATCTCTACGAATGCCACTAACCTGTATGGTACCGTTTCGGAAGGGCGTCTTATGTATCCTACCATGCAGAGTATGTCGATCCCTTGTTTATTTCAAGAAAAAAGCTGATGTCTTTCATGTCTAGGTTCTTCGGGAGAAGCTGCCTATATGACGGGGTTCGAAAGGAATGCTGATATTGTCTTTGCAGCATCCTATGCACCCCTTTTGATGGTGCGTTTTTTGCGATTGGCACTGGCGAGATAATGCCTTCGACCTTACTGTGTTTTTATTTACAGAATACGGCTGATTACCAATGGGTATGAATAGACTTCTCAATAGCCTTCACGAACACACTAATTGAACTATGTGTAGACGCCAAACCTTGTTTCTTTCGAGTGAGTGCAGTGCATAAATGATGTTATTATGTTAACTTGTTCTGTCTATAGTGCAGCCAATGTTTACCCTTCAACGAGTTACTATGTTCAACAGGTTTGTTCGATGGTTGCTTCCGGGTTAGACTTGTGTACTTATGCGCGCCTCCAGCTCTTTAGCATCAACCGCGGTGACGAATATTTGCCAAGCACTCTTCCCGACGCTAATGGAACTGTATTCTGGAGTGTCACGCGGAATGTAACTGCAGGCGAGGTTTTGATCAAGGTGAGCTCAGTTGGGCAGATTACATGATTGTATCCCAGTGTTGATGTCGACTTCAAGATCGCCAATCCCGTTGGAACTGTCAGTGACCTGACCTTCATCCTACCATACACCAATGTGTCTCCCACCGGGATATCTACGGTCTTGACAGGCCCTGAAACTGCCAGCAATTCGCCTTCGACGCCCGACGCCGTGGTACCTGTAACATCTACCATCACAACAGGGGCGACCTTCAATTATACAGTGCCAGGCTACAGCGTCAGTGTGCTTACAGTAAAAGCAAGCTGATCTTTTTCTATTCACATAAATTGTCGTCTTTTTTATGTACAAAGCGTAAATCAATTGGTGGTTGTGGCACTTACTGTTGGGCAGGGCCGTTGGCGAGTTTCTTGATAATGGAGAACACATGATTGCACATTCCTTTTTACTTTAGATCCTGATTCACAAGACCTAAGGTATTACGTTGCTTTCAGATCTGTAGACAGTGTGGGATACATTCAAGTTGGACAGGCATCATCTTACGCCGTTCATGGTCTCGTTTGCTTTTTTAAGGTCACATTATTGACTCAATAAATTTGACAGGTTTTCATTCTACAAGCCGAGGCTCCACCTCCGCAGTCTATAGGGCACATAATCTATCGCTACTCTTATCGGTGCCATCGTCACCGTTATCATCAAGATAGGAAGGCTTTCACGCAGATCTATGCATGTTCACGCGCCCACGAATGGCTCGTGACCAGTGACCACAATGCCTTTTGTCATGCTTCTCTTCGCATGAATTTATAACAAGGTACCCTCTCTTTCCACTGGCAATTGTCCCTCACTCCAACCATGTCCTCAATCGAAAAGATCAACTCCCCCGAAAACCCAGTTCATCTCCACATCCTGTGTAAGCCTAGCCTGCGTCCACAGCTCTCTGTCAAATGAAGTCTACTGATGCGATGTATGTGGTATAGCACATGCAACCAAAGTCCCAGGCCTTATTTTCTTAAGCGGGCAGACGCCCGTTGGCAAGGATGGTAAGGTCGTAGCAGGAGGAATACAGGAACATACTGTAATGGCTGATCAATATCTTTCGTCATATTCCTTTCGATACTGAGTATTCAACATGATTTTGTAATAGGCCCAATGCTTTACAAACTTGGGGAATGTTCTCACCGCCGCAGGCTCATCCTGGGATAGAGTGGTCAAGGTAAATGTGTACCTTAAAGATATGGACGATTTCTCAGCTATGAATGAGATTTACGAGACAGTCAGTGCCTAGCTCTCTCTCTGTGTCATTGTTATTCTTAACATTCGAGCAGATGCTACCTACTCCAAAACCAGCCCGAACTTGTATTCAAGCAGCAAAATTACCCAACGATGTGGACGTTGAGATTGAAGCCATTGCTGCTACCTAAATACTGCTGTGCGCAATTGACAAAGCGTTCATCAATCAAATGGAAATATCCTCTTGATACAAAAAGATCGGAGATGGAATTGGATATCATAAAAATTTACGCGGTACCCAAAGCTTTCGCAACAACTTCTGTGATATCGGATATCAGTTCCCTACCCACACTGAGGACCCTATAACATCATCACAATCAGTGTAAAGCCGGCCACATCAACCACGAGTACTCACCCTACGAACAAAACAGAAATGCGAAGAAGGAAGAACAAAACGTATGAGACCACCGTCTAGAATTAGATAGTATGTCACGTACTGTCCATAGCAAGTATAGGATGAGGAGCCTTTGCGTAAACCTTGTGAGATACTTCCACCCCGACTTGTTTGAGCTTCTCGCCATACGCGAGACCCTCGTCTTTCAGGATGTCTAATTCCATAACAGCGATCCAAGTTGGAGGACTCTTGGCCAACAATTCGTTTGGTGCAAATATAGGCGAGCTGTCCCACTTAGCCTGATCTTCCGGATTAGGCAGATAGTTGCGGCGGAACCAGAGCATACGCCCAATATTAAGCCACGGCGTGTTAGCATTCTCAAGCCAAGACTTGTACGGTTTACCGGTCTCAGAGGCAGTGTTGTCGGTAACTGGAACGATCAACACTTGAGAGACAAGGGGAATAGGTGGGTTGAGGTCAGCTGCTTTGAGCGAGATAATGGCTGCAAGATTACCACCGCTGCGACGATCTTGTCAGCATGATTTTTCGAGCGATACAAAGATGCCAGAGCATACGCAGAGGATCCACCGACAGAAATCAGATTGCTGTTTACATTTAACTCGGATTTTCCCTTCTCATACACCCATTGGAGAGTTTCCAATGCATCTTCCACAGCAGCAGGGTAAGGTTCCTCAGGGCCTAAGCGATAATCTGACGTCACTACCACACACTTCGCATCTGAATCAATATCAATGGTCAGTCGGATAAGTAACTTGTAGTGACCACGTAAACTACAATACCTCTGCAAACACGTGACACAAATGCATTCTCCGTGTTGATGTTCCCCAGTGTCCAACCACCTATCGCGCAAGGTAATGAATAACGGTATTTCATCGAAAGAAAAACGATCTGAATTTACCGCCATGGTACCAGACAAACACGGGCCAACCCCCTGAAGGGGGCTCCCCTTTGGGGGTAAACGCGCGAATCTTGGATTTACTGAGCGCAAAGTCTGTAACAGCTCCAACCTCGACTACCTCGCGACTTCCTGGTACTGGAGGGCGACTGCGCAAGGATGCATCCCATGGGAGAGTGTGAGGGGGAACGATATGTGCAATGTGGGCGTTGTGGAAGGCGATATATTCTGGATCAAGGCGGGGAATGATGTCTGGGTGAAGAGGTTGAGCGACTTCGGCCATTGTTTCGGTCAGATTTGACCTTGGCTTGAGGGAAGCAGCAGTTATAAGGACGAGCGAAGTAAGGTGTCAGTCCAAAGTGTATGGAATTCGGATTGGCGGGCCGGAATACATGTCAGGATGCTAGTTCACATGACAGTTGTATGTGTACTTTGTGCTTGGCGATAAAGATAGGCACTGAGAGCGGGAATAAAGACCAGGGGTGAATCTGTCTTATCTCTTCCCCATTACATCAATGGCGTTCTCCAGCGTGCAGACCACAACTCCTTTTCAATTCCATGGACCATCTAAAGCAGCCCTAGTGGACGAGTTTGTGGGGAAGCCACTGAACACATTGAGAACACCAGCCATGGTTGTCGATAGAGCGATATTTGCCGACAATTGCGCTAGGATGCACCAGAATGCTCGTGACTGGGGAGCCAACTTCAGGGCGCATCTGAAGACGCACAAGGTACTGGTACTTCGACTACAATCGCCTTGTGCTGAGTCGTAATCATCAGACTACCGAAGGTACAAGACTACAGCTCGTTTCTAATGTTGATAAAACGAGTGCAGTGATAGTCTCGACTCTTATGGAAGCATGGGAGGTCGTTAACGCTGGCCTAGCTGCGGATGGGACAATAAAAGATGTTAGTCCTAGTATGAGGTTGCATGTGAATGATGATTGTATAGCATTACTCACACTATTTTCGGCAGATCTTGTATGGACTCCCTGTTGCCCCAAATAAGATCGAAGACCTCTCTCGCTTACATAAGGAAGTGTCGAAATATGGTGGAGTTGTGCGAATATTCTTGGACCATTTGGATCAAGTGCGCTTCCTCGAGGAATATGAACGAAAGCAAGAAACTCCTAGGAGGTGGTCCGCTTTCATTAAAGTAGACGGCGGCCAAAAGTAAGACTACACTCGTTAAGCAAATAGACCAGAATGTACTCACGCGTACCAGGCGAGCCGGTATACCCCCTGAACCTGCATCATTCAAGGCTTTCATGGATTCTGTTTTTGCTTCACCTGCGGTCTCGGTCTATGGCTTTTACAGTCATGCTGGCGACTCCTACGGATCTGTGTCGCTTGAGCAAGCGACTTCCTACCTTACAGGCGAAGTACGGTTAGCCAATGATGCAGCAGCTCTGGCATTAGAAGTCCTTTCCAATTCCGCAAATAAACACCTGTATGACCAGCCATTTGTGCTTTCGGTAGGGTCCACCCCAGCTGCTCACAGCGCTTCGGCCGAGGCGCGAGCACGATTATCATCGTTATTGCACGGAAAATTAGAGCTGCACGCAGGTGGGGCATGAATGAGTTCACAAATCCTATTACTACTAACCCGAAATGGACATACTAGGCAATTACCCTCTACTCGATCTTCAGCAGCTACATACAACCTTAATTGATCGACGTCGCATTTCCCAACGTGTTCTGGCCACAGTTATTTCATATTACGCTAGTCGAGGCAAGGATGGTTTGGATGAAGCTATGTGTGATGCAGGTGCAATCGCAATGAGTAAAGACACTGGTCCGATTCCGGGCTTTGGAGAAATCATTGGAAAATCGTGGAAACTGGGGAGGATGTCACAGGAACACGGAACCCTGGTTCAGGTTCCCCCCGACCCAACGAACGGCCGAACAGATACGTCGTTGAAAGTAGGTGATATAGTAGAAATTGTGGGTCAGCATGCATGTTTGATTGCAGCTGGTCATCCATGGTACTACATAGTGGATTCTGGTATTGAGGGGGGAAGTGAGAAGGTGGTTGACGTCTGGGTTCCGTGGAAAGGCTGGTGATCACGAGACAGAAGCAAATAAACGGTCGACCACACCGTGACAGAAGGGAAATCGAGGTAATACTTGATCTTCGTAATTTGCATACCATGCAAGTTGAATCAACTCAAAATTTGATACCTTCGGGTTTGAACATCCCATTCGACTGAGCCGCAGTAAAACATATTCGAAAAACAAAGAATGGCGAAATTTTGGGGACACGATTCAGATGTGACATCAGAGATAGATTTGAAGAGGCATTTGCCTCTAGACTGCGGATGCGTATGGTGAGGTTTGAAATGAATAAACGAGGCCCCAGACCAGTATTTGGACTGCAATACAGACGGGTCTGGTGTCGCTTTATGCTGAGGATTCGGCGATTAAGCAACCTAGATTATGATATGAAGATGGTAACTGTTTTCTATTACGTTTAGTTGAAATCAACAGGTTGCACTGGCAGACCATGCTCACTTCCCAGATTTGCAAGTGACGGTGACGGTGACGGTGTTATGGCTGGCGTCACGGCTTTCCGAGAAGTCCCAAGCCCGGATTTACTACTAGTACTGCTGGGGACATTCCTGAGCATTTCTGCAGGTTGTCTCCGCAAAACGAGTACACATACTGTCTGTCAACAGGGAACCCTATCTCTAAGTGCTACGCGTTACAAAAACCTCGGTACAAAACCCTATGGCTCTTTTCCAGAGCTCACTCGTCATAGTCATCGTCTCGCGATCCCCTATAATGATCAGGCCAAGCCTTGCACGGGTCCACATAACGTTCAACCGCCTTGCATCCTCCACAAATCCAATCTCTCCGCTCACGTTACATCTAACGGTAGAGAAGATAACGATGTCGCTTTCTCTCCCCTGGAAAGAATCGATCGTGTGACAAGCGACAGTTGAAGGAAGTAAGCTTTTCAGCATTTCGATTTGTCGTGTATAGGGCGATAAGACCGCAATGGCCAGTTCTTCTTTTTGATCGTGTACCTCAGGCTTGAGCATAGGAATAAGCCTTGCTACTAGCTCGGCCTGTCCTTCGTTCCCTTTTGATGAGCTGCCCATAGTTTCCCCTGTGCTGCATTGAACAAAGACAGTCGGCACTATACTGGCATCTCTGGTTGGCCAAGGGAAAGGCATCTTCTGAAGTATGCCAAGTACTTTTTGGCTGTCTTCGATGTGTGATAAAAGTTTGTCGTTATAGAATTCTTGGGATGGAAATTCTGCAAGTTCTCTTGGGAAACGATACTGAACCTAAATGCAGAGTGAGATGTTCTTCACGAGTTATATGTATATGATCATTACTGACATTCAGCATCGTTTTCACCATGCCAAACTTCGTGTCTCCAGTATACAACCTCTCCAGAAGAGAAACATCATATTCCAACGCCTTCCCCATTGATTTCACTGTAGGCCGCAGTTGTACACTTGAAGTCCGCATATACCCATGTCTTCAAATATGCTCTTTTTACAGTGATGATACACTTACTGATCTCCGACCATGACAGCACGCTGGCAGCCCTTGACCAGCGGTATCAACGCACAAGGTTCTGTGATTTGAGATGCTTCGTCGATAAGAACGATGTCGAAGTCGACCTTGCGCAGTGTCCCTAGCCCTGCTCCAGTGCACGTTGTAAACACAATAACGGCTGCCTCGACCCTTTGCTGGGCTTTTTTGTGGAGTTTGTTGTTCTCGTTTATATCTCCGACTCTAGCATCAATAGTATAACCCTGCAGAGATTTGCTGACTTTTGAGTGGTCTGTAGCCACCCGCAAGATTTGATCATCTGTCAACAAGCACTCGGACTTGTTTACTTTCACAAAACGCTCGAGAACGTTGTCGACGGCTGTACAATAACATAAGTGGTACACTCTACATATATTTAGGTGAAAGCTTTTTACCGTTGTGCGTTGATGCGGTCATTAGAATTTTGTATGCATTGGACTTGCGTAGGATATGGCATAAAATTTGCACGACGACTGTGGTTTTACCGGTTCCTTGAATGACAATGAACACCAGTAACAAATATGCCAATGAAGTCACGTACCTGGTGGACCCCAAATGAGAGAGAGAGGTGCCTCACATGATCGAACAGCCAACACCTGTTGAGAGTTCATTTGCTCGTTGTAAGCTTGTGGAAGTTCGTCAGAACCATCCCCGTCCAGTTGGACCATGGATACGCTTTCTCTGCCTTCGCCGACGATCATCTCATAAACACTGCAGCAGTTCTCTTTTTCTTGACAGAGCCGTAGAAGAGCATCCATCATCGCTTTTGAAGTTGCTGCATATTCACCAAAAGTCATCAGAGACGGAAACGAGGATCAGTGGATGGACTTACCAATGCTTCCTGCATCGAAAACAATCCATTGCATCTCCGAGGTCTCAGGTGGAGGCGGATGCAGAAGATCGATCGACATTTCTCCCTTATCTGCTTTCACCACAAGTCCATCAAGTATAACTTGATCTTGCACTCCATTCTGGGGATCTGAGACGCATTGTAGGCGGACATGAGAGTGTAACCGAATAGGTGTGTTTAAATCTGTGCGGAAATGGGCAGAAACACGAGTGGCATTTTTAGCATCCAAAACCAGCCGAAGGACTGGGTATGCCAGTCGTGCATTGCGGGGACGACCGGCCTCGTTGCAAGGACAAGCATCTTCAGCTTCTTCAGCACAATCAAATGCAACTGCGAGGGCATGTTTATGAACATATGCCATTCCGACTTCTTCTAACCTAGTTAAAGTTCGGCATTCGTGGAGCACTAAGAGAGCTTCTTGTACAAGGCTTTTGGGACGGATGCTAAGAGTCGCAAGCATGAGCAGATCGAGATATTGATCTATAGGGAGCTGATTAAGGCTAGAGGAGATTCTTTCTAGAGCTGCGAGTGTGGCGATTCCTAAACTGTTTGCAGATCGAATGAGACCTCGTGTGATAGCGAAGCATAACTGTGATGTTTCAGAGGACAAAAGCTGAGTATCGCTAGGGGGATATATTTTCAGCAGAACAAAGGCCAGAGGTGGATGTTGTTCTATCCATGAACTGGTACTCTCGCGGCGCAAAGGAAGCGAACTAATCATAATCTCGAAAGTCCAGAAAAGCTCTTCTTCTGCGTGAGTTTGTAGGCAAAATTGCATCAGGGTTTCACGCTGCTCCGGTGTCTTGGCAGCTATTACAGCTTTCGAACTATTAGCAGACTTTTTGCGAAGAAATACTTCCTTGTACCAGGATGGATGAGCCTCCCAGTCAACGTCCTGTAGTGACTTGAGAAGGTGAGACTGTTGGCTGCTGTCGAAACGCCCAATATACACCTCAGTCTGAACGCTATCTCAAATGAGAACCGGGCTTGTTAGTGAACTTCGAAAACCACTCACTGCTCAAAGTAGAGATCGAACAATTGGTGCGCCACACGATCTCGATTCGATATAACATGGATCTCAATTGCTACCACAGGTGTGCGGTTGAGGCGGCCGAGTTGCTGACAAGATTATAACTTAAAATGTGACTTGTGGCTAAGTATTGGACACACATACCTTCTGTACTCGCTGGGAAATCTTCTGGAGAGCAATACTTGCAATTACCCCCTGGCCCGACTGCAGTGGAGGCTGTGTCAAGAATACAAAAGTATCGCTTCTGTTCTTGTTGTACAGTTGCAGGTTGTTGTCGCTACAATGAAGGCGGTATCCCGTCGTGCAAGGACGATAAGTAGACATTACTGAAGACGCGCTTGGCATAAAAGAACAAACGACTACATTGTCGTCAACCTCTGGATCTTCATCCCAAGGAATCTTTCCTCGAATAAAGATGCCAACAGAAAAACGATCATCGGTCTCATAAATTCATAAGAAACAAGACTTGAACTAGTATAGTAGCGAGCTTACCTTCAACACCAACAGTTTCCTGTCGTACTGATCTGAGGCAATATGTAGATACTGGAAAAATGTTGCCAGTGAGTTGAGAGTTGATGAGTACAACCTCTGCATGGACAGTGGCCTATTCAGCTGTCGTTGTTCCAGGTCACGGGAAGACAAGATGTCAGATCGCATCAAGGAATTCCACATGTATTGTTCCTGTTGCTCAGAGAGATCAAGCGTTGTGCTGATAGCATATTTCTGATGGGAAGTAAGAGCACCAAAGTCGAGGTGTGTCAGGTGAGAGCGAATGTCAATGGAGGGATGTTTCCGAGCGAATGAAAGAGCCATACTGAAGACTTCAAACTCGGACAGAGCGGTTTGCGGACTTTGAAGGAGCTGTACTACAAGCGCTTCATCCTCCACTGCAGAACCTATAACATCTAAAATGTGGCTGCGCTGAATAAATTGCTGCTTGAAGTCTTCCGCATCCCGAGCTAATATATCGAGAATAAATTCTTTCTCCGTAGGTGGAGGGGTAAGCAACCTATCGGGAATTTTAATCCTCCCTCCATCGACAGACTGAGAGTGTAGTGCATTGAGCTCCTGGCATTGGACACATAGGGCACCATCAGGACTGCTTCGAACCCACTTCTGATGCAAGGCAGATACTTTTGCAAGGCTCATGCTGATAGCAGTTAGTCAGCAAAAAAATTTATGCAGAAGAGGATATATACTTGTTATAAGAAGCAAAGTAAGTTGCTAGGTCCATCCTAGTTACATCCTTACCCACACGTTCCTTATTCGGTGGATAGTCGTAAGGCTATGAGTTTAATTTTAAAAAATAGATATTGTAGGAGTTATATCATCATTCTGCTACGTACCTCATGTACAAGAGAGGGTACGAGATCTGGATCCCAGCAGACGAAGAATTTGTCACCTGATCAACATATTGAAGAAGGTATCATAAGTCAATAAGATGCAAATACCATCAAGATCACCTCCACTGCTCATTGCTGGGGCAGGCTGGTGTCCTGGCCGTCCTACTGTAGCAAAGACAATGCAATCTAGGAGGTGAGACAGGCTAGGATGATCCACTGCTCGAAGTTTCAAGCAGTCACCTGTCATGTAAGAAAATGATTACTCCGCCAAACACATAGCATATATTCTGATTACCTGGATGAAGACATGGATTTCTGACAACCAAGATATCTCCATTTATTGGTGTAGTCGCTCCTCCTCGGGAAGAAGTGATGCGGATTTGTACTTGACCTTCTTTGAGCACTCCATATGGATCGCATACACCATAGAGCAACCTAGATTTATGTATAATCATCCGAGTTCTTGGCCGGTTGTTCTTCAGAAACTGGGCTACTTCAGCGTTTTGAAGAGCACGGATTTCTTTGGAGACTGCAGGGCTATCCATACCATCTAGAAGAAGTCGCTCCGCAAGCGAATACTTCCCGAGGGACGACAAAAAATCGATTGCTTTGACTGCATCGTGAGAGGCTCCTTCTATCCATTCAAAATATGCTCTTTGTTTTGCCTGAAACTTTTCATCCGATATTCCAAGACTGGAGAGCAGGACAACAATGTCGTTGTTAAGACGCCCAAACGAATATGGCTGTGAATAGCCAACGACAGAGAATGACTTGTCTTCAGTGGTAGAAAACTTTTTCATACTCTTGCGGAATTTTACGAGAAACTTCTTCTCTTCATCTAGTTTTGGATCGAGCATTAGAACACCCTTGTAGCCAAGGTACCTAAAAGGTGTCAGCTCGAATTGTTTCAGGTGTGTCAATCCAACCTGATTTGAAAAACAGTCGGCGTGTAGCGCTGATTTCGGAAAATTATGCTCTTCGCTTTACTGACTTGCACTGCAAATCGCTTGGCCATAAGACCACAACCATCAGAAAAGACAATGTCGCCGACAGTAATGTCATCTATATCAGTAACCCATTTTGGATCGAGCTGAAGATCAACTTCAGCAGCTGAGAAGAGGAGACCAATTCGTTTGGCACCTGATGATTGATCCAAAAGGATTAATAATATAATATGGAAGGTTTTAAACGCACGTTTCGCTATATTCATGATTCTTCCAAAGTCTCCAAGCTTATAAATCCTAGCATCAAGCTCCTCGTCTGAATTTGCTTCGCGAAAAAAACACGTCCTACTGCGCTGTCATTTACCCTTCATTATGTTTGAAGCAAGGAATAACAAATAAACTTACCAGCTGGCTATTACTGTGATGATAGAAGCGATATTGCAAACCATTCAAGAAAAGCCCTGCCTTCATCAAGCGAACGATATACTCGGAGGTAACCTTCAGACTGGACTCTGGGAATCTCAGCTTCTCAAATGAGACAAGGATGAATTTAGATGGATCGTCTCCGTGCACGATACGGTTACCAGGAAAATCTTGCCATTTCAATGTTATAGCATCTGAAGTAAACTGGACAAATTTGCCGATGGTCGTTTGTCTCCGCCTATTGCGACTTGGAGGGACCAGGACTTCAACTGGTAGCGTAAATTTCCAAGACTCTTGGTCTGGACGGGGTGACTTTCGAAGGACGTAGGGCTCCATCAGGGTGCTTCAACGACGGGACTGCGTTCCGTACTGCGGATTGGTTCGAGGATGGTGACTCATGGACCGTGCATGTCTGTTGATCCTATGATTCTAATTCTAACGCCCAAACCAACTTCTCAACATTCCTGGGCGCCTGTTTTAAATGGTAAGTCATGCATACATATATATTAATCCAAGAGTTCCCACCTTCTTTGAACTCGATATGTCCAAGGCCTTATCTCCACTAAACATTTTCATCGTTGGGCCGTCCTGCACAGGAAAGACGACTCTTTGTAATGCACTGTCAAAAAAACTAGGTTTAAACAATGCGCTATTCATTAAAGAGGTGGCACGAAGTGTCATGCGGGAGCAAGGTTATACAAGAGCGGATGTAGGGAATATAGAGATGCAGAAGGCAATCATGACAGCACAACTGGAGAGAGAGGATGGTGCACTCTCAGAGGCGGAAAGATTAGCTGGTCACATCATCCTTAGTGATAGGTCAGGTATTGACCCTATCATCTACGCCACTCTAACTGCTCGAAATGAGAACGAAGGCCAACAGCATAAAAACCAGCTTATGCGTCTACCCATTTTCCAGAAAGCTTTATCCAAGTACAGGCAATCCATCTTCGTACTGCTCGCGCCTGTGGAGGAATGGCTGGTGGATGACGGCGTGCGCAGCCTCGACGATAGCGCTCAGTGCGTTGAGACGTTCAGGAGGACGCTGGATGAATTAGGAATAAAGTACTACGAGATTGGTCGCGAAACAATGGATCTAATAGCGAGGGTTACGGCAATGATGGAAATCGTTGGTACTATGGCACGGCTCTGAGAAGATTTACTAGTAAAGTTAACACTTTATTCAGACGCACCTCGCTATACGATACTTGATATGTGGTACGGCTCTGAGCAGATCTACTAGTAAAGTTAACACTTTATTCAGACGCACCTCGCTATACGATACTTGATATGTGGTATGTTGTACACACATTGCAAACAAAGGAGATTACATGCTCGACCTCAACATACCCGGGCTTCGTGAGAAAACGAAATAGGCTCAGCGGCTTTGACTGCAATCGCGTGAAACTTTTCCATCTTATCAAACTACCAGAATGAACATTTGGTAGCATCCGTTGTATCATAACACCCTCGAGTATTAGATAGACGCCCTTGTGCTTGGCTGCACTATTGTGAATCTCTAGCCGTGAGTCTTAACCGTGTATTCTCAATGTTAGCATTTAGGAAAATTTCTGCGCTTCAGTCACTGAACATTTAGATCTGACTCGGATTTCCTTGGGACCCAGATGTCAACACCAACGATATCCCAACCCTTTATATACCTTCCGCCAACTTCCCATCTACCGCCCATCTCCCGTCTCGCATCGTTTACGGCTACCCAGCTCCTCGATGCGCTAGCCTACCTTCGCCTTTTATACAGTCCCGAAGTCCGAGGATCAAGAAGGAGGCGCAGGGATATTATTCCAAGTCCTCAGTCTCCTTTAACACGAAGCACTACTTTCGACTGCGAATCCGACACCGATCTTCTACGCTCGGATGCTTTCGAGCGTTCATATGCTATCAGATGGCTTACGGCTCTCATTTCAAGACATGAAATATGGGATGCTGAAGATGAGATAGATAAGGATGAAAGCACACACAAAACTCCAACGATGAGTATCACCGATCCATCATCGCTACTTCATGGAGAGGAGTCTCTGTCGAAAGGAATCGAGCAAATATTGCTATCGAAAGGTTAATGCAATATCATTGCCTCTAAATAATAAGCTAATCTTTGTATTTGCTTCATGCAGCTCCTTCATACTTTCCAAATCAAGCGGAAATAGAAAGACTACTTCAAGAAGCTGCCTCTCTTCTGGCTATATGCGCAGGAGCTGCAGCTGCAGGGACGTTCACGCGTACTTTTACTTTTGGTTCTGATCACCCTTCACACGCGACGGTGGATGGTACGTTTCACCCTGGAAAGGTGGAAGTGCGACTAACTGATCTCCCCTTGGAAAACGACGATTACAAAAGTGTGGGAGCACAGACGTGGGGAGGGGCTTGCGTGATGGCTGAGATGATCGCCGAGAAACCAAGTGACTTTGGACTGGTCGCAACATTAGAGAACCACCAAGAAGTATGTCAAGAATGTCAAGGTTCCTGTATGGGACCTTCCACACAAGAGTTCCGCGTCTTGGAACTAGGTGCAGGGACCGGTCTAGTTAGCCTCACTATCGCCAAAGTGATAGAAAATTTACGCAATGTGGCGATGCCTTGCGGCGGGTTTCTTGGACAGAGGAAGAATACTATCATTGCCAGCGATTTTTTCCCGTCCGTTCTGGCCAATCTGCATTCGAATATTCTTACCAATTTTCCCTCTTCTGACAATGATCCTCGAAATTCATCATCCCCAGCGATATCTATAACCAGCCGTTTCCTTGACTGGTCTGAATTTTTCAAGGCCACTTCAAATTCGTGCAACCCTACTGGCTTTGGGTCTGTGCACCAACTAGAAGATATCCTAGACCGCCCCTTCGATCTCATTCTCGGCGCTGACATTATTTACGAATCCCAGCATGCGACATGGATAAAAACATGCGTTGAGACGCTCCTTAGGCGACCAGAACATTATGTAACCTCTAAACATTCCATGGATTTGGCTTCTCAAGTTATGGATGAACCTCTAGAAAGCGGGAAGTACATGAATGCTAATCCCGCTATATTTCACTTGATCATACCTCTTCGTCCGACGCACACGATGGAATCCAACACAATAGAGAAGGTTTTCAGGTTTTCACCATCTTTCGGCATCAACGATAAGAAGATCAACGTATCGTGCCAAAGCACTGCACCATTTCTTAAAACTTCCTCTTCGCCGACCTATATTGCCTCTCCACATGAACCGGAGCTTGTTGTGCTCTCAAAGCAGACATTTTTCTGCGAAGCTAGCACCCGAGAAGTCAGTACCACCAGCGATGAAGTCGAATATGTGTACTACAAAATCGGGTGGGATCAAGAAGATGTTTAGAGGATATTCATGCGGTGCTAGGAATTGACGTTGTTAGACGTGATTTACACCTTGGTATTTGGACTTCGGAGAACATATATGTCACATTTAATTACTGTAGAAACTCGTCGGAACTTAGAGCAAAACAATTTGTCATGGATAATAACATCTTATTCTGCTTCCGCTCTCCTGACTATATACTCACAATGTGCCCCATCTCCTGTTACGTGTGTCCCAACTACCCATGGCGAGGACTTTAGTAGATATTGGCGTTATCGGTTGTCCACACCTCGTTCGACATCGAGTATAACGCCTCTGTGATAGTTCCAGGCGCATAGACAGATTGATATCCCACACGGATTCCAACTGCGGGGTCAACGACAGCCCACAGAAGTCCAGAACCTGGCACAGCGGCACCAATATTTTGCGCCCCAGGTACCCACCCTGTCTGACTCGCGTAAACAGCTTCGATAACTTCGTTCCTTTCGTTTATGTAGTACACGCGGATCTGTCGTGCGGGGTAAAGATAAGTCTCGTGCAAAAGATTGTGCGATGTGTACACGGGGGAATAAAAATAGTCACACCTGCTGAAAGTCATTCCAGGTGGTCACTGCGATGGGCGTGTTGACACGTGGGTTCTCCGCGACGGCGAGAACGTCGTCCTTATATCCAGAGGACAACGGGCCATTCCCAGCTAGTTCGTGGATTCTACCATCCACATTTTGATAGTAGACGCGAGTGGGATTTCCACCTGTAGTGAGCTGGACAGCAGCGGAAGAGGAACCGTAGGTGTCGTAGTTGCAGGGAAGAATATCTGATAGTAAACATGTCAGAATTAATAACTTGAGGGGGCAATTCAAGGAATTACTTTCGTATGACATTATTATGGGGCTGACGTGCTGGTGGTGAGTTGCTCAAGACTTATGGACCGGTACAGCTTGCCTTTCATATACTGCAGCGAGTCGCGTTAGGTCAGCCATTTCTTTGCTACGATGAGGCTGAATAATGACCATTTCATTTTGAAATATGTTGCCTTCTAAAAACGTTGTGTGGAGATGCTATGAGTAACCCGAGTATCCGTACCTTTGCTGCGGTCACGATATAGTTAGTTATCATTCAGTAGATGGTACTCTCCAGAAGGTCTCTTCCACGCAATAGACAACTCATACCCTACCCCACGGAGCTGGATAATATCGATCGGCCGCCAGGGCAACGTAGGAAGAATCTATGAGCCTAGTACATTCAATTTGGAATCAGTTTACTGACAAGGCGACAATCAGAACACTATGCACTTACTACGTATCCTGCTTGCTGATGTGATACTACCATATGCCCTGATTAATATTTGACTACATTCTAAGTTACAATGGCTTATTATCACGCAGTAAATTGTACTCACCTTTGACGCATAGATTATTATGGTAGATTTGAAAGAAGCTGCTTTGATCAAAAGCATGTTGGTGTTCTCAGTCAAACAACAAAGCGCAGCAATCAAAGAACATTGATTGTATCCTTCTCTGTCTCCTGATAAACCGGAATGGAACTGGTTCAATCGCGGCACTGTGCGAGAAGAATGATCTTATGCCATCAAGTTTTACCTGCCGCTTGCTGATTCTGCCCTATGCCCAGTTCACAATTCCTAAGACTGTTTGGTCGCCATCTCATTATGAACCGAACTATATCAGTTGCGAACCTTGAAATTTGAATGAATCCCTGCCATATGTATTTGATCTGTAATGATGAATGTGCCGTGGCAGATATAATAACAAAATCAAAATACCGCACTCTGAAGTTCAGGTTTCTCGCAAAAAATATCAACGCAAAGGCTGGCGCATACACATTAACGATTATGATGTTACACGACTTTCACCACACACTCTGCGCTTGCTGCGGTGTTGGACTACTTGGTATACTTTGAGGCATCACTGTGCTTCTAGGCGCTTCTCGTAGAGCCTCAGGTTCCTTCCTGTACTCGATCTTCTCAACGCGGACCTCGCCCTCGATCAGCTGGTACACATATGTAACCACCACCGTCCCTTGTATATCCATCAGGGCGAAAGAAGGCGTGGGGTCGCTGAGTACACGCACAAGGTTGCAAACCCATGAATTAATATGCAGACATATTACATTTTTGAGAAACCAACCTAGTTAGAGCCCCTGTCCAAGCACCCGTAGCTGATCCAGGGTTGACGAAGAAGCGCCCATCATATTCAAGAGCCTGGAATCTGGAAGAGAGTAAATATAGCAATGAGACTTCGCCTTCAAATACATACAGGAGAAACATACGTATGCGTGTGCCCTGAAACGAGGACGTCGACATCCATCTGTCGCGCGATAGAGCTGAGCGAATCAAGATCCCCCGTTGGTATGCATTGGTGTCCGTGAATGACTCCAATCTTGATGGGTGAGTGTGCAACAGTTACAGAAAGTGGGAACGATGAATCCTAGCAATCATTGAAATATTGAGCGCAGAGCGGTAGAAGATTAGTGAAGATGACCAACCTCATCATAATCTCCCCGCACGACATGAACATCTGAAGCTACCGTCCGCAGGTAGTCATACGTTTCTTTATCACAGACATTGCCAGTACATAGTATTTGCTGTATTTTTCCCGGGACAAGCAGTTTTCTGAATTTTGCGGGAAGGTCGTGGATACGATGTGGGATGTGCAGGTCGCCAATTACAAGGACCAGCATGGTTAAACAGACGCGGGTCCGAGTCCGAGTCGCCCATCAGTATCCAATGGTGGCTGTGCATTCTGCACGCTGTGATGTCGTATTTGTGTTCGGTGGCAGATCTTACCCCCTGTGCTGTCCTTATACGCGTTGCTTTCAAAAACTCTCACTCTGGGTGAAAATACCTTGGTGATAGTGAGGTTGGTCAGGGCTTCCAAAGGTCGTTTAACATCCCTTTTCCTTGTCCGTTACTAGCGACAAATGGCACACAGCCTTTCTCCAGAGTGCACACCGCTAAAACATGAATACGATTCTTGTTTCAATACTTGGTTTCAAGGCTACTTGGAACCCGCTGTAGCCGCCTCTGTCGACTCCGAGACACGCTCGGCTTACTCGAAACAAAAGGCAGAAGAGTTTGAGCAGAAATGTGGCAAGATTTGGGGCCAATATCGAGAATGTGTGCAGGTATGCCATGGTTCTGTCTAGTATGGCCATTATGGTTGATCGAAAATTCGCCTGCTTCGTAGAAAGCAGTAAAGGAGAAAGGTCTGGGAGAGTTATTGGAACAAGCTAGAGAAGAGAATCCTTTGAAGGAACCTCCACAACCCCCACCGGAAGTCGAAATAACGCAGTCGTCTTCATCATCCACGTAATTTGGCGTCATGGTTATCCAACATCACCATCACTATCGCGCGGTAGGACTACATTCTTTTACGAACTATCGGAATCCTAATATTTAAAAGAAACAGACTGCCTACACTTACAACTCATAACTCACTATAGCCATTATCAGGACAATCCAAGTCAAAAGTATGTATGTACTTTACAGTCAAACTTATCGCCCCACTCTACTCCACTATTTATTGCTGGCTCTAAGAATATAAGGATTATTCGTTCTTATTTGTTCCACGACAAGGGGCGTGTTTTTCTTCGCAAAATGTACATCAACGGTATGAAGTTGAAGTACAGGCTCGAGATTTCATAAGGAAGCCCCAGGAAGAGCCATTAGCATTAATACTGTACGCATCCATACCGCCGTCGCCTCCTCTGAGGGCCGTTCTATGAGTTGCCAAAATGGCTGAACATAGTATGTGGTTTGCAATCTATCCTTTCTTCGTTTTCTTGCTCTCGACGAACAACACGCGTGCCTTAACTATACCACGCGAATCCGAAAAAAAAGCACTTAGCGATATATAATAAAGTGGCTATTTAATACACGTACCTTTAGGATCGTACTTCACTGCCGCCAGTTTTGGCCCTTGACGCAAGCGTTGGGTTGTGTAGAAAAACCCAGTTTGTGCGGTGGATATGAGTCGCACTATGATGGTTCTGAGAAAAACTGCATGAGAATAATTCCACAGTGAATAAAAGGAGAAGACTGATGTGTACCTTGCTTTGGACTTCCCTGCCATAGCGAAAAAGAGAGCGGGTTGGTAAAGTCAACGATATCTAGACAGTGCCACGATTTACGCGAGCTAAGCCTGAGGTTTACATAATATATAGCAAACCTCCAATCCGAACTTGGAAACCACCTAGTGGATAGTATTTACTTATTATCCATAAACCTCTATTCCAATCACGATGCCATCCGTATCATAACCAAACATGTGGTAGGGTGATCTTGGCAAGATATCATATCAATAGGCTTTTGGATTTCATGATGTCACTCTGCAGTCCTTGACTTCCAGTGGTCGAACATTTCTGTATTCAGGTTACTCGACTTTCCACCTGGCCAGTAAAGCGATGGTCTTATAAGAACAAGTACTTGGAAACCGTTTTTTAATCAAAGCGAACGACAACATTGAAGTATATCCCATAAACATCATCCTGATACCATGTCTCGGTTTTTCCCAGATGACACCATGTTCGAGCTCTCTGGCGCTCACCATTTGGGAAGATGGCGCGGCACGACCTCAACGTGTCCAAGGAGCGTCATGAAAATGTGCCAGTGGACGCATGGTCAACATGGCTAAAACTGAGTCTACAAGAGTGCTGAAGGTCTTCTTTCCTCTTTCCCCACCCCGAGTCCACGCGACTGCTGTTCCATCCCATCTACATTCTTAACTTCGCAGAAATTGAAATCTCCAGACATACCATCACATACAGGATTCTTTCTGGGTTTCTAGATGTCTGACCGAGTTGATGTTCAGAATCTGATGGCACAAGCTGTATCTGTCGATGCACGCCATAGCACGTTCAGTGAAGTTCATGGCCAGCAAATCAATGGCGACCATACAATAATAAACCACTACAACAAAGATACAAGTACGGGTCATATTATCCCATGTTCTTCTGTGGCATTCAACGCATTGAAAACATTTTAGCCGAGGTGCAACAAGAACTGGCTGACTGGCTCACTCCTCTGAACTTCCGTCAAAAACAAAACGATATCTACGGAAATAGACAAGAGGGGACTGGAGACTGGGTACTTAAGGACGAAAGATTCAAGGAGTGGGAGAGAGGTGATGTTAAAACATTATGGTGTCCTGGGATTCGTAAGTATGAAATCCTTAATAATGTTGATGTTGCTGATACTGAGTCTGGTAGCCGGTGCTAGGAAAACAGTTCTTGCGTAAGGATTGTACTTAAACACTACAAATAATCTGTATTGACCGCTTTTACACCTCTAGGTCGCATATCATCAATCATCTTGCTGACACGTACAAAAGCCCTACTATTGGTGTAGCCTACATCTACTGCGAATACAAAGATCAATCAAGCCAAACAATTCTTGACCTCGTCGCCAGTCTCCTGAAGCAGCTTGTTCAAGATTCATCACCAACGTTCGAGCGCGTCAAAAGTCGATACCAATCTCACCGACAACAAAAATTCCGCCCCACTCTCAGAGAAGTCCACGATACGCTAATATTCGAGATCAAGACGTTTTCGAGATTTTTCGTCGTTGTCGATGCTTTAGACGAACTTGCGGAAGAGCGCAAAAAGCGTTATGAGCTGCTCGATAGGCTCCAATCTCTTGGATGCAGCCTACTAATTACTTCACGCGATATTGGAGCAATTAGGAAGGATCTTCGTGATGCGCAATGTATGCACATTCGTGCAAATGATGACGATATACGTCAGTATATCGAAAGTGGTATTCTCGGGACATCATTAGAAGATTTCGTCGCTGAAGAACCCAATCTAAGAAAAGAAATTGTCGACTGTGTCACGAAATGCGCAGATGGCATGTGAGTGCTTCTTGAATCCTTCCATGACCAAGCTAGATTTCAATGTTGTATAAGGTTTCTCCTATGTCGTCTGCATGTAGGATCATTGGAAACCATGCTCACTTGTAGAGAGGTCTGGGAGGCTCTCAAAAATCTATCCAAAGACGTGAACAATGCCTACGATGAAACAATGACCCGGATCAACAAACGAGACAAGAAACACCGGGAACTTGCTTTGACGGCTATTATGTGTATCACTTATGCTCTTCGACCACTGAGCGACAAACAGCTTCAGCATACTGTGACACTTTTACGTGGCAGTCTAGGAATCACTAGTAATGACCTCGTGGATATAACCTCCATATTGGGAGCCTGTGCTGGTCTAGTTGTGGTTGATGCAGAGCGTGCTGTGGCTCGCCTGATTCGTGAGCAGCTCATACTTCTATTAATGGCTATATCTGATTGTTATTCCATTAGATAACACTGCTCAGGAGTACTTCAGCGGATATAAGGAATGGCTATGCTCAAACCCCCACGCAGAGCGTACCAACGTATGCCTCAAAGTATTGTCAATACCTCCACCTGCTGATCCCTATCAGAAGTGGCCATTCAGTGGGGAGTTCAGCCATTATGCTGTGGAAAACTGTGGAAATCATGCACGCGGTCTTGTCGAGGAGACAAATAAGGCCATAATATATGATTTCCTCCATCACGAGCAAAACGTCAAAAGACCGAGGGATGTAGACGTCACATGGACTGGGGGCTCTCATAGCTCCGTGATGCATTTATGCGCCTTCTGCGGCTTGGCTCGAACCATTGAATATCAACTGCAAAGTGGAGCTGTCGTAGGCCAACAAGATGATCTTACGGGTAGAACAGCGCTACACATCGCAGTAATCAAGGAATATGTAGATGTGGTGAGCCTGCTATGCGACCGAGGCTACGACGTAAACTCGCAAGATGCACAAGGTAGGACTCCACTCTCGTTCGCAGCCGGAGCAGGGAACACGGAGAGTGTTAAATGGTTTTTCGAAGATGATGATGTGTGGGACGAATCGAAGATTCGAGAAGGCCAGATACCATTCACGTTCTCAGCCGAAAATGGAAACGTAGGGACCTTTAAGTCGTTTCTGGCAAGCGGCGATGTAAAGGCTGCCTCGAAAGGCGAAGATGATCTGACACGACTCTCGTTGATGGCCGTACCAGGAAGCGTGGAGATTCTTAAATGGTTGCTAAAAGGGAATCACGTGGGGTCTGTCTCCATAGATTTGGGAAAGAAAAATGGCCAGATGCCATCCTTGGCAGCCGAATATGGAAACGCAGAGATCGTCAAGTTGTTGCTGGCAAGGGATGATGTGAAGGCCGACTTGAGAGACAAACATGGTCTAACACCACTCTCGTTTGCAGCCATAGCAGGGAATGTGGAAATTGTTCGATTATTACTGTTTAGAGATGACGTGGAGGCTGACTCGAGGAATAAAGAAGGCCGGACACCCCTTTCGTTTGCAGCCAAGTATGGGCACGCAGGGATTGTCAAGCTATTACTAGAAAGGGACGATGTACAGGCCGACTCGAGAAATGAAGATGGCCGAACACCACTCTCGCTCTCAGCCAAGCACGGAAAAGTCGAGGTTGTCAGTTTGCTGCTAACAAGAGATGATGTGGAGGCTGACTCGAGAGATAAAGAAGGCCGGACGCCGCTTTCGATTGCGGCCAAGCATGGAAACGCTGAGATCGTTGAGTTGTTGTTGTCAAGAGATGATGTGAAGGCCGACTTGAAAGACGACGATGGTCTTACGCCACTTTTGTTTGCATCCAGAGCAGGGAGGGCGGAGATCGTTAAACTATTGCTGGCAAGAGATGACGTAGAGGTCAACTCGAGAAATAAAGAAGGCAAGACACCACTATCGTTCGCAGTCATGCATGGAAACGTGGAGGTGATTAGTTTATTGCTGGCAAAGAGTGGTGTGGAGGCCGATATGAAAGACGAACTTGGTATGACACCACTCTCGCTCGCAGCTGCATCAGGAAATGTGGAGATTGTCAAGCTGTTACTCGCAAGGATGATGTGAAGGCTGACTCGAGAAGTGAAAAAGGCTGGTCACCACTCTCACTCGCAGCCAACTTTGGGCACGCAGAGACTCTCAAACTGTTGTTGGCAAGAGATGATGTGAAGGCCGACTCCAAAGACGAAACTGGTTTGACGCCCCTCTCGCTTGCAGTCATAGCAGGGAGGGTGGACATCGCCAGTTTGTTGCTGGAAAGAGATGATGTGGAGGCTGACTCGAAAAATAAAAAAGGTTGGACACCGCTCTCTTTTGCAGCCAACTATGGACGCGTGGAGATTGTCAAGCTTCTGCTGGGAAGAAATGATGTGAAGGCCGACTCAAAAGATGAAGATGGTGTTACACCACTCTCATTCGCAGCTATGACAGGGGGCGTGGAGATTGTGAAATTGTTACTGGCAAGAGATGATGTGGAGGCCGACTCAAAAAACAAAAAAGGTTGGACACCACTCTCGTTCGCAGCCAACTATGGACATGTGGAGATTGTCAAACTTCTGCTGGGAAGAATTGATGTGAAGGCCGACTTCAAAGACGAAAATGGGTTGACACCCCTCTCGTTTGCAGTCATAGCAGGGAGGGTGGAGATTGTGAAACTGTTATTGGCAAGAAATGACGTGGAGGCCCACTCGAGAAATAAAGAAGGCCTGACGCCACTCTCATTTGCAGCCATGTATGGAAACGCAGAGATAGTCAAGCTGTTGCTGGCGAGAGATGACGTTGATGTCAAGTGGAGAGATGAAAATCCAAATTCAACACTTCTGTTCAGAGCGGCGAACAACGGATGTAAACCTGTTCTCACCGGAGAAAATATTGACGTGAACTTGCAAGATGAAAATGGAGATTCTCCACTGCATTATGCGGTGCGTTCTAGGCATGAAAAAGTAGTCTCCTTGCTTCTCTCGCATTGTAATATCGCACCCAATTTGAAGAACATAAAGGGACAGTCACCGCTGCATTGCGCGATCTTGGGTATTGACCAAGGACAGGAGTCGTCAAAGCGCATGTCTGCGAGCTCGCCGGAGGCAATTGTGGGCCTTCTTCTTGCGCGAGGTGACATTCGTGTCGATTTGGTGGACGACAATGGATTGACACCGCTGATGCTTGCTCGCTCTCTCGAAGCTGTAGCCGTGGTGAAACTCCTTGAAGAGTATACAATAGACTCAGAGTTCAATTCTGTGGATGGAAGAGAAACTTGCTCCAAGCGGATAAACAGAGGACCATTGATAGGCACGACGGTCGTTGGTCATCAAACAATACATAGGAGAGATATTGCACGGCCCTTGTTATGTTCAATATCACGGAATAATGATAATGACCAAGGTATGTCTCTTATATGGCTAGGTTTATCTCACATACACTCATCGATATCATTTTTAGGTAGTTCCCATTACTCATCAGGGTCCTATCCCCCTAGTATCCTCCACGACACCCTACCTTCACCTGATTAGTTGCAATCATTTTGACGTTACTGTGTCTGTCACTAAGGATGGCCTTGATCCTACAGTCAAGGATTTGTTCAGTATATGTTGACTGCAGCGTTTTGACAGAACTGAATGGTCTCCCGTAATTATCGACATGACGTTCGATTACCATGTTTTATATAACATCCAAACAATTCTATCTATTTAATGTTTATACTGAAACCTGAAAACTGGATTCACTACGTGTGTGCATGTACGACCCAGAGGGTACGTTTGCGCCGATGCAGGAAAACTAGCACAACTCAGCTTCTTGATGTGTTAATGGAAACTTGTGTAATCGCACACCTATACAAGCACTAGGCTAATAGCAAAGTCAAAGGTCCTATGACATTGTCGATGTTCTACACGACCAGTTTTACTAGAGAATGCCCATGCAAATTACTGGGACTACGAAGTTTATTGTGATTGTTATTGGAAATGCGAAATTATGTCAGGTCTCCCTCGCTGTCTACATGTTTACCCAATACTGGTTATTTTATTCATATTGAAACCACATCCATATCACCGGTTTCACGCATAACGCAGTACGCACATTACAGTAATGTTGATCCTGGGAAGAGCTCGCACAAAGCACACTAAAAGTTCATGGGCGAACCAAACAAAGGCTACAGCCTAGCATAGAAGATGCTATTACCAACTAGGTGGTAGACTGGCGTAGGCGATGTTGTAGGGCGAACAATACATCTTCAAAACACTCTTCGACAGATTTGATGTACTCTTCGTTATTCTGATCCTGCATATTGCCTGCGGGAACATCCAGCGTGAAAGATGGGCCGTATAGCGGGAACGCGCGATGATCCGGTATTTCTGTATCTACTGAGAGTGGCTTTCCCATCTGTGGATCGCAGTAAGACAAAAGAGTTTAGTCTGCATCATACACTGTGGCAGTACTCACGGCGATCGATGTCAGATACGCCCATGCACGGGCGGCGTTGGGAGAGTTATAGCCGCCTAGCAAGTTGTCAGAATTCTCAGGCTCTGTACCCCTTACTCTGGGTACTCCCTATTTTGACTGAGATGGAGTAGAACCATACCTCCACCGAGTAGTAGTTTTTTACCGTCCCATTCGTGTACTACGCGACTGGTACACCAGCCTAGAGAGCCTTCCCCTTCTAAAGACCAGTTCCAGGTGGCCATTGGATCTCCAGCTAGACCGTCCAAGCCACATTGCACGACGATGTAGTCAGGCTCAAATAGGTTCTTAACGCGTTCTACTATTGGCCATATTCGCATAAAGGTGCGGTTCGAAGCTCCCGGTCTGAGAGGGAGGGAAAGAGAGAAAGGGTCAAAGGTGGGAGATCCTGGTGCGGGGAGACTCGATAGTGGAGAGATGGGGAAGAACCCTTCAGCAGCATGGTGAATAGAAAAAGTCTATTATGATTTGTGAGTATATGCGCCTCATCGTTGCTGGTTTAGCTATTATTGAGAAGCGGATGACACTTACAAGAACTTGTGGACTGTTGGTAGAGCTGGTAGAATAGAAAGCTTGCGAAACAGAATCGGAGAAATGCAGATCGAGGTCTAGATACATGATGCGAGGCTTTTTAGACGGAGGAGCAGGTGAGATATTGTCGTAGGGATTTGGGACGAACCGCCTCAGAGCGAGGATGGCGAGGACGCAGTCGGCGACGTAGCAGAACCCGGACGCGCGAGCTTTCTGAGCATGATGCCTATAAAACCTCCGTAACTGCGAAATTAATGCTATCGATGATACCTACCTGCCGCCGTCCCAGCATATTGCGATATCAGCTTGATCGGTCTTAAGAGTGTTTGCTCCTGTCAGAGAAGCGCCTGCTACGAGAAATATGTAGTCGTCTAATCCGCGAAAAGGTGGGCAATCCTAGATTTACATCATCGCGCGCCTCCATTCATTCGATGGGTGTAGGGTATCTCAGGGGGTGAATACGTACATCTTCAAGACCGAAATCTGCACTTTCATTTGGTTCCTGTTGAACGTTTTCAGAGTGGTTATCGGGGTTCAAAGAGAAGTCCAGGTAGTCGCGGGTGTGATAGACGGACAGATCCTTGAGAGTGGCGCGATTTGGTCGAATGAGGCGTATATGCTGCCCATTGTGCTTTTGCTTTGGTACTAGTATACCGAGAGAGCTTGCGAGGGAGTGAACCAGCAGAGATCTGTTCTTGTTCGATGGAAGTAGAGATGAAACCTACAGTATATATACGGAAATCAGTGCTCACGACAACTTGAGTTGTTCTGATTACCGCACCTTGGCCAGCTCCTCTGAAACAACGTACACCACACGTTTATTAGGGTTGTTGGTTTTTTTTGAGGTCGCCATCGTTGCAACCAATCCTTGAAGCCTGAAAGTACAAGGACGTTCTCCCACTAAACCCGTTCTACAATAATGGACGTCGTTCGCTGGTTCGCTGAGAACTGTGTGCCGGGGATGCCGTGCAAGAGATGATGATCCGCTGAGTCTAAAGGCGCCCCAAACTGGGTTTTCTGAGTCCGAAATAGGTAATTGGATATAGTATTCGCACGGCTTTAAAGTACGCCGTCCTTATGGCACGTCTTCAACGTCGCGGACGATGGCCAGCACCCCAGCTTCCACCTTGCCCGTCACTGTTTCTGCATTGTCCTCGAGTTCGTTGATATCGTCCTCGCCGACGCTCTTCTCTTCTTCTGCAGAGTCTTCTGTTCCTTATTCACGTATTTCTTCTTCTTTGTCATCTTCGATAGACCCTTCGTCGCTGTCTATGTCTTCTGAGCCTTCGTCGGCCCCGTCCCCGACGTCCACTGTGTAAGCAGTACAGCTCGCCTTCTGTGCTTGTATCGCGGTCGTTGGCAGCAACAGTGCGCTCATAGAGCCTGTTTCTATTCTAGTCTGCCTACTTCCAGCATTCCAACTTCCCACTCCGACTCACCCACGTCTATCTCTTCTGCAATGTCGACGACCAGCGTTCCATCATCCAGTCCTCCTTCGTCACGTGCTTCCCCTTCGTCGACTAGCGCTCCTCCAACTACAGCCACCACAATGGAGTCCACCACCGAGCCTTCGTCCTCAGCGTCGTCCAGTATCTCGAGTACGACATACGAAGTGACTTCAACCTCAACTCCTCCTTCTACTTCGACTACACCCACAACCACTTCCGTCCCCCCCACTTCAACGACTCCCAGCTCATCTCCACCGACTACCACGTCATCTCCACCACCGACCACCACATCATCTCCACCACCGACCACCACTTCACCGCTAACAACCACTTCCTCCTCTCCTCCAACTACAACCACAATTTCTTCTCCACCCACCACCACTTCCCCGCCAACTACAACGTCTTCGGCAGCGCCAAGTACTTCACAGACATCAACTGTAACACCTGGAGACAACCCTGATGTCATACCAACGTAAGTCTGTCGTACATCCTCAATTTCATCATCTGATTATTGTTACCTATAGAACAACCGTCGAACATACTGTTTACGTCACCACTACAAATGATCGAGGGCAAACAATGGTCACCGCTCCTTCTATAATCACCCAAACACTCACTACCACTGGTACTGATGGCGGCGTTACGACTGTCACCCAGGCTATCGTCAATCCAACACTGAATCCCAATAGTGGGTCAACAAAAAGTTCTACGTAGGTTTCCCATATCGGATCTCATTCGCTTATTTACGTTCTCGCAGATTTTTTCATAATACAGGTGCTGTTGCGGGTGTTTTCGTGTTAGTCGGCCTTGCCGCTGCTTCCATAGTTCTTTGGATATTTTTCGCTATTCGACGCAAAAGGCGAGTGCGACAGCTTGAACATGATACTGCTGTTGAAGCTGCAGTTGCTGCTGCTGGTTTTGGGCGATCACGTTTGGACGACGATAATGACAATGATCCAAACGGCACATCCGGCTCTTACCACAATCGTACTTCTCAATTCTCCTCAGAAATGGGCCAGCGCTCCAGCCTCCTTGGCTTTCCGCCTGGCGCTTCTGCTAGCTCTCCCGTCTCTCCAGCAGCTAGGTCTTCTGGTCGGTATGACAGCTACCTTGGTGAAGACCCTGAGGGTTACGACCCTTACGCAGGCTATGCTGATGGGCAGGCTGTGTTGAGGGCTGCACGAGAAGGATATATACCTACAAGGACAGCTAGTCCCCCGCCTGGTGCTGCACCAGGTGATCCCGTCATATTTGGCGATGACGTCGGAACTGGCTCTCGCGATCGCCACAGTTCTTCTGGCCATGCGCCAACCCACAGTGCGGGCAGCTACGAACCTCTACTCGCGGCGTACGCACAATCGTCGCCTCCTACAGACAATAGTCCTGTTGCACCCTCTCACCAGCGTCTCGCTGATAGTTCTAGTGCTTTGTTTGACGAATCTCGATTTCCTTATTCCACTGGGTCTTCGGAGGAGGGAAATGCCGATGAAAGATTAGATCCAAGCATAAGACGTCGCACGAGGACAGATAGCCTAGGTTCAAATAACTTGAGGGACGAAGAAGATTATACACGACCCGTCCTCAAGGTCAGTTCTACGTCATCCATATCCTTATCTCCAACCACTAAAATAATTTTACAGGTTCGAAATATGCCTGAATCTGCCAGCCAGGATTCTATGGGTTTGTAAAAAATGATGCATGCGTGATTACTATGACCGCATATGTAAAAGATTTCCTTGTTTTCTTGCATTGTTTTCTCTCCTGTACCATGGACTATCACACATTGATGGACATTTATTGTGTTTCTACGTTCTCAGTTTGCTCACTCTCAATAGTACTATACACACAGAGATCGCTTTGCATGTACAACATTCACGGACACATGATGGCCAATAGATCCCCACTTGCATTCCTCCATGACAGTTCCTCACTATGTGTTCTGTATACGCCACCCGTAAATTTCCACACGTGATAAATAAATAAATGATGCATATAGCTGCATATCGAATGTCATATCAGTAAATTAGCCTGACAAGAGAGACAACATTATAATAGTCATAGCTGTAAACTAGTGGTGAAGTCTTGGGCGACAAAATAAGAATGAGATCATGTCAGGGAATCCACTATCGAAGTCCACTACCAGCCCGACGCATGTTCATAGAATTCGCGGATAGTAGAAAAGAAGCGAGCATAGACAACACAGGTGAAAAGGTCCATAGGTGCCCGAAGGGGAATGACATTCCGAAAAAGACGCCATACTCAACTCCATCAAAAGCAACATAGAAGTCCCTTCAGAAAAGCCAGAAGTCCTTTCTTCTTACGCTGAGGCTGAGGGCTGTTGTTTTGTGGCTAGATGTAAGGGTTTGTAATGTGCTTAGCCACGAAGGGCGGTAGTTCGAGAGATTGCTTCACCTGCTCCTGGAGACTGTTATCTTTTGGCTAGACGTAAGGAATCGTGCTCTGGTTAGCCACGAAGGGTGGTAGTTCGAGAAATTGCTTCACCTGCTCCTGAAGATTGATATCCTTTGGCTAGGTGTAAGGAATCGTAACGTGCTCTGGTTAGTCACGAAGGGTGGTAGTTCGAGAAATTACTTCACCTGCTCCTGGAGATCGCTATCCTTTGGCTAGATGTAAGGAATCGTAATATGCTCTGATTAGCCACAAAGGGTGGTAGTTCGAGAAATTGCTCCACCTTCTTATGGAAATCGATATCTTTTAACTAGATGTAAGGAATCATAATGTACTCTAGTTAGCCAGGAAGGGTGGTAGTTCGGGAAATTGCTTCACCTGATCACGATAGTCACCAGTTGTATCCTTCATATATGTCCAGGATTCACCAACTCGGGTTAACCGGATACGGAGGCCCTTAGTGTCGGTAATTGGTCTACTTTGCTCAGTGACCAGCGATTCGGCCTTCAAGTCCAATTCGGTCCACACGCTACATAGTTTATCAATTACCTGATTTAAATCTCGAAAATCAGTCTGAGAGTCGGAGAAAATATGGCAGGCAACTCTCTGGGGAGTTGCTTCTCCTTCATTTACCGATGAAGTCTATGGCGATATAATTAGTTACTAGTACCAAAGCTATTTAACACAAGCGATGTCACGTACAGCTGCAATTTGAGAGCTCCTAGGCTGGTTTTTGCCATCAATAATTTTGGAGTTTGCACGTTTTAGTTTGGTGCTTCGAAAGATATCGGAACGCCGCATCTTCCTGAAAACCTCGAGAGTGCTCTTGCATTTCTGCTGTGTGGATTGAGCCATGTTTGACATATCTCCCCATGCCTTCTGATAATCGTTCTCGGGCACTGAACCATCCTGCAACCTGATGCACAGGCCTGACCCTTGGACAGATAATTTGTAAACTTCCTCAGCCACCTCCAAACTTTGCCGTCCACTTTGAGTGAATAATCTTAACATCTCCTTCCAGAAAAACTGAGACCTTCCATGAAATTAGTTGTGAGAACATTAGTGTTAATCAAATATGAGCGCACTCTTGCGTCGACGAACGGGGGTAAGGTCGGGGTTCAAGTATATTTTCGATTCGTTTAGCTAGGTCGGGCATATTAATATCGACGAAAGTGGGCATGCCACTGGGATCTTCTTGAACACCACTTGCATCCGGGGATGACATAGCCATGAACGCTTGAGGTTTTCGCGCCGCAGGCTGCCCTTGAATGGGCATTGTAGAATGTAACAAGCGCTTGACTGCCCCTATCTGTAGCACACGCATCATTCAAGAGTGATAGTAAATTCAAGATTGTTTGCTAACCTGGTCGACATATGAAGTCCAACGCTGGCCGAGCTCAACAGTATGGAGCGAGTCGAGCCCAGTAGCACCCAGCATACCTCCAAGTCTAGCACAGACGTCACTCCAACCAGTTTGTAGATGGTCTAAACATTCTTCTACCTCATCCAAGATATCACTCGTTTGATATATAAAATAGAAAAGGTCATTAAGCGATTTGCCTTCGGTGAGTCGAGGTGCTGCAGAGCTCAAGGTCAATATTTGCTAAATCAACGTATGGGAGGTGACATGCCAGAAGGCTCCAAGTCACCTGTCGGCTGCTCTTTATATGAGAGATGGTTGACTTGTAGAGGAACTGGGATGTTGGCGAATGATTCTGGGCTGTTGACAACTTGCGATGATGTCTTTGACTCGATAATTAAGACTTCTAGGACCTTTTTCACATTCAACTTACTAGCTATGGAAAGAGCTATGAGAGGACTCACCCTGTTCAGGCGTCGACGAACATTTTCCACAGCTACGTGGGTGCTTAGGTACCGATTGAAGATTCCGCTTGCAAGGTCACTTGATGACTGAGCAGAATCTTCGTCCCATGTCACCTCCCCCTCGAGAAGTATGCAGAAGGTTGTAACCTGATCCACAGCGTCTATAATCTGTGATATCACTGTTCTGTACGATTCAACGACTACACTAGAAAGCTGGTGAAAGCGACCATGTATTCTAGGGATTATATTAGCCCACAGCTAGATGGACAGTGATTATTACTTACCTTTGAATATATTCTGCTTTGTGAAGGGACTCCAAGATCACAAATAAACTGATCAAAGACTTCGCCAGTTTATCCAATTTAACTCCATCGTTTTCTGGGAGGGATATAGACTGGTGGTTGTTGGGCATTTCAGTAATAAGATTCCGACAGCGAGAGAAGGGTGCGAGGGCAAAGAAAGAGGATCTCACAGGTTACTACTCTTTTAAAGATATACGAGCGAGACGCCTCAGGCTGTCCATGCCAAATAGTAGACAAATGCTTTAGCAAATCATAGTACACCATACTGACGGCATTAAGCCCGAAGTCGATAATGAATCGCAAACCAGAGTGGTTCGAAATTCAAATTCTGTGATTAGACAGCCAGCATGAATGACATAATGAAGAAGGTAACAGGCAGGTGCCAGCGTTATACTCAAGTGAACAACGTCCGAGTCCAAATATTTACAGTAAGGCGCTTCAAGTCATGGCAAACCATGCCGGATTAGGGAGGCCAGGACCAGCCCATGGAGCAAAGTATTGAAAAAGATGCCTCGTCGAAGGATATTTGATGCAGAGGATCTATATCATGGTGGACGTCTGGTGGACGTTGTAATGTCATCATGTCAGACTCATGTCAGCTCAGGTATCCCACATTTTCATTTCTCACACAACACAGCGACTAATTTATTCGGAAAGTTTGGCGCTGAGATTGTCGTAAGGATTGAGTGATGCTGGGCGCTGAGGCCGGGTGTCGGTTCCAAAAGTTCTGGAAAAAGATCAACTGTCTCAGCAGCGAATGATAATTCAAGTTGGGTTACTCAAGTATCCGAGTATGTGACAGCAAATGTTGTGTTATTAGACGCATATGGCTGAGAAACAATTGTGAACCAACTTGATAAGAAGAAATCATATCAGGGTCTACAGGTTTGAAGACACTACAGACAACGCGGTGTAAATGTAGACAGGTGCAAATGTGGCTGAAGGGGATGAAATCACAAACATAACCTAAACATACTCAGCTCTATCAACAGCAACAGATATGATTCCTCAAATAGGCGAGACTTCCATGCTGCGCTGGCAGCTACATGCAAGCAACCATGACGTGCTCAGATAAAATACGAGGAGTAGTTCAAGAAATTTGCCTCACCTCTTGATAGTTTACGCTATCGTCCTTCAGTTTTGTCCAATATCGGATGGTGCTGCGAAGGCGCAAAGAGGTTTGGTTGTTTCCTAGCTCCGCCAAGAGACATCCTGCCTGCATGTCCAGTTCGGTCCACCAACTTGCCAGTTGATAAATCGAGTAATACAAATCTTGAAAATGGGAAGGGATTCCAGGTATCGAAGCAACGGGATTGTTCTCTTGAATGCCCTGGAATAAATTGCTAGCTCCGGCGATGGCCTTAACCTGCGTGCGCATCACCCTAAAATTTGCGAGGGTATCATGACACTTCTCTTTAGTGGTTTTAGCCAACGGTATCACAGTTTGATATGTCTTTGGGAGCTTATCCAGTGGGTTTTGTGCGGTGCAAAGGGCAAGACCTGCGCTAGACAAATCGATGACTTCCTTAGCTACCTCCATGCTTTTATTCTCACTTCGAGTGAAACTCCGAAGTAACACGTTGTTGGGATTTCGAGACCTTTCGGACATAATGAGTTACTAGAACGGTTACCAATGAGGATTAACATACATTAACAACAGCAAACTTAATGAAGGAGATTCAAGAACTTTGGCAACGTGTTGAGCCATGTCGCTGAGATTTACTGAGACGTCTTGGACACTGGCATCTGTGTCTTGTCCTTCTGCAGATGTAGCTACGTAGGCCTGGAGATTTTGCCTTGTAGTATGCTCCGGAATTTCGACTGCCGAGTACAATTGTTTGACCATCAGTGTCTGCAATGACGGGAATTGAGCTAGTGTATCACAAGCACGAAGCTATTGAGTTATTGACCAACCTGTTTGACGTACGAGGACCAAAGTTGGTTGGCCTCGGCATTATGGGATTGGTCCACTCCAGTAATACCCACAGCTTCAAGTTCAAGATTGACTTTATCCCAGCCATTTTGCAGTTTGTTAAAGCCTTCCTCTATCCGGTCCAAGAGATCGTTCACTCGATAGATTAGGCCCCAAAAGTGATTGATCGATTTGCCTTCGGTGGGCCGTTCTGCAGCAGAGTTTGATAAAGGTAAGTATTAAAATTATACAAGCGAAAGGATATACCAAGTGAGGGTGTTTCTGCTGTTTGGTCTGCAGAAGGTGAAAGGCTTATTTGCAGAGGAACCGGAACGGTGACGAACGGTTCTTGATTATCGGGTTCTTGAGATGATTTATTTGAATGAGTCATCAAGACTTTCAAGACCTTGTTGGCATTATAAGCATATGAGCGAACTCATTGCAAAGGGAAAACTTACTTTGTTCACGCGTCTGCGGACGTCTTCCACCCCCACTTGTATCTCCAGGTACTGCCTGGAGATCTGGCCTGCCATATCATTCAAGGATTGAGCGAAAGTTGCAGAAGCTTCGCCTCCCTTTCCCTCGTCAAGGAAAAGCTCGTGAAACGTTGAAACATGTCCCGCAACTTCTACAATTCGCGATATGACCGTTTTGTACGATTCAAGTATTGCTAAGCACGGGTCACGGAAGCGGGTATAACTTGAAATACCATAAGCCCATGAATAGATACATGATAGAACTTCCTCACCTTTGAGCAAATTTTGCGTCATGGAGAGGTTCCAATGTAATGAATAAGTCGATTAAAGATGTCCCAAGTGTGTCCAGCTTAACTCTAGTATCGATCTCTGGAAGAGACACTAGCTGCTTTTTGCTCGGCATTTCAAAATCTCACGTCAAGGGGAGGAGAAGGATATGAGGCTGAAAAAGAGAGTGAGTAGTGCTTGCTACCATTTATATATCATAGGTATACGAACGAGACTCCTGTCCCGGGCCATGGTAAAATTAGGCTTATGCCTATATGAATTTATTCCATGTCGAGTCATATGATCAACGTCCTCTCCGGAAGCGACTTGTCGCACATGAACAGCACAACACGCTCGTGGTTATCACGCTACACCGAAAGTGTTAAACCTGAAGCCAATAACAAATCACGAACCAGGAAGATCCGGAATTCTGTGCTCTGATAACAAGATGCGTGACGACTTCTGCTGAGGAGTAAAGAGAAGGCAGTGCTTAGATTCGTGGCAGCGTTAAAATTCGGGTGACCAAATCCTCAAGGCGTTTTTAGTCATGATTGGCGAGGCTTGGACTTTACGAAAAGCCAGGACGAGGACATGGGGCAAAGGGGTCGAATAAGATACTTCGGACCGTGATTAGAAGACACGTTTTACCAACAGGTTGATGCAGTGTATCTGTGTATCTATAGTATCATGGTGGATGGTTTTAATGTAAGATCGATATCCCACATTTCCAGAAATAATGTAAATATGGACTAACCTCTTCTGAAAGGCTGCTCACTGGTAGTGGCGCTAAGACTGTCGTAAGTATTGACGACCCAAAAATGACCCGAATAGGCGGTTCTAAATTTTCTGGAAGATCGTTTCGAGCCTTACAGCAAGTATCTCTTTCAAAATGGACTGTCTACGAGAGACTACGAGAGACTAAGTGGCAAGAGGCCCATATACACTCGGAGTTTCGTATTAAGTAGATCTAAATTTTTGAAAACTAACGCAAACCAGGGGGGAGCTTACACAAACCAATCAAGGTGGGTTCATGCATGGATTCCAATCACTACCAGAAAATTGGAAGTCTAAGCGAAGCAGAAAAAAACACTGCACACAGGTCCATGCGATGAGATCACTACACGAGGCTCAACGTGCCTACATTATACGTCAAAAAAACCTCTAGAGAAATATAAATTGTGCAGCACTATCGTTGATGAAGTGAACGGACTTTTGATGTCGATATTTTCAGTGAACAAATGTCAAGTATGAGACCAAAATTTGGGGATATTCTAGATAGATCTATCTAATTCACATAGGCATCGCGAGGTAGTGCCCTTGAACTCCAGATGTAACTCTGGATGATTTGCGGCTGTGAGGGTGGCACCTTTTGAAGCAGTGGCCGGCTCTTGTGTGAGTACTACGTAATACAAGCGTCTGGCAGTCTCTATCTGTGATGCATTATTCGAGAATGATACTAGACACGGGACTATTGACTAACCTGTCCGACGTACGAAGTCCAATGCTGAATGGTCTCTACTAGGGGTAACAAGTCTAGATCTAGAACGATGGCATCTATACGTTATATGTTAAATCAACGCAGTGGATTTGACATACAAGATGAAGAGTCTTATGTCGGTTGTTCTTCGTTTGCAAACTGGTGTCTCTACAGAGAAACTGGCATAGTGATAGATGACTCTTCTTGGCTGATGGCTGCTTGGGAAGATATATGGGGTTCCATGTTTAAGGTCTCCATGACCTTAATGGAATTATGAGCCCTGGGACAAACTAGGTAAGGTAAGAAGATTTATTTCTTTTAGCCGTCCACGAAAGTTTTGAGCATTCTGTGGAAGGTTCAGAAAAAGCCTGAAAGCAACACCCACAATCTGTGATACGGCCATCCTGTATGATTGTATAAGCTCGCACATAGGTAAACTGCCCTTACTTTGGGCGCAAATTGTCTTGTGAAGAGGTTCCATGTTCCCAAATAAAGATGTCGATTTTGCCCCCAGTCCATCCAAACCAATATCATTGATTTGTGATGGCCCTATAAATACATCATGAATTCGATGAGCACAGAAAGATAAAACATCGACATGGCATTTATCGGGGCAAGCAACTGGATGTGTTGACGTCTCATACCCTTTAAAGCTTGTCGTTTTATTGCGATTTCAGGATTTTTGAATGATCTAGGACAGAAATTCTATAACAGAAATGCTGAAAAGGTCAATATTTTCGCGATAGCAGGTGTTTGGATGCCAAAACTCACATGTAGTAGGTTAAATTGGGGAGAGAAGGAAAGCTTCAAAAGTTGATGGAGGGGTAAGCAGACAGAAGTCGGAAATGTAATAATGCAAAAGGCGTAGATTACTACAAGGGTAAACCAAATATAAGATGGCTAACAATACATAAAGAAAGGCCTATGTCGCTGGGTCATGTAGAACTGCGAGAAGGTACCGCTCGTCTGTAAAAAATTGTTTCAGTGACATGGGGACGGTTTATGAAGAGCTGATGGAATCATGGTGCTTACCTGGCGAGATCATAATTTCATGTCGTTTCGTCCGTATTCTCATAAAACGCACTTCATCCTTGGTTAAAAGGATCAGCAATCAGAGATCTTATAAACGACGAAGCTAAGACTCACCCCATCATTGTCAGGTCCATTGACTTCCTCTAGCCCTGCTTGCACACTTTCAACTATTTTGCTGATAGCACTTGCATATTTTTTGCCTTGTTCGCCTTCAAATATTACTCCTGAATATCTGATGATGCATACAGGATGGCCTCTTGATAGTAACAGGTAACCTAGGACTGAACGATGTGAAGAAAGAAGAGAAAGCGTCTGCTCTAGTTCTGGTGGCATAGCTTGTGCAGGTGGTGCACCGTGACTGTAAGGCTTCGGTTACAGATATCAGAACTAGACTTACATATTATTATTACGTAATGTTTACTTGTGTTGTTCAGCACTCTCAACTTATGTCTTTTTTTAGCTTCAGATGTTGCCGACCAAATTAATGATTAATCATAGTATGCAAGTCGATATCACTATGCCTCAGCGCCTTTCACTGAAGTACTTAGTAGTAGCGGGACATTTCAAACAATTACTGCAACATTGACATGATGCTATTAGTACATGTAGCAATAGTTTCAAGACCTAATAGTAAGTTACTGAAAGGCCCTGGGGCCTTTCTATACATGTCACCTTTACTCTGGTTGTACTACTAGTATTCAGTTGAAAATATGTTTATGTTTCATTAGCATACTTCGTAACTGCTGAGTGCAAGAATCGATCCAGCACTCGACCATATTATAAAGCTACTCAACCCGCATCTCGACTGGGTGCGAGATCTTCAAGCGAAACGTATCCGCAAATAAGAAACCACTTTTGTCGACCTCATTAAATCTGCGTAATTCAGACGAGCGGCTCATATATTTCAAGGCACGGCCAAGTGCTTTCATGAGTTAAGTCCGTGCCTTGAGATACTTTAGTCAACTTTCGAAAACTGCCTTATGGAACGACTTACCGAAAAATAGCGATGATGCCAAGGACTAGCACTACCAGTGACTACCTCGGAACCTCTCAGGGAATCCAATGATCCTGCTATGGATTTCATCGAGGACAATATGGCTTGTTCTATGACGCACCAGTCGTTTCCTGGTGTCTCGGATTGGGTCAGGAGCCCACGATCGAGTAACCGTAACAACGACTGACGACATTTCCAAAATTCGTGCAGATTCTGAAGAAGAACGCTGATATTGTGCAGAGCGGACTCTACCTCTAGCACAGAGTTACTTGAAGTCGTTTTTTCTGGAAGGTGAATTTAATGATGATCATCCAGAGTGAGACTCAAGCTAACCTTTGGCTATAGTAGGGCAAGTTTTTCGCCTCCGAAGTGGGTGTAGTTTGATACATTTCAAAAACTGATCCTTATTTGAGGCAAAGGCGATCCGAATATGGGTATGAGTGTCAATAAGCTGGTAGCACCTTGCTTCATACTCCTTTGATATGTCCGAGATCTGAGCCTGTAAGATCTCGTGGTGCGGATGGTCTGGTGCTATGGCACCATGCGTCAACTTGTCAGGGAAAATCGTCATTTCTTGAAGAAAAGTATGCAAATCGTGCAGCTCTGTGATCAACTTTGACTTCATCGCCTTGTACAATTCTTGTACAATTGGCTGCTTCTTGAGTCTTTCCGATGTCACTAGGTCTGTGCCGAGCGAAGCCATAGCTGCCTGACAGCTATTAACTTGTATAGAGAGAGATTGTATAACTTCTGAAAAAGGAAATTGATTCTGGCCCGAGTTTTCAGTAAAATTTACTTTGCAAGGCTACGCGAGGACACACCAGGCTAGCATCCACGGCTTTGGGCAGTTCAGGTTTCACTACTGTCAATGATAGACATTCGACTTTACCAGCGACGAGAACAGGCTAAGTATGAAAGATGATGTCAATCATACTCATGACATTCAAAAGGATCTTACCTGCGAGGATGTCGTATCTGGACCCTTGATATAGGCAACAGACGGATATAAGTCTTGCAACATGCTTATCTGGCAATCAAGAGAGGTTAACAGAGCCGATGAACAAATATGACCAATGTACTTGCTCGATCCACGTAAAATTGGTATTGCTTTGATATTGCGATCCAATTTCTTTGGAGCTCTTCGCTTTTCAACTTGCCAAGAGACTCCCGGTTTTGTACAACAGTCTTCATTCTTTGGAGTCTAGTTTCCGTATGAAGCCACCAATTCACGAAAGCATCAACATTTTTTGTGACTTCCTGCAGTGCACAATCCATCCCGTGCAACATCTCGAGGATTTCCTTTGCTGATGCTTGTTGGGCTGTGCGTCCTAGAGAATTTTTCGGGTGAAATTCAGTGAAAGAGTGAAATGCAACTTACTTGCAGCCCGATTTCGAAAATGTTTTTCGAAGGTTGCCGCTAGCAGACCCACGATTGGTAAAACTGCCGGTAAAATGATAGCAAGATGCGATCCGGCTGAACCGAAGATTGCTGAGTTAGTTGCAGTGTATTGTAATGCACTAGTAATGAGCCTGGAGGTATGGTCGGTCATATCCGCAATATTTTCATGACGCTTCGCTTTTATGCCTGCAGTTTCAACGTCAATGTTAAGAAAACCGGTCACGTGTAGGATTTCATTTGCGATCTTGACCCCAGATAACTGTCAGCTAAAACAATCTTCAATAGAATTTAAGTCACCTTCATAACCCCTACTCTAGTCTCGCGAAACTTGTTGCGTGTTTCCAGTGCTAGGCTGTGCGCATCCTTAGTCCCCTCCATCAATTCGTCCAAATAGGAGCTTAGCTCGTCTGGATGCACGCTATCGTCGCACAGGAAAGAGCACAATGAAACTGCTTGTTGTGCAAAGTGGTATCCTTTCCTGCTCGTTTCGATGCTCATATCGATGGCCTCCACATATACAACAGTTTGCTGTTTCACTGAAATGATGATGTTTTGAGCCCGAGGATCAGCCGATCTCACCGTCGAATATTCCAAGTCAATACGTGACCAACATCAAAAAGTCGATTTGTACACTCACTTAGCATCAGGTGAACACCATGGTTCAAGCAGCCGTAGGGCTTCCTGCGCCGGTTTAATCAAGGCTACCACATCGTAGTTCTGCTCGCTGGCCGGAGAAATAGTGGTAAGAGCTTCAGGGGCAGGTTGCTTTGGGGAAGTTTCTGTCATTTCCGTTGAAAACGAACAGATGAACAGGAACGAAAGAAAAGAAAAGGCAGAGAACGATAAAATACGATGGTGATACTTATAAAGGAATGGGCTCGTGTATAAAGTCAGATCTTGCTTGATAAAATCACAGCTCACTCGGGGTCAAACATTTGAGGCAACAGTTTAACGAATTCACTATCTCTCGAAGTCTCTCACATTGATGGGACCATATTCAGACGAGAAGTGACGACATGACGAACACGAGGAATGCAACGCGGTCGCAGGTCTGTGCTGATTGACGCCGCTCAACATTGCCCTTTGTTCCGCAGTTCGATCGTAAGCGCGATTCCAAATCATATATCAAGGTAGTTTCCGTGAGCGCTAGACTTTCATCGATATCGCAGGCAAGAGAATACTAAAAAGAGACGATAAGTACCAGGGGTGGGGTTCGGATGAGGTACCAATAGCCTACCCCCCTATCTTTAAAAACAAACACATCTCCTGTTCGGCTCAGGATAAATGAAAGAGAAATTTGACCTCGGATTCCCCTGAAAGTAATTATGCCAGTGGTCGACCCCGCAGGCGTCATTTTGGAAACGCGATAGCGTGGAGATACGCTTGCACCGGTTTGCTTCAGCTACACTTCTCCGTAAATTTTACGAGATTCTCGTGTTTTCAACACGGAATATGGATGTTCGTTCGAACGTGTGTACAGTGGCGACCACGAAGTAACAATAGCTCACTGTAGCTGTCAGTAGCCAGTGCCTCACTGTGGTAGGAGCTGCTGGATACAATGTGTATTTCCCACGATCACACCCGTTTCCACATCTGAGAAGATCACTAGTACCTGGCATGTTAGACTTGGAAGCTTACAACTTCATCATTTACACTTGCAACATTACCCCGCTAGCCAATAGAATGCGGTATGGGACTTCATTGAATGTGGCAATTCAAGCCTCGGAACTTTATTGGCTTGATTCGCAGGTCCCCACTTAACAAACATTACAACGCAAGAGCCCTTACCGAGGTGCATCACAGCTGACGCGCACCGTACACGTTGGCGCAGATGTGTTGGCAGTAACAATATGGCAATATGAGTTCAGTACAAGTATGCATGATCGTTTGAACGAAGTCCCGTAATGGCCTCAAATCCCTTTCGTCGACGTGCTACTTTAGCTCTAGGAAGCGTTGTCAGACCTAGAGCTTCTTTAAAGCCAGACACCGTCTTAGTAGGTCGGCCTTTGTTTGATTTTTTGAAATCTATTTTCTAACCTTGAATTGAAGCATTCCACTTCTGCCATCGAACGGGCCATCACATCGCTCCAAAATGGTATCAGCCAAGCCTCTTCTGAATTATACAAGTTCCAAACAGCGCTCAATAACTATCATGCTCGTCGACCAATCGACTGGCATTTGAATCAATTCAATGCCTTCAAACTCGCCTTTATGGACAACCTCAATACTATGATGCACTTCTTACAGCTTTGTCTTGAATACGCAAACGACTATGTCTCGCTCTGTGAATGTTCTCTTCGAGAAACGATAGTTGACAGTGGAGCTTCACTCAGAGAGCTCATCGCCACGGCTAAGCAGAATGTGGCGGAGGTCAATATCCTGTCGGCTGCATATGAAAAAACAAACAATATATTCCGAGATGGCCGCTTCAATTCTTTATTCCGTCGTCGCTTTAGCCTGACGGTAACGCGAGCAGAGCAGTCTATGTACAGTAATAAACTTCCCAAGTCTTTTTTAAAATTATCTTTATTTACCTTGTATTTTTCGCAGGTTCCACCGATCAGCGCCAAATCACTGCTATGGAAGATTCTCTCCCAGAGTTCGTTGCGGTCGCAAGAGAAGCGGTGAACCCAAAAGGAATTGACGCCCTCATGGCATGTAATTCCGCATTACAACAAATCAAGCAATCTTTAATGGACTTCGCTATCTTTTGGAACGATCAAGTGACTGAACTGCAGTCCATAATCGGTGTCCATGCTGCTCCGCTCACAGTGTCTCTCACCGCAAGGCAGCAGTCACTCGAAACATGGGAGCGGTATAAAAATCCATTACATCAGATCCTTTCGTGCGTCACAGCGTCTTTAGACGCTTTGGCTATCGATGCGCCCTGTTTGCAGCAGAAGGCCCCCAACTCTGTGGTTCGGCGGATATTTTGGAGCTGGATGGGGTGGCTCCGGCTCATTTAGGCGGATTTAAACACTCTTCTGGTTCTCCCTATGTTACAGTCTCATTCTAAGCGTTTGTAGTCAACTTATATTATTGGCAATTTGTAACCCTGAGTCTTACAGTTCAGCGTGTTTCACAGGCATTTGCAGAGCTCCGGGTGATCAACTTCGATATGAAGTTCGCCCCTGATGGGTGCCATCGGCGCATGGGTTTCATAAGGCCTCCTGTCGCTTCACGTCACTTTTGATCGCCTGTTTTTATACAATGAGGCAGCCTCAAGGTCAAACCCAAGCGTTATCTTGAACACGTCGTTGGTCCCTCGAAGCGCTTGTGATGTCAGTATTCATTCTACGGTTTGGCATATTTCAAGTGGTACACACGTCGTTCTGTACAGTATTTTGATGCAAGATTTCTCTTTCGCAGCAACATGCCTTCTCTTGTCACCTGGAGTCATTTGCGCAATGAACGGAAAGGCAGTGGGGTAGTAGTGAGTCCCACCTTCTACTTGCAAATGATGAACATGATTCATATTGCGGCCTTTCCAAGAATGCTCCTGACCTTGAGCGCATTGCGTTGGCACTGGCTAATGGTACAACCGAAGCTGCAACGGCGTTGTACAAACTGCAGACGGCACTTAATAATTATAATGATAAAAAACCTATTCCTCGACAACTGGATTCTTTCAGCTCTTTCAAGAGCGATTTCCTTGCTGGTCTAGAGGCACTCATCTCGTTCCTTCAGAACTGTCATGGATATGCGGACGACTATGTCACCCTATGCGAATCTTCTTCCACGAACTTGGCGACCCAAAAGTCCTTACTCACCGTCCACCTTGCCACCGTAAAGCAGACATGTTCCGAAGCTGGGGCCCTTATGACTGGGTATGACGAGACGTACAGCAAATTCAATGAATGTCGTTTGAAGTACCTTTTCCAACGACGTTTCAGTGTGCCAACTGGCCCTCTATACCCTTCCCGTACGTGTCCGTTATGATGTGCCCGTCAGCAGCACCGATGGATGTAATTTTCTCTAGGCACAACCAGAGGCACCACTATGGACGATTCGATCCCTGATTTTGTTAAAGCCGCCAGAGCAGCAGTACGCCCAAACGAAGCAGAAGCTCTCGCAGCTTCAAACGCGGCGCTGCAGCACATACAGGAATCATTGAAGGACTTGGTAGCGTTTTGGAAGGATGAATCATACGTGCTTCACTCTTTGGTCGTGGCTCTAAACTCAAATTCTGCAACTATTTCACGGGAAAGCCAGAGGGTGGCTATGGAAAAATGGAGACATTATCAAACAGTTATACTCGGTGCTATGTCTTCCATAGCCGCGTCTGCAGATGTCACCAAGGTTGATGCGCCGCAATCAAGTCTGAAACCTCAGAAAGGGATATGGGGTATGGTTCGTTATCCGGCTGAATGGAAGTGGACGAATTTATTTGGGCGTTGAGGTCGAGATGTAAACCTTTATCCAGCCAAGAGATTATAATATTATCACACATAATGGAATGCGATTAACACCTGGACTACTGACATGCCCTAAGCCATGGTGTATATGTTTTGCCGGATCACGATACTAGCACTGCATCTGTGTGCCACGCTACCATGCTTGGACATGCGTGCTGTGATTTGACGTTTAACGTTTAAGCGGCAGTCGTGAGTCTCCAGCTGTACTAATGGAAGGTGAGTACATCATGTGTTGTTTCGTGTGGATCACAGCCGAGTCGCCTGAAACTGTACTCTACCCAGACATGCCAAATAATTAATAATTTAGTGAATATATACCATGATCATGCTTGGGATGCCTCGAGGAGACCACACAAACCTTTCAGGCCCTGTTATTTCCGCGTGCTGCTTCTAGGCACCACTCGTACATAAAATTAAGGCATTAAAAAAGTGAGTAATATGTGAAGCTCCAGCACGCACCACTAAATGCCACGGTGGTTCTAGGAGTGCTATGCTACTGCTTCAGTCATAAAAAAGTCCGGTCGAGTCCCTCAAGCCATTCTTGGTTTCGAACTCCCTTGAGAAAGAGTACCAAGTAAAGTTCTTTGGACCCTTTGCCCTCGACTCAAATCACTCAGTTCACGAATTATATTCCAAAAATGAGCTCCTCAGATGCCATAGTCACAAGCCGGAGGCGTACCGACCATGACCCTAGCAGTTCGGCTACCATTGTAAGAAGCACCTCTAGACAGCGAAGAACTCACCTTGATGCGATTATAGGCTTCCCCTGACCTTACGCGCAGCATGGTCTCGCTAGCACAAAGTGTGCAAGAAACTATGACCGCGTTGTATAACTCCCAGATGGCACTGAACAGGGCTTATAGACATCATAAAGCAACTGATGACATCGTTGACCAGATGAAACAGAGCAGAAATATGTTTCGATCAGACTGGGAGAAATATATCGAGTTTCTACAAGATAGTCACGGTTACGCGGAGAACTACTCATTCCTGTGCAAATTCTGGGCGACCCATCCAGTATCAGAATGCATTGCATTCGCCAGAGATGTCCTTGCTTCTGCGAAGGAACTTTCTATGGAGGCTAGGCGTTTGAAGGCGGAACACCAAAGAGCAGCCAAAACCCTTCAACGCTATAAAGCAAAAATACCCCATGAAGTCTTTGGGCCCGCTACCTGGACACCTGAATCTCCCGGTGTGCTCCGCTCCCTTTTGCTTTCTACTTCTATCTTACGAATTTCTTTCTGTTTGAAAGATACTGGTAACACACCACCTGCTAGCCCTTCAAGTTTGTCGGTGCAGTTTTTCGTTTTGGCCCAGACTTCTCTCAATCCAGATGGTGCTCGGTCGTTTTACGCCCTTGATCAAGGCTTCGCGGGTATCGGCGCGGCATTATCAGACCTTGCGGTTTTCTGGCAAGATCAAGTCAATGTCCTGAATGATATACTGGTCAAACCTGGCACGACCTATATCACATCCGAGGAAGAGGCAAGCCAGATTAGAATGCGGTGGCTAGATGTGCAAAAATCAATCTTGAATGCCATTCTTTCCATTTCTGCATCTTCAGATGCTGTAGTAGTTGATGCTGCTGGATACAGACGGTCCTCATTCCCGTCGCCGATTTCACCGACCACTCCCCGAGCACCAACATCAACTAGCTCTTATGTTCTGGTGCCTCGAAGGTCCTGGAAACGCTTTCTGTGTTGTTCATAGCTTCCTTGCTAGTTCAGTCTGAGAGCGATTTTGCTACTTGATGCTCATGCTTACCATTACAACATGACATCTCGGCTGGTATTGACAGTCACGAATTTCGCCGCTGTTTGGCTTTCTTGGGGACTTTCGGGGCCTGATGGTGCAATATTTCTTATTTATGAACTATATTACGCACTTTTTCTCTGCTTTTTGAACTCGAGCGCTGGACTCGTGACTGATCTTCTGCACATTGGACGCCGTTTAGACAGTGATTCAAGTTGTGTACAGGCGGTCGGTGACGGGACTCCTCGAGCAATATCATGGGCACGACAATGAATAATAATCACTGTAGATAAATATTATTATTGATTACAATACAATCACCAGAATGACCAGTTTGCTGTAATTGGGTGTGTAAACTGCGTGTTCTCGTAAAGTGCAATTACAGTCGTAGTACTGCACTGCCACTGCCATTGTTCCCTCCCAACATCCCAGCGAACGTACCACGGCTCAACGCCAGCTTCAATGTTGAACTTGCGCAAGTCTTTTGCTAGCCAATATGCAGCAAGTCCATCAAGTCCGTCTCCAAAAAGCGGTAGTCCTCCAGAGCCTGGATTACGGAAACTGACGCTTGAAGAAAGGCTTCGTGCATCCGTAGCTCAGGCTGCTGCTAATGGGAACAGCGGTTCTCCATCACCACCCAGTACTCCGAGACGTGTTATGTCCCCTCCCTCTATCCCTTTGCCATCATCACCACCACCTCCGTCGTCATCTGTGGACCCTCTGTCCAACATTATTTCTGTTAGGTCACGTCCTGCTACCCCTTCAAGGTCTTCCACATTTGCGGAGAGGGATGGTGGTATTCATTCACCAACGCCCCTTACTCCAAAGCTCGCTGCAGCATTCGTTGAAGCGAGTGTCCCACTACCACAGTCTCCAGCGCCCGTACAGGCATCCGCACCCAACCAGAGTCCCGACGTGGTATCCGTTGCGACCTCCAAAGAAAGCCTTGCTTCCGAGACCGACCAACCGAACCCAACTAATGAAGACAGTAACTCAACTCCCGTCATTGAACCGCAACCTAATCCAGAATCAGACGTAGAAGGTTTACAAAAGCGTCTGAAGCTCGTTGAGCAACAGTTTGTGGGTGAGGTCGATTTCATCATAACAAAGCAGCATGTGATTTACCATATCACTTTGGAGACGTGTCAAACTCTTTTAAAGGTCTTCAAGCTGAAAAGTGCTTTGCGGAGGCACTCGTTCGCGGGTTGACTTCATTACAGGGTACTGAAGACGTTGAAGTGTTTCGCCACTACCTTCAAGACATGATATCAAAGGCTGAGGTACTAAAGCTTTTACTTGATCGCGTATGCGCCTGACCGGAAACATTTCAGATTCCTCAAGGTGAGACCAGTCATGCTGATGAAAATTCCACTGGTATGTGGTGTGAGTTGATCGACTTCTCATTTTACTTACTTGGCTATTACTATCACAGAACCAAATCAGCTCCTTGAAGACCCTCGACACCTTCCTGCAGAATCTGCTTCCCGTCCCGAACACATAGAACAGTCTGACAAGGCAATCCAGAAGGACCCTGATCCTCCTGTACTACAGGAGGATGAAAGGGTGGACAACAGCCGAGAAGAGCTTATTCGTCTTCAGCAAGAAGCTGACGAAGCATCTTTGAAGAGTCGAGAAGAGATCAATCGCCTTCAGCAAGAAGTTGCAGACGCAGCTGTCAAGAACCGAGAAGTGATTCATCGCCTTCAGAAAGAGGCTGATGAGGAAACCACTAAGAACCGAGAAGAGATCAATCGTCTTCGGAAAGAGGTTGACGAGGAAGCCAAGAATCGAGAAGAGATTAGTCGTCTTCAGAAAGGGGTTGATGAGGAAGCTGTCAAGAGTAGAGAAGATATTAGTCGCCTTCAGAAAGAAGTTGAAAAATTCAAATCATCTGCAGCAGAAGAGGAAGAAAAGCGTGTCAAGGCTATGAGCCTGTTGAAAGCAGTAAGGCAAAAGCTGATCAAAGCAGAGAAGGACAGGGACGACGCTTTTAAGGAGCTGAATGGTGCAAAAGAGAGGGAGAGAAAGCAGAAAGAACAGGACGATGCTGAAAGGGCTAAACTACAAAGCGAAGTAAACTCGGCCAAAGCAGAGCGAGAGAGTGCAGTTGCTGCTTTGAGAGCACAATTCGACAAGGAACTCGCTGATACCAAGATTCGGTTAGAGAGGGACTTGTCGAATGTGAAAGAGCAGTTAAGTCTTGATATGACTAGCATGAAGGTACGTGATGTTTAAATAGTGGAAGTTCTGGTATCTCATTGATTCGTAGGAATCACATTTCAAAGAACTGGCATTCAAAAACTCGCGACTATCGTCTCTTGAAGCGTCCGTTAATAGTCTTTCAGCCGAGAAAAACTCATTATTCGACCAGTTGATGATAAGACAAGCAGAACTTGAGTCGTCACAATGTCATTCCGAGACGCTACAGAGCCAGAATACTGAACTCGAGTTTCAACTACGGGAGTGCCGGAATAACATATCCCTGTTAAACGAAGAAATCCTGGATGTACGCGGAGATCAGTCTATAAGGAGCCAGACGTCGCTGACTTCGAGTGAAGAGCTCGTACAGTCTCTCGCAGCGGCTGAGGCGAAATATGAGGCGAAGATCAGTCATTTAAGGAAAAGTCTAGAGGCAGTCGAAAAGGAGCGGAACGAGAATGAAGCAGAATGGAGCCGGAAGCTACGGGAGAAGATACAAGAGGCAGAAGAGTTCGATAGGATGCTTCAATCTTCTGCAGGCGCGAGGGAAAAGGAGATTGAGGCGGTGGAAGAGGTGAAAGCTGAGGTGACGAGACTGAATATCGAGCTAAAGTCTCAACAAGAGCAGTGCTCTGTTCTTCGACAGCAAATGGAACATCTTAAAAACACTGAGGTAAGAGGAAACATGCTCAGAAAACGTCCTAGGTTTGGAGATATTCACATTATTGCAGGCCTTGGCAAGTCAACGTACTAGAGACGTCGAAGCCCAAAGAGGATCTTTAGAGAAACTGCTCGATGAAAGTAAGGCTCGTGAAAACCACATGCTTAGCCAGAATAAGGTACGGATCCTTCCCTTCAAGGAAGCTTAACTTAGATTGACGTTGAGATGAGCAGACTTTGCGTGAAGAATTGCACAAGATACAAACGTCGCTCTCCCTTCTTGAACGGAGGCGTAGTCCAGGCGTTGGCTATTGGTCCCCTCGACAAGGGAAGACTCCTGTCGACAGTCGCACGTCGACTTCATCGTTATCGGATCCGACCGATAGAGTTGCATCACCAGATCAAACTTCATCACCCAAACAAACGAAGAGTGATGAAGAGGTAAATTTCGAATACCTAAGAAATGTTATAATGCAATTCTTGGAGCACAAGGAAATGAGAGTACGTTTGTCACCAACTCTCGAGGCATACATCCACTAAATAACACGATTTACCTAAACTAGCCCAATCTCGTTCGAGTGCTGTCGGTTATATTGCATTTTACGCCTCAGGAGACTCGAAGAATTGTCGCGAAAGTTTGATTATGGACATCGGGAGCTCCGCCAGCCCTTCGATAGCTTACCTTTATTGATGAACTGGCATGATTGTTCTTATGTCTGGGCGTTCTGGCATCTTACCTATCAGCTCAGGAGCACAACGGTAGTATAGCGTCCAGCGGGAATCAGGTCTGGAGGCTGCATCTTGATATGTCACAGGGTAGTCGCACTGAGGGACAGCTCATTCTGTTTACCAGACGTATATCTCACAACAATTTCAGCTAATTTACCAATATGAAATTGGCGGGCAATTCTCGGCTCACTATTTTATCAGCCTCGGGGATTCACAGACTTCAGCTTGCTATCTTCATATCGAATGCCAAGGCGAAACTATGATAGAAACAGCTTCTAAAAGATGTGTAACCTGCTGACACGTTGTGGTAGCACACATCAAAACCAGATATGTCTTCCCTAAGAGTTGACTCGCTATGAGCACAATATGCCCAATTAGAGTTGCGTCCTGCTGGCACAAGACGAGCTGCTGAGATATGAATATGAACACGAATAGCATCATAGCCATAGACGCAACGGGAATTCCATTTGTTTTACAATTCCTAAAATCAACTCCATCGATATTCTTACCCACCTAGATAGCCCTCAATACACAAGATCCACAGAAGTATCAGCGTCGGTTGCGACTCTGCCCCATTCCGCTTCCCGCATCTGCTCCAGCAGCGCCCATCCTCATTTCATCCTCATCCAAACCGGCCTCGGCCAAGATCTTCTCAACCTCTTCCAATATCGGTTTGTATGAGGCTACGGATCTTGATTAGCAGAATATCATAGTTCAGTTACATAAACACATTACCATAGCGATCCTCAGCGAGACCAAACCCATCTCTTCGAAGCATTTTACCACGATTGTCACTCGTTCCATGCGCTTTTTGCGCCCAATACTCTCCTAAAACCGACCGAATTTCAGCATATGTAAGATCGATGAAATAAGAAACACAAACTAACGTGAACGAGCGTAGAACATTGCCAGTGTTTCTCCTGGCAGGGGAGTACTGATAACATCTTCCGCGGTCCGTGTCGTATCTTTTGCAACCCCCATAAATACGGTTGCTTGTGCACGAAGGTCATCCTGTTATATTCAATGAGTCAACAAGCCTTTGATATTCATGATATTCCAGAGGACTTCACCTTGTCTCTAGTGTCAAGATCAGAGGCTCCGCTTTCGTTTTCTATACTCGGGGGTTCTGCCGTTATCTCGCTGACTTCAGCAATATTCGCATTGTTTTCGGCACGTTTCCCTTCACCACATACGGCAACCATTTCTTTACCGCTTCTTCTCTCGTCGTCTTCACTGTCATCGTCATCGTCTTCTTCGTCATCGTCGTCATCGTCTTCGCTGCTACTTTCATCTGCACCCTCCGCTGGAATAGTAATCCCGCTACTCTTCAAACATACATAGCGATCCATCTTGTCGAGTTGAAGGGAATGGAAGTCATCCAAAGTGTATTCACGAGACCCGCACTCGAAAATGCCGCCGTATCTGATAAATATATGTCAGCGGTCTAATAGGATTAAAGACGTACACACATATAAAGAGTGTTACGCAAAACGGCAAGCATAGCATTGTAGCGAGGGAGGGGCAGAGAGAGCATGGGGTCGTCAGTATCGGTTTCAGTATCTACAGTAGATGCTAATTTAATACTGGAGCCCTTTAAATCCTTTTGCGGTAAAACGACTGGAGTATCCGTATGTTCTCTCTGGAAAAAACGTTGAGTCCTTGGTGAAATAAACAAAACGAAAGTCTAACCTCGTCATAATCTTCAGCATCGCTATTACGTTCTTCATCTTGCTCTTCTCTTCTTGGGGGATGTAAAACAGGTTTCTTTTTCTTTGCGGAGCCTCCTTTCTTAGGCCGCTTGAGAGTCATAGAGATCCATCTTCCGTTACCAGCCAACTGATATCCATATCTTCAACGCATTGACATGGTTAAATGACGTTGATCAGGTCAATGAAATACTCACAGATCGTTCCAGAAGGTACTCTCCAACGTTTCCTCGCTAGTATCTTCATCTGTGACTCCGCCGAAGAGGATCCCCATGCCTTTGGATGTCCAAGGGGTCATCGTACATCCCGAACGTAGGGAAGGAGCATAGGCTGTTGATGACTTTTTGCGTTTCTCCCACTTGAATGATAAGGGACTGAATGACAGTGATTTACCGTCGGGAACTGTGTTCATTGAGATCCTGAAGTATACTAGGTTATTCATGATTTCATACGGGAAAGACGGTCGTGAAACATCACTTCAGGAACCATGTATCATCCAGCATAACACCAACTGGACGTTTCCCTTTGGCATATTCTTTACAATAACCACCTATGAACAATACACTTGATTGCACCAAGGGGAAACACTGTACTGTGCCTACCATGTAGGACCACGCCTTCTACTGTTGGAAGGAATGAAAATCCACTTCGAGGCCTGTCAAAAGAAAATTAGTCATCCCTACTTGCTCTTGTAATATTGGACTGACGAGGGTTTGCGATCAGTCTCCTTAAATTCGATTTGCTTCCACTTGTACTCTTGTGTGTCAAATATCCAGGTATCGTTAAGGTAATGCGCTGCGTGAGATAGACGAAAATATATAATGAATCCACCTGAGGTTTTAACAAAAACGCACTTGTGAAACCTGGATCAATAAAACCACCGAAAAGGACAATATAATGCTTCCACATTGCCATGCTTGCTCCAGTTGAATAAGAAACACTGGTCCTCATTGCAAGCGGGATACTCACCGATGTCCCGAACGACCACTGGGACGCAATTTGGTGTCAATGCGATCCCAGCTATGAGTGCTGATGTCGAAGCACCAGAAATCGCGATAGTGGTGAAAGTTGTTTTGGTACAATGAGGAAAATTCACCACCTGATTTCAAAATGTTGCATACCCGGCCATCGTAATGAGGTATTAATCAACACATACCAAAGAGAAACAACTTGCCGCCTCCTGCAGGTGATGCCACAACAGCGTGCGCCGAACGAGGGCCAGGACAGGTAGGCGAAACAAATTTCCGCCATTCATCCTAACCAAAAATGTCTTGGTCACAATTTAAGTTGGAGATGTTTGATTAAACACACTTTATCAGGAGCATAACGGAACATATCGTTATAGAAATACTAGTCAATGTTCTTGTTAGAACGATCTCAAAATTTCATATGGGGTCTGTGTACATGGCACGTACCGCCTTTCCATCCTCACTGAAGAATTCGCCACCGATACACCACAGATGATTTCCATTAGGGCAGGCAGTCAATGTAGCATTTGCTCGTCTGCTAGGCGGTCCTTCGACTAGCTCTTCGGTGACTGTATGCGCTTCCTCCCATTCTCTCCGCATCTACTGATCCACTCATGTTAACACTCAAGCATTTCCACTGAAAAAGGGGTCGAATCACCTTTTCCAGTATATCCTCTAAGTCTTCGTCATCATCTTCCCGACGATCTTTAGAAACCTTTTTCTTTTCTTTTTTGTCTATCTTTTGGGCTGTCTTTGCTTTCTTCGCTGCTTTTGCAGTTGATTTTGATGTAGAAGAAGTCGCCTTTTTCTTCGCCATGATGTGGTCTTCGACGGTATGGTTTGATACACTCTCACACTAACAGGTGCCAGTGCTGCGACCTATGGTGCTATTGGCAGGGTGACGATAACTTGAAATATTGCACTTCGAGTTACTACAGCCCGAGCAACATAGTCGAATTGCTCGCCGATTGCATGTGGAGTATCGATCAGTGAAAGTCATTGATTAGCCACTTCCAAATCGGGTCCGGCTAATCGTAAGTTAGTAGCAAACTACTCTCCTCTAACTTGAGTAGATGTAGAATCAGTGTTAAGGGCTGCTTAGAGGAGACTAAATAATATGGCCCTCCGGGGCAAACCTGGACCCATTTGTTCTGCATTTCGGTGCCCTTATTGTGGTGAATTACCTGAGCATTAGCATTCATCTCTACGATGCACCAAACAGCGAGGTAAAGTTTTTCAGCACCGACTCATGAAAAGTACTGTTTTGCAGGTATCTCTGATAATTGACATTGTTTGATCGTTGCTGTTTACCCCGATTCTGCCGCACTTAGTTGTAGGTGCTCCAAAAATTGTATGTCAGGATCTGGCTCTGTCTGCTACCACGCAAGCCACTATATTGAATGGAAGGCAAAGGAAACAATAATAAAGAGGCGGCGGTATCAATCGGGACATACGAATTGCTTACAAGTGAGAGGGCGAGTCATGCAGATTGGTACATAAGAGGAAAAAAAGTTCCGGGAAGAAGAAAAAACTTCAATGTCGAAATGAAAACCTGGGACCTCTGAGTCCAGGAAAATGCCACAAGAGTGTTCTCAAAACATTAATTCCCATATTTGAACGTAGATACCACAAGAAGTAAACATAAAACACGAAGAATGTATGTACAAACGATCGGGAAGCTAGTGACAAAGTTTCTGTGCAAGATAGATGCGTAGTCCAGTAATCTCATCACATCACTAGGAGGGTCACCACAACTACTACGATTGATGACCACGGGGCCCACACAATGGCTCGCGCTCCTGCATTGGCTCTTACAGCGCATGCACTGCCGCCAGGATTTCCACCTGTACATCACATTACGTGGTTGTCAGCAGCAGTCAAAGACAGCCAGACTCCTCACTTTTTCCTCCAATAACAGCACTAGACAACTGCGCAAATCCTACTGAAGGGGGACTCTGTCGAAACACAGAGTAAACATTCCTCTGTTTGGTTTAGCTTGATAATATCGTATGATTTTTGGATTCTTCACTTACCAAGTAGGGTTCACCTATCACCCAGGAAGGACTGTTAGAATCTGAAGGATTAACATTATTATTACTCCCTGCCAAAGATATGATGGCACCGGTGCACATGGCTGAGTTGTTATATTGTGGAATGAGAAGGTCGGTGCTGTCGATCGACCATGCGCTGCTTCCGAACGAGAAAGTGACCTGGAAACTAGGGGTGTTGCATGCTGCGTGAAGAACATAGCATTAGGCGTGGCAGAGATTAATAGTTCATACGATAGGATACATACGTAATTGAAAAGATCCATCACCTAGGTCATCACCACTTACTTGAGCCCAAATAGCTTGTACCTGCTTTAGAGGACCCATGATATACGGAGACCCGGTGTCTATGGCAGCAAGCGGGTAAGGCAATGTGATGTTCTTTGATCCAACTGTGATATCTGTATCGGCCAACAAGTGGACTTTTAAGGCACCGAGTATGACCCTCGACGTAAAGTACGTACTGTGAATTGGGATGGTCCAGTACGTCGATGAACTTGTCAAATTTGTAAATTCGATACATCCTTGGTAAAGACTGGTATTGACGCCTCCCAAAGTTAGCACTCCACCTGGATTTGTAAGCGGCTGCACACCGGTAGGACTAGCAGCCTGCTCCAGCACGCGTGCAAGGTAAAACGACATTTCTGCAACTGACAATTGTCCTCTGCTGACAATAGTTTGCCAGAACGGTGTGGCATTGATGAATGAAAGACCTTGAAAGGCAAAACCCATTAGCCCTGGTAGGACATCACCACCCCCAAGATTAGTTTGATTCACGAGGACTGAAAATACAATATGTAAGGAGATTTCAAGGCATGATACAATGAAATACACACGGAAACTTTGTTGAGGCACAGTGAAATTGCCCATAGACACCGTATCATTGCCAATGGTCCCTGATACGGTCCCAGCTGCGAAGGTAATGGAACCATTGGACGGACTACTGATGGTTTTATAAGTGGAAGAGCTGGAAGAGTTATATAACGTGACATTGCCACATGCACATGGGGTTGAAGGGAGCCAGAGATCGGCGGATCCAGTATCGAGGAGGACATTGAAATTCTGAGGTCTGGCAGCTTATGAGGGCGGGAAGGATAATCAGCAATGATATCAACTCTTACGGAGTACCGATACTGATGGCCCCGTAGTAGGTTGGCACAGTTCCGTTGGCAATCTGAAATCAGGAAATGAGGATTACAAGGGTAGATGAATCAGGCAGCGACTAACTCCAGATATTATTGAGATAGGAGAAGTAATTCCCAAAAATTCGCCTGTAGCTGAGTATCCATACTTGGCTCGCAGGTATTCCGCCGTCCTTTTGACATCATCTACGCCTTGGGGATAGGATCGCCTGAAAAGTGGGATGTCAACTGCAGTGGAAGAGTCGGACGACGTCGTGTCCGGAATGAACAGCGCATGAGTTTGCAGAACCAACACAACCAGCAACGTGCAAATGAGCGCTACGGGGAACATCATCAAACTCGCGGTTATGCATTCTATTATGCATTCTATATTCTGCCCTTTTATACTGCTCGTAGCTCGTAAAGGGAACACGCAACTCTATTCGTATCGTATGCGTCCTTCCAGCACGATAACAACACATCCATACGGACTTCGCGTGGTCTACAGGGCGCTTGCCACAGCCGCCATATTCCGGAAACCAATACAAGTGAAAAGGATCTTGACACAGCAGCAGGTGGACACGTTGTAGGCTAGAAGTAAGATTGCCTGCAGACTGTAATTGAACGGAAGATATTTCGAACCATATCGATACAAGATGAGATGCAAGTGTGTATTAGTGGAAAGGCCTCAAAGACGGCAAGAGCACCGAGTAATTATTCTTTCAAGCGCCGAACATGTGAGATTTGATTAAGAAACATGAGGGCATACGAAAGTGTCCGTAGGGCCGTGAGGCATCAAGACCAGTGACAGGAAGGCGAGGATGCCTCGGTCCCGAAATGTGAGCGAAGCTCATTGCATATTGCAGTGAGGCAAACCTGGAATGCTAGTCATATCCGACAGACAAGTATGGAGATCTTGCGCCCAATGTTACAGACCATCAACGCGAAGTATTTCCACTGGGCGTCTGTTCGACCTGCGACCATGAAAAGACAGCTTCGAGAATGACCATGTTCTGTGACAATAAGAATAAGATGCGATCTGTCATAACCATAACTTGAAAGAGCGCCCGTTACGGCGCGACCCATGCTTTGTTCTACGTGTTATCGTCAACGAGGAAAACGGATGGATCAAGGGTTATGCAATAAAGCAAGGCGTCAAGGAGAATAAGTAGTAATAAAAGTACAGTAACAAATGAAATATCACTCAGGCTTGTCGCCGTCCATATCAGAGTCCGACGCCGGTCAAGCCGTCCATCATCCACGGTTTCATGCGATCATAGTAACTCCGCCATCGTAACGTCTCTAATTGATCTGTTCTCTTTCTTCACTGTATTAACATCATCTACATTTCTTTGACAGCCTATCTTATCGTTGCATGTTTGTACAAGTCTAGCCATTTCTATGTGAGCCCGCTTCATTTTTTGTCTCTATCTTGCAGCTCACTACACTGTCCAGACTGCGCAAACTTGCCCCTTTACCATCATGCCGAGGGTCGATCTGAACTCTCTTCCTAACGAACTATGGCTTGCTGTCTTTGAATCATTGACCAATCCTGGTGACCTCTGTCGCGTTGTGCGTACTTGCCAAAGGTTTCATGACCTCGCCATCCGCGTCCTTTACAGGCACATCGTTTGGGACGACCCTCGTTGGTTTGCCACCAACTTTCCTTATTTGCTTCAACATCCAGAGATAAACAGTGTTCCCCGTTCACTCACTCTGGGGATATCCCAGATTCAGTACAATGGGTCCCACGTTGAGCAAATGGAGAATATCAGAGCTATTGTCGATGTTCACGGTGATCTCCGCCAACCAGGACCCGCAATGAATCACGGTGTCAACTTCGAAGAGGACTACCTGAGTATGGTGAGATCTCGCCGCGAACCCATTTTCGTTGCCTCTGTTGCACTGTACTCCATCGTACGCGATTGCATCAATGCATTTTCCATGCTGGTGGAGCTCAACTTTAAGAACGTCTTACTTCCTAACGATTTGTATCAAATGATACACCAATTCTCGCGCCTGCGTAGGCTTCAGATTGACCATTGTACACTCCCATTGAGTCCGACCCTTATACCTTCGCACCGCAATTTGCCTATCACCGAACTCACTCTTCTGGGTCTGCGCGGCAACAGAGAAGCGAAGGTTCTTTCTTTGGCTACAGCGCAAAATCTTCGTGTCCTTCGCTTTGACTGGACCGCAGCCGTCTTCAGGATATTCACGGACAACTCTGTTAAGGACCCTGTGCCTCCTCACCTTGAGATAATCGACGCCAAGTTTCCCCCTCACAAACGTTGGCCTTCTAATCCAGCGGATGCGGAGGAGAGCTTCATCCAGCCCTTCAAGTCATTTTTGGCTATGTGCCCTTTTGTCACTCGTTTGCACATTAGAAACCACTTCCCCGCCTTCTCAATGACACCCGATATCCTTCCTCGACTCACGTACTACCAAGGACCGCTTTCCACAGTGGCTACAGTCTCTGTGGGTCGTCCAGTTGTAGCTCTTGATATCCGCGATCCCTCTGGCTCACTTCGCAACTTGACCAATGGTTTACAAGCCGTATCAGCGAATCAGCCCGAATTAGAAGAACTGTGCATTTTCTTATATCAATGGGACGATGAAATTCTATATGCGATTACCCATCATTTTACCAACCTGCGAAAAATTCAAATCAGATATTTCAGAGGTACTCCTTCAGAGGTATGGCCTATGAGTATCATTCTTGAAAACTGCGCCGCTGATGCTAGCAACCTATAGGATATCATACTCGGAATGGGCTCAAGGTTCTTTTTTTCCTTACCCCAATTGCATACTGCACATATCTTCAAAACTCTTTGTGACGCCGACGAGCGTCAGAATATGCCGACGCACCATTTTCACCATCATCATATCGTTCTTATTGAGCCGGTCCCTGAAACGGATGAAGATAATGAAGGTGACTATGAAATGTCTAATAGTCATAATTCCACAGATGGAGAAGAGGAAAACGAACTGAAGTCCTTGATATTGGCTTGGAATCGTTATTGCCCTTCCATTCGGGAGATTCAATTATTGCCTGGATTCGTATGGAGGCGATCAAACGAGAAAGATGAGTGGTGCAAGCGAAGGTACAAAATGGCGGAAAATCAAAGAGATTACAACGTCTGAGGTTCCATATCTTCCGTGTCCGCACAAAAATCGGTGTTCGCTACTATTTTCTTGAAGAAAACCCAAAAGATGTACTTATACAGGAAATGTAAGTTAACGTACGTTGTACAGTAGTATTTATATTTCTCGACATTGGTCTGTCTGTACGAATCCTGATAGAAAGGTTGACGCCCCACTGCCACCGGCCGTACTGACTTCCATAAATGGTAAGATCGGTTATACTAACGGTCTTCGTCAGCCCAGCAAGCCCTTGTCGAGCTACTGTGATCAGCGTAGGACAACAGACTTTGATTCTGATCTTAAACCACCTCGAACTTGTCAGTGTCTCCGTGATGCCATGGAATGCAAGAACTGTGAACTGAGACAGAGACAATTTTACTGTGAAAATTGCCTGAGAGCCCAGTAAGTTTTTCATTCCAGCAACCAAACATTACTCATGCAAGAAGCCTTCCAGTCTTCGTGATTTCCGCCTTCAAACACAGCATTTTACTTCAGACCGTGATGAGCAGGTCGCGAAAGCATCGAAAGCTCTACTTGCTGTTGAACCTGCTCGTCTTATCAGGGCTACATTAGCGAGGTCACAGGAAAGAGTAGAAGAATTGTTGGATGGTTTAGCAAAACTCAAGCGCGACAATGAATCCAGTACGTTATCCAGCTTGTCTTACTGACTTGACTACTCAAAGTCACCATTTCTTTGTAGAACGTGATGCTCTTCGCTCTATGCGCGAGAATCTGGCCACCCGTAGGCGTACGCTTTCCGCAGCCAAGCTCTTACCTACTCCGCCACTTGAATACTCCACCGCTAAAGAAACTCAGGAGTTGATGGCCCTGTCAAACACACTGTCAAGGGCTCGGTCTGGCTTAGTCCAAGAGCTTGTGGAAGTGTTCAATGTTGTAGAAGTGGGTGGACGACCACCAATTGGAGGGAGAGCTGGGACCAAAGGGGAGTGGACAATTGGTGATTTGATACTGCCAGTCCCTGGTGATATTCGACGCAAGATTTCTTCCTCTCTTTTCTATTTGAAGTCTCACAATCTGCGCTGTAGGATACCCCCCAGATCATATCAATGCGGTTATCACACACACAGTTCATTTTCTGGGTCTTCTGACATTTTATCTTGGAATTAAATTACCTTTTGAGATACAATGGAGCGGGAAACGCTTCGGTGTCGGACAACCATGGATTGGAGCTTGTAAAGGGACAGAGTCAGGGAGTTGGGCGAAGTTCGTTAATGAGCTCTCGTTTATTCACACTCGTACTAATTTCTTATTGCTTAGATGGTCTGCCAAACATCCACTTCATTTATCCTCGTCAAATTTATCGTCATCGCCGTCCTCCTCCCCTTCTCCTTCTTCACCACCCTCGCCAACTACACCCCTCCCCGCATCTATATCAGACTCCTACACAGAAACAAGTCCATCTTCGCAAAAGTCATTCACAACAGCTTTCGCGATGCTTTTATATAATGTTTGCTATCTTGCCCACACGCAATCTGTAGAGATACCCCTCTCTCAAGCTGGCGATGTTTTGAGTAATTTATGGGCTGTCTGCTGTAGTCCGGATTTAGGACGGCGAGTGGTTTGAATTGAATTCAAGCCAGCATTATTCTTACCTACTAGATTTTTATTCTAGACGATCCCACGAAACGACGCCTCTTCTTGCTCCCCCAACGCCTACCTCCTTTCAACTAGATTTCGCGCAATTATTACAGGCTACTACCGCAAGTCCTGCTTCACGACCTCGGGGAAGAGGTCCAGGAGCTCGTCAGTCTCCCATAGTACGTTCTCCTCGCAGGCAGGAACGTATTCCGGAGGAGGAGGAAGGTTGGGATTTGGTCGATGATGTAGGCGACGGATTTGGTTAGAGTATCAGATATGTCGGCCACCTCATTATCTTCTTTTGTCCCGGGCCGATGTCTTGGTTTCTTTTGTAGCGATAATAACGATCACTGTATTTATTTTAGACATCATAGAAATCGAGGCACGACATGTCAAGAGCAATGGCTTCGGAGTAGCTCTTTAGCATCATGTGTTCTGCACCTACGTCAACGTTTCAGCCGGCTATCAGTAAGAAAATGGACTAGGTTGTTGCTCCCGTAAACTAGGTATGTTTGATAGGCACTTTTATATCATGCAACATACTGAAAGCAGGTATCGGCTGCGCGGAGTGTGGTGTGTCTCCATTTTCGTATCATGAATCCTGCGAGCTCGGGACACTGTTTAGCCATAAGCATTCTTCTTTATCATCATTCTGAGTTCTGAGTGCAATTACGACACAAGAAGCTATTGCGGTAAGCCCGGACCTGTTTTGCCATCGCCATTGAGTTAAAGCCTGATGCAAGCTGCTTACAGGAGCACAGAAAATCGCGGAGGCCCGCTATTAGTTGAAACTTGATTCATTCGATAGCTACGGGCGAGCCTCCAACAAATCAACGTTCAGTCATGATAGCAAATGTGAGGATTTTATTTTCTCGAGAACGGACTGGCCTGACCCCCTATTCCCCTCAATAAAGCACCTGACGATGTCATTGACTTTTCTCACGTGATCGTCCAGGCATGGTCGGAACACGTCGCGTCGGGCGGCCGTCTCGTGTGAAACGGAAGTGAAGACAAGCAGCTGACCCAAAGTATGCAACTAAGTGGGGCCAGAGACATGACAGTACTCCTGTCTTATGACCTTGCAGTCATTGCTGGGATTTATATCAAGCTGACCACAGTATTCTGGAACGTTGCTCCATCATTCATCATTCACCATGCGCGCAGTTGTATACGATAAACCATTCACTGTTTCAGTCCAGGAAGTAGAAAAACCAAAAATCACACATCCTGATGATATCATTGTGAAAGGTGAGTCTTCATGTGCTAGACGATAGTCGGCATGATGTAACCGAACTTTGCATATTGATAGTTACCACAACATGCATTTGTGGCAGGTCAAGAACGTTAATACTGTTCCATGGTCGTGTTGCTCATGATGATACAAATCCAGTGACTTGCATATGTACGAAGGACGTACTGGCGCGCAGCCAGGTATTGTCTTTGGCCATGAAAAGTACGCTCAAGTCGAGCAACCATTGATTCATTAACGCTAACTGTCACTCGTGCTCCGTAGCATGGGAATCGTTGATGTACGCCGCACTCCTTGAGAGTTCTACTCCATTTTGATTTGATCCCATATAGGAGGTTGGCAATGGCGTTGAGGTAGTGTTATCTACTCAACAGAGCAATGAAACATGAAATTCACCATGCACTAGCTTCTCAAGAAGGGAGACCGCGTTGTTATGCCTTTCAACGTAGCTTGTGGTCGTTGTTTGAACTGCGAAGAAGGTAAGTCTGCATTTTGTACGCACGTAAATCCAGGATTTGTGAGTAATTTTATCATACCAATGACACGTGCTAAAACCAATTATTATAGGCAGGAGGGTATGTTTCTCTTCGTATGTTAAGTATGCACAGCTGAAACCACTACGCACCCTTCAGAGCATATGGGTCAGTCATATGACTACTTGTAAGTTAATGACTAAAATGTTTCCTAGTTATGTTGCCATGGGACCCTATCAAGGAGGGCAAGCTGTATGTATTAAGGTTGACATACTCCCATTATTTCACTTGTTTTAACATGTCATCACCAGGAATATGTAAAAGTTCCCTTTGCCGATTTTAACGCGCTCAAACTGCCGCCTGGAAAAGAGCATGAAGAAGACTTTGCCTTGCTGGCGGATATCTTCCCTACAGTGCGATACTTCCAGTTCTTCTGTCTTTCTGGTACTAATGCACAAGCAGGGATGGCATGGTGTCGAGCTGTCGGTAAGTATTCCATCACCGAAGACGCTCTGATGAATACTCATTCCCACTCCCGTATGCTATCATTTTAGGGTTTTCGACCTGGAGAATCCGTTGTGGTTTTTGGTGCAGGTCCTGTCGGCCTTATGGCAGGTTACTCAGCCGTATTACGCGGAGCATCGGAAGTATATGTAGTAGACCGAGTCCCTGAACGCCTTCAGAAGGCGAAGGAAATCGGCTGTATCCCAATTGACTTCTCGAAGAGTGATGCGGTGGAACAAATCAAAGCCTTAAGAGGAGGGTAGGTTTTTCTGACCTCTTACGTTTCAAAAGTCTTTTAAAATCTACCTTAGGAGGGAAGTAGACCGCGGCGTTGATGGTGTGTCCTTCCATTTTCAAAAAATTCCTCATCGCTGCCAGCTCATGTGCAATTAGCTGTCGGATACCAAGCTACTAGTGCTGACGGAAAGAGCGAGAAGCCAAATGCGGTGCTCGAAGCGTTGATCGCAGTTGTGCGACCTACTGGCGGTCTAGGTATCCCTGGGTTATATGTTCCCAGCGACCCTGGTGCTCCTGACTCTGCATCTGCTAAGTGGGTCATGTTTATTTGTTTATGTTACAGTCGCTGATCATTGGATCCTCAGGGGTTATATTTCCTTCCCGTTCGGTGAGCTTACATTTTCTTGCTATTAGGAAAGGTGGCTTGACCTAATCATAATGCAGGCAAACTATTCGAGAAGGGGCTGAGTATTGGTACTGGTCAATGCAATGTCAAGGTGGCTACACCATGTTGGATTTTCTTATCTAGAAAATAACCTATGATCTCCCTTAGTCATACAACCGATACTTGCGTGATCTCATCATTGCAGGAAAGGCGAAGCCTTCATTCGTGGTCTCTCATAACTTATCATTGGAAGACGCTACTAGTGCGTACGAGAAGTTCGACAAGAGGATCGATGGATACACCAAAGTTTTGTTACATCCCTGAAAGCTATGATTTGAGATTTTTCATAGATTGGAAAGACTTTTCATTGATTTTGTAATCCGAGCGTATCTCTACCGACCAATGTCATACTATTTCTTTTCATACGAGCCCGTGAAATAATCTGAATATATACCGCAATTTATTGCTAACGACGACTCCCAAGTTGTTGCACGAACTCGAATATAGCAAATTTGCACAGCCACAATTTCCATCCACAATATTTTAAGTTCCACCAGGCGGACGCGGACTGTTCAAAGTTCCAAGTTGCTAGATATCGGATGCTGCCAACCTCCCCACGACCCGATAGCTTAAAAGAAAAGGAAGATGGTCACAGTTATATGAAGAAACCAATAAGCGCTACACAGTCTATTCCTTCGTGGTTGCCAATATCTCTGGTACGTGTGCAGATATAATTTTATAGTATATAACATACTCACCAAGTTTGCCAGCTTGCTGTGACGAGTGCAGCACTCGTGGTCCCTGTTGTACTCCTGCGTCGACATAGAAAGAATACTGCTACTACAAGTGCTCTACAACAGGCATCTGCTCCCCCTCGAAGGAGTGCAGCTATTCCCAACGAGTTCGCCAAGTTCAGGCCCGCTCAAACGTCGAAATTTCCACCAGGTCCTTTAACTAAGGCTCCAGTGGAAATTGACCGACACCCCAGCAATGACAATAATGGAGATTTTTTCAACGCCCCCTTATATACATTGAAAGCATTCAGTATCGCTACAGCCCTTGTCAGCCTCGGTGCAGCAACATCGATATGGGGAGTGAAGACATTCTTAGGGGTCCATGACGTGAGTGCCTCTGGCCTATCCAGCCTCCCGCTTTTCCGACAATAAGAATTTCTAGACCAAAGAGTTCGCAGATCAAATGCGTAACACCCTTCTCACCAAAATGCCCGTCCTATCATCCAGGATTCATCGGGCATTCTCTTCTGAAAACGTCGGTTCCACAACGTCTCATGCCAACGATTCCAGCCGTGTAGAAGTGGAGTGGAATTGGCCTGACGCAGAAAATCGATTAAAAGAGGCTTTCGATAAAGGAGGATTTTCCGGTTGGGCACAGGCTGCCTTGTTAGAAGTTGAAGCCGAAGGTCGTTTTGAGCAAGCAAAACGACACATAGGCAAAGATGCGGATAATCATACCACAGCCTCTGCTTAAGAATATATTTCCAAATATCCAGCACTGATGTCCATGAATATGGATTTACTAACCCTCAACAGATTTAAATACTAGTGCTAAACATACCGTACGGGGACAACTTAATGCTTTGCAATAGATTCTGCAGAATGTTCTGCAGTCAGGGGTGTTTGGATGGTAGTTCCATAACGGAAGGCATGACGCATGGTATGTTCATGTTGTAGGCATAAAAAATGCAAAGGGAAAAGATAGGGAAAACATGCAGCGACACGACATCCAAGCGCCGGATACCCCCTCAGATTTTGTTCCTCCGCACCTAAACTCATGCCTTGGTAGCCTTGGCCAAAGCCTTCCTCACAACGTCCCTACGCTGCTTCTTCAACAACATGACCGTAAACCGCTGGAAGTCGTTGAGCGACCGTCTCGTCTCCATAGCAGCCCTCTTCTTCGCCCATGATGAGTTTTCCCATTTGGTAATAGTGGCTTCCTTCTCCAACTGCTTCTTCACAACACCTGAACCAGCTCCACGAGGCAGTCCCTTCAAGGCGAGAGGGGTGAGGGTAAGGTGGCGGTAAGGGAAGGCCTGACGGGGCACGCCAGTGGTGGGACCATCGATGATTGCCTGTAGACACGTAGGTATATGCCTGACGCCCCGAGGTCAGATAACGAAACTCACTCGGTTGTGGTCGATGATTTCAGCAATAACAGCAACCTTGCCGGCGTAAGGTCCACTTTTAAGGAGGACAACTGCGACCATATAAGCGACATGCATGATGACTCAACGAATGCACCATACCTCGTCCAACCTCAACGAAACGCTTGAAATTTGATTGCTGCGAGAGATAAGTTGATTTTAGTATTCATTCCAAGTACCGGTGTGGAGATTATGTCGCAAATCGCAGCCTTTCCATTCAATCTTCCGCCAATACTACGAAGACCCCATCTAAAATTTGGTTTTGCCATCCAGCCAAAACACCTCTTTCTCGATTACAAAAAAATCCATGGATAACACGATCCTGTGCAGATCGTATGTCTTTCCAGCAGATAAATAGCCACTCACACTCATTAGGATTTTCTTGAGGGGTGCCGGACGTCGTCTTCTATGTCGGTCGATACCTTAGGCGAAAGTGAGTTTCGTCGGAGTTTGACGCGGGCTTGTCGCAGCACGTGGCTCCATGTGACCCCGACTTCGGGTTAGGAAAGGTCTCCGCGCTAATGATGACTTTCTCGAAGGCTATGTTCAGACCTTGCGAAGAAGGTTTATACGTCGTGTATACGATCCCCATCCTCCTGTTCTTATAGTCAAGCTCGCAAAGGCCGTGCCATAACTCTGCGAATAGTGAAACACAAATCTCCATTTCAACAGGACGGATGCTTCGACACCAAAGGATATTTCAACTTAGGTACTATGCTCGACCGTGGGCCAGACTACGCAGACAAATTGTATCTTTGTACAGATTATGACTTACGAGGGCCTCTGGATTGTGCGTATTTGTGCTGAAACGCGTAAAGCATCGATAACTGAGGTGGGTCCATATGGACCTTACAAATCACAACATGTAACATTCAACAATTTGGGTATAGTATGTCTATAGTACATATCTACAGATAACGAACATCCATGATGTGGCAGTTATAGTACATGCGCCTATTTGGCAAGGGGATCAATGGCAAGTAACAGAAATATTAGAGCGGGTCCGCACTGCAGATGCAAAATTTTGAAACTTTTCCTCATCTTGTTCGGCTCGCGCATGATTGAAAGACTTGTGAGGAACATGGCCCAAAACCGGGTCAAGGTGGGTGTAGCCTTGGCTACCTCTGTCAACAACGATCTCCCGAAGCCCAGTAAGCTCCTGTTTCAGGCGCTCCCAAATACCGGACCACGATCTTCCCCCCTTCGTTCCGGAGTCATTGATGATGTAGCAGGAACAAGAACGTAGTTCGAGTCTTACGAGTGAATCTTTGTGGCGGATTATGAATTCTTCGATGTTCTCGGATGGGGAGTTGTGATCAAAAACAATATTTTCGAGCACGAGTGACTGTAGAGCTGGGTAATGGGATGCAAGGCGCAAAGTGGGGCTAAAATAGAGTCCCCGAGGGCTGCGAAAAACTAGAGATGTGAGATGGGGATTTGAAGGGGGTAGCAACGGGCTGAGGGAGCTATTTAAGCTCTTCGACCCAGACCACTCTCCCAGTTCATTGTTGGCAGCAACAGAAATTGAAAGGTGCGAGAATGATGTTTCGACCAGAGGTGATGGAAAATTATAGCATTTGGGCGACATCAAAACTATGTTGTTCAGTGTTAACGACTTTATGGGAGACGTCTTCATGGAGTAGTAGATTGCATGGAGGACTGCCAATTGACGGTTTGTGAACCAAAAAGGATGTTCCCGGACCTCAAGTCCTGATGGAGTGATGAAGGCGGGCCAAAAGTTGAGCGTTACGGCGTCAAGATTGATAAATCGAGACAATTGGCAAAAGAATTCTGTCAAGCTTTCCTCCAGCTCGGCTATGATCTGAAACGTATCCAGTGAATCTGTAAACTATGTCATAGCAATCCTCAAGCCATGGTAAACAAACAAATTCCTACCATCTGTTGAACGGGGTGACAATGGTAGACAATTGCAGCTGCCATCTCGATAATCATATACAACCTCTCGAACAAAAGGTGCAATTTCCAAAGATGCAAGAATGTCCTGGCAGTTCTGTACGCTTTTCAAACTGTTTCTAATGTGGAGTTTGCGAAAGACTTTGGGTGTAACCAGCTCATGGCATGTGACATTTATGCCGCGAAGGGACAGGAGGTCTGCCACTGAGGTTGTGTTTTCAGCGATGGCGTCCAAAAGTTCGACAGGAAGATCCTTCATTTTGAGGTCAAAATACGAGATATTAACAATAGCTGATAGTTGACGATTTGGAAACACTGGCGCAAAGTGGGGGAAAGTTAACGAGAACCGAGAGAGAGACCCGTGGTCATAAAGACAGCCAAGCCCTTGTCCCTTTTTGTACCCTGACTGCACATTTCCTTCCCAAGTTTGATCCCGTATTTGTCCAAAGAGTTTCTTACGTACAATAGGATTCAGAATAGGCAGCTTATGACTGTGTCAATCATGCTCCCGGACAGGGTGAATGAACTAGCACTCTGAGTATCACGTACTTAACCCCATTAACGGACGGTGTTTGTCTGATCGATATCCACGGACAGGGTCCAAATGTTTGTTTGACCTTTTCCAAGACTGGTGGTGATGGAGTGGTGATGGGCCTTGTCATGTTATTATAATAGGACTCACTGTGACTGGATGGCGGTGTGAGTCCCCTTAGACTCGAAAACCGTTACAAACCCCGCGTCAGAATTCGAACATTTACCGTGGCTAAGCGGTCTTCAGTTGCCGGCGGTCACAGGAGCATACTTCCAGAAACCTCAGACTACTAGTACCTTTAGGACAAGCGCTCTGGACCACTAAGAGCCCACATATACGTGACATAGACTTGATTTATATCACCATAGCTAAATTGAACCCACCCTCTACGCCCAAAGTCTTGATATGTCTTCAACGTTTGATGACTCTTGTGACAAATCTATTCAAGAAGAAAGCTCCAGTATTCCGAAACCTACAATGTGTATTCGAGATCCACCACAACTTTGAAAAGGTACTTCAGATATATCTACCCACAGGCATTGAGATCAGATAAGTACTCTTTTCCCGTGGCCGAACATACCCGCTGAGGCACTCCACAAACTGATTCAGAGATACGGACAAATCAATAAAAGCGCGGATCTCCAAGGCGTTCTGGGTGACTTCTCAGCATTTTCATATTCCCAATGAAGTTTGCTAACCAAATTTGCAGACACCGTCTGACGTGGTAATCGTTATGCACAATGCGGTAATGTTATATCGACGATGCCAGCATTAACTGCGCATGACGTCTGTTAGGAGGCTTTCACAGTAAGCAGCTTTAGTATGTCAGAAAAGCGTTGACTCCCCACGAATTGTAAGTGGACATCCTTCACCTGAGATCTTTCGTAAGGCATCCCAATAACTCTGCGCAGACTCCCGTCACATTACCCTCCAGGAAAGCATATCTACGCCGTTTGTCCAGAGGAGCTTCATTACTAGCTGATGGGTTTACTGTTCCGTTCCAAGTTTTTTCAACCTCAAGATTTTTACCTCTTTCAGTATCAGGTGCAGTGCACATTGATATGTATGACAAGTCTTTGTTCCAATCACCATGGAGCTCGCACATCCCTCCCAGGGCTAGGACAGATTGGTAGGACACCGTATCATTTCCGCTTGCCGCCACGATGATATCTTATCAATCGTCTGCAGTGGTTTTTATCGCCATTTATTCTGCCCCCGAATATACTTGGACTTTACTGCTTCAGTCAGGTATATCACCTTTTAAGTTCTAATCTAGTGATGGACACTTCCGGTGACTTACCACACCTTAAGTCCGTGTTAAAGATCGAACTTGTCACTTGTCCTGGTTATCCGGTTGCAGAATTCTGATATTATACTGCGCAAATTATATAAAAAATGCTGCGCACGGTACTGCGTATCAAAAAGATGAACGGATTTATGTTATACAAGGTCAGCAAGCTATCGTTCGTATGAAATGCACTAATAAAAGCGACTTTCCTCGGTTCTGTGGTGGACGCAGGTCAATTCACATCCTTATCGCAATCTCATGACGTTCTCCATCTGCTATCCATAAATAGCGGTCAGCTAACGACCGGTACCCTGACTGTCTCAGCTTCATCCCCGACCTTAACGTGAACAGGCTTAGTAACTACGGAATCTATCGGCCTTCGATATTCTCGAAATCGCTTCCAGCTTCCATATACGTTTCTTGGTTTCACTAGTGATCATCCATATCATCACTTTACCTGTCTCTTTATCTACTGTGTATAGGTTGGAAATGTTTACGTGTTCGGCGTTCGTGATTATGTTACAGAAAGCCCTCAAACATCTAGATGTAACTGTGGTGTCAGGTGTGGCGGTTCAGACCAAATGCCCTACGAGCCCCTACATTTAAAAAAGATACTGGGATAGAAAGTGGAAATCATAGTGGCAGACATGGACTATTATAAAAATACACCGTTATGATGATATATTGATGAAACGTTATTCATTTATCCCAACACCGCCGAGAACAAATCGTCCTTGGGGTGACTCTCTTGTAACAGCTCGTGAAAGGATTGCGCAGTGAGTTTTGCATCCCACACGTGCGCACCTGGACAATGAACCCTTTCACGTTGTGCATTTGCCCTTTCAATAACGTTACATATCTCCTATGTATGGCCTATGATCATGATGTCCAGCCACATTATACGGATAGGACTCACGATAGCCCATCTTCTGGCCATGGCATTATGTGTTAACCAAAAACCATATCTGGCAAGCTCGTATAGTCTGGCTCGCCATGGTAAAAAGCCAGCCACGCTGGAAACAGAGGTACCATAACAGGTCGCCCGCAGAAAGAGAAGATACAAAGCCCTACACTGCGTAACAGATGTCAAGTTTTCCACAAAGCCATACGCTACTTGAAGTAAGGCGCGAGGTTTGATGATACCTATTGCAACGAGATCACCGTAAAAAGCAGCTGTACATAGCATTTGTGTACGTATCGGGTCAAGGGAATCGGAGACTGACTCTAGTCCAGTCTTCGTGGGCAGGAAACTGTAGTCGCTTTCCAACTTGGTGTTTGATTAGCCGAAGCGACAGGCAGGTCTACAGAAAATGTGGCGAGCTTACATTTGCCCAACAGAACTTGATAGCCTCTGTAGTAAAGTGTTCCACGCCTTCCTGAAAGTCTCGCATGGCACCCCAGTTACCCCATTGAAGTTCAGTTACAATGTCGTGAACCAGCAGAGCCACGGAACGCGAATAATTAATATTTGCCATTCCTGCAAGGAAGATGCTCTTCGATGTCATTTGAACGTGATACTTATCGGTGCGCGAAGACAGAGAATGTATAATTATGCGAGCCTCTTGATTTATTACCGACGGGTGGCACGTACGAGGAGCCATGTGTTGCATCTTGTGGAAGTATACCTGTAATCTAGCATCAAGAGTGAGTCGAAGGATGGAGCTTCCAGGAGGCCAAATCGCGGAAGAGTTTTGGCCTGAAGGATTGATGGGAACATGTTCTCCAGAGCCTGGCAGTGGCGCGCTCATCCTCGGAGGTGGGCTTGAGAAGCAAGGTCTCAGCTTCGCATGAGTAGTAGGTTTGCCTGGAAGCACATTCCAAAATATGTTTTTCGCATTCGCATCTCGCTTGATGGCTGGAGTAGATTCCCTAATACCCGTGCAGAACGAGGGAGCTTCCACAGCCTTCCGGTGAGGATTTTCAGGATTTCTAGCGATGTTAGACACCATCACTGTCAAAAGCTTGGGGATGTCGCGGAAGGTAAAGATGGAAAGGGAAAAGAGAGGGAAACAAATCGGAAGATATATACTCAAGCCCAGAAGGTCCAAGTGGTCGCATTGTGGCAGCTATCTGGCCACATCGAGATCATGAGTTGTCCGAAGCAGCAAAAGTAGCCAAAAGATTATGTCATACGGAATTCAATTATCACATATGTTTATCATCTTTTTCCCTTGCATCCACGAGATTGCATCCATACAGTTTCCTCCTATCACCTATCACAATCCATTCCGAGTCTGCCGTCCTCATGAGATTGTGTCGGTGAAAGGGTGATTTTCAAAAGAAAAGAAAACATCAGACGATTATCCATGTTGAAGCAATGGGCATCGCAAAATGGTAGCATCCAAAAATATTGAAAATTCGAAACCGTTGGGTCCAATTAATCATGAGATCTGCATGAGACTGAGAGAAATATTTAGACGACCGCGAAAAGTCACAAATCACATGACTGTGATACTTGGATTTTCGAACCCCGACATAATTTCGTAGTGCTCTTCACCTCCCTCAACATGTTCTTTCATGTCCCCTAGATGCGGTTATCCCCATGCTGAGGTTTATAAACCATTCTCTTCTCTCGGCTATTCAGGATACAGATACAAAGAAACGAACTAGAAAATATCGCTACAAGTTAGATATCAGGATCAGATTCTCCAAAAATGGCCTTTATTATTCTCATCGGACGCTGGCTTGATAGGGTCTTAAACCTGAAGAACGTGGGCGTATAACTAGGATGTGGACGGACGATATATTTCAGCACGATTATCGAGAAAGCTCATGTTGTAGCTGTGAAGTACGTGTTCGGAATATCATTTTCGGATGAAGCATCACAGCTACCGCCTTTTCATCATGAAACGTCGAACGCTCAAAGTTAAAGTGTATAAGGACTGAGATCTGTCATCGGTGGTTCCTAGGTGTCTTGGAAGCTATGAAGTCCGCGGAACCCATGTAGGCAATGCAACCAACTAGAAGGTCGGATCATGTTTACGTCCCAAGATTCTTCTTTTAGTACTCATGTAATCCTCCAGTTGCGTGCACTCCGCTCCTTGCATGCCCCAAGCTATCTCGATCATCGGTGGTCATAATATGCTACGTCTTACTACAGGTTCTTGACGACTTCAATCAATTGTACAATCTCATTCACAAGTATCTCCGTATTCTTTCTTGGATGGTGACTTAAGTAGATAAGAGTTGAAAGTATATGGTGGAGTTTCGATGGATAGAATCCAGGCTGGACCGGATCCATAGTTTAGCCCTGAAGGAAATCTCGATACCCCTCCGACCGCCTCGGAGCCGACTTTGAATGGTACTCATAGACCATACTCTCAATCAGCCTTCGTATGTCTTGCTGAAGATAGTCACTGTGGCACCAGACTAGTTCTTATAGCCAGCAATCCTAAGTTATGGTCGATGGCGATAACGGTCGTTTCTCCCCTTTCGTAGTTGCATGGCTATAGCCCGGGTATCGCCATCAACATCTTTGCCACCAAAAGTCCCTGAAAAGCCAATTCTTGTCACTCATGTGCAATTGTCCGGGAGCCTTGTCATCCAACATTGGATGTCGCTAGGTCAAGCTTAAACCCTAGAGAAGCCCGCCTACTGATTTTTGACATAGGTACGGATATTAGGAGATCAGCTGCGCAGGCGAGAAATGTTCCTCTTTATCAGAGTTACTTGACTAGTTTGGCTTCACCCGAGCAATAGATGTCTTCAATCTTAGAACATCTTCGACAACTCCTTATCACTAGTCTCAATCAGGAATTGCGTACTCTGATATATCTATTCCCCATTGACAAATTTCATCATAACTCAGCAAGGGCAGCTGTCTGACCATTCATCATGACCTGCATTAGGTCAAGGTCCTTTTTCTGTACTGCATTTTGTTCATATTCTGATTATCTAGTCCTGGGATCTCTCTCGGAACGATCCTCTTCCGGATTCATGGTCTGCTTATAAGAGACCAGAATCTCATGATTATGGAAGAATATGAATATGATAAGAAACATGTCAGGCGTTGTTGGGGGCGGCTATGGTGAACACTATTGGCACTACTAGGCCTATGTATATCGTTACAGTAAGCTCGTCTTTTATATCAGCAAATATGCTTACCTTTGCATCTTGACCCTGACGACCATCCGTTATCTTGAATTTCTGCATTCGCGGTCTTACAGGCGTAAGCCATCTCTATAATTGGATACATGGACTGGTAGCAGATGTTGCTAATTCCTTGCAATTTCTACTGGAATTGGAATCTCTCATGGGACATGCTTCAAGACATTCTGTATCCAAGTGGTCATATTGGTGTGCTATAAAATTATGTCAATGAGTACTCTGCTTATATCTTTTGGTTCTTAGATCAAATGTGTGAAAGGTTTTTCTCGGATTCCTTTCGTGTCGGACGGCCCCTCATTCACTGAGTAATATCTATGTATTCTATATGTTCATAGAACAGTGATCATCGATGTACGGTTTTTTTTTTAATTTCGTCAATCGGCTTTGCGTAAGTTACATTCACTGTTAGAAAACGAATAAGCTAACTCTCACTTAAATTTATAGCTCGTCGCAATTGGATGTTTTGTCATTTGAAGAGTTTTTTTTTGTGATGGAGTTGGGAGGGCTAATTGATGTTTGTATCTGCAGGAAAGGTTTATCGACTGTTAGAACCCAGTTAACGTCGTCTAAGCAGTAACTCAAAGCAGCACTTATCTTTCCTTGGTTTTCTGACAGGAAAGGTCTACTGAATGCATCACAGTACGTATCCGCGAGTAACCTTACGCAAGAGGTCCTCACATTGCTCTTAATAGTGAATATGTGCGCTCAAACTTAACCCTGTGCAGGTGATACTATTGAACTTGAAATGATTTGTTGAAATATGTAACCTATGCAGAAGGGCCTTAACGCATGCTTGGAAACCTCCGACATTGTACATTCGGAAGCTGAGCTCTTGAAAACCGAATCGACGGATGAGTTGAACGAACGAAGGACTGCAGCCATACGCGTTGGATCCCAGCCCAAGCACTGACAAGAGAAAATAAAAATCCGTAAGGACAAGGTTTGTATCAGGCCCTGCGAACATTGTGGACATTTAAATTGTGTGGAAGGTTATCCTTATAGGTACATCCGTTCAGATGATGCCATCAAACTCGAAGTGGAGCACGCTAGAAACTCGGACTATGGCTCACCCCTTTCAACAGCCAATGTGGCACTGGCAGCTGATTTCAAGCTAACGTCTTATTCCACGCTCCAAGTGGAAAGCGTTGGTCTATTTTGCCACATTAGGGATAACACGCTGCTGAGCTGGAGGGAAACTCGGTGCAGATAGATGGGATTTTTGTCTACGTCAATGTACATCAATGGCGCGTTGACTGAGGACGTCATCCACGCAACATGTACTGTCATATGCTACATTGGTGTGTGTTGTCTATTCTTGAGTTCGATTCCGTTTTCAGTCGATTGACAATTCCATTTATTATTGATCAAGGTCTATTACTACATTAAATCCCCAACGAAGAGAGTTAGAGATGCTTTGTTCAAGACCATATGTGACGAAACCAATGCCTTACTGGACACTGTCAGTGAAGTTAGCCACACCCTAACTTTCAGGCACTAATGTCAAAACTAGGAGGTTACCCCGCCAAACCCTCCGACTGCTCAAGAATTGAATTCAGCCCTCGGGACAATATGGGGGAAAACAGATTTCAACAGGACCCTGGTTTCAAATATTGAGGAGACTAGTCTGCACCTCCTGATAAACTCACTGAAACGCATGCTTCAGTTAGCAGAAATGAAGCCGTGTGCCCTACGCGGAATAGAACTACTTTTTCTCTTGGCCCATTTGTCACGGGAGTAATCTTGAGGTTGGTTTGTTCTCATTGCCGATCTTTCTTTCATGTTCTTACTTCGCGTATAGAGAGTTACAGCTGTCTCTGCGGGTTCGAGGTAAGGAGTTCACTGTGTTTGTCATTTACAACCTTTGTAATCGTCTCTTGAGACCTCTGCAGTGCCGATCTTGTGAATCATTTCAAAATTGTCTTCAGCTCTGACACTGAGAATGAGTGGTCCACTGTAAAGTTTGAAAAGACTCACGACTTTATGGCCACGAGCGATCTGGCCAATGCAAAAAGCGCAGTTTATGTACTGCAATGCATCCGCACTCGTCGAAGGTTGCGTTACTGTGTTCTCCACGTGGGTCTATTACGTTGGGGTGCGTGCGTACCTCAATTTAATTCAAAAGCCTGCCACTCGCAAAGTAGACCACGTTTATTATGAAGCCTTATCACCCCATACGACTATCATTTTGGATATACTAGGTGATCTCCATCCAAGCCAACAACGCTTCTGAAGACCAACTTTCAAGAAATATTTGGTTATCCACCCCATCACAGCAACGCCTCACCATCCGACAGGTCGTAAGGGTCCAATGTTGTGTATGGACTCTCGCATTCGAGGAATGTTTAGACAACTGAGGGTGCAATAGATGTCACAGCCACTCAAAACACCCACCAACGAATATAAGGTGTGCCGGAGTTTGCATCTACATGATATCTGTTCCTCACGACAAGCCCCTCCCAGGTCGCCAACCTTTCCTGCACGGGCAATTAATGGGCTCTTGTAACAATTCAAAGTTCTAAACATGGTCCAGAGGAGATTACAGATGACCTCACACAGAATTTCATGACGTGCTTCCAAGGGGAAACTCTTGTGGTGTATTTGGTCCATCACACGTACATCCCATGTCAGAATGCCAGAAGAACTGACGCCGTCAGGACAAAGGCAATATATGCCTACACAAATGCTGTCTTAAAAGGGGGGAGTCCCAAAATGACACTACCATAAAAATGGGTTTCGTCTGTTAGTTTGTTATCTTGTTACCTTGGGGTGAGCAAAGTGATAACTCATGAGCAGTGAGACTACAGTTTTGGGTTTACCATTGCGCCCTTGGATGATAATGATGATTTTTGAATTCGTGTCAAATTCAATGTGTCCAAGGAACGAAACAAAGAGCATGAGCAAAGTGAACGAATAGGATGCAAGTTCAGATTTCGGTACTTGTATAGATGTGTACATGTAGGACTGATGGATTTGATTGGATATAAAAGGTATGAAATGCCGTTACACAAACATCTATTGTCAACGACGATGGCGACTGCTACTGTGATGCCACGGTCGTCATTAAAGGGCAGGAATACCAGTGTTTCTGTCCCCAAGGGCCGTCCTCGAAAAACTCTACATTCTGTCGACACCAACATCTCATCATATGATCGAACAGATCCGTTCTTTGCATTCAATGTCTTGCGCAAACTCTTGGGATCTTTGCCATCCAGGATCGGTGGCTGCCAATACAAGCTAACGCCCGAGGAACATAAACTATCTCTTCATCTGCTCACCATTGTGGAACCCTTCGTTGGGCTTTCACCTTCTCGTCGGACTCTCACACGGCAGCCAACGGAAATCCTCGACTCCATTGTCTTCCACGTTGACGAGAAGCGCGACCTTTTATCGTTGGCTCTTTCCTGCCACCGTCTTCATGGCGTGATTTTCCCTAGGCACTATGACTATCGCGTCATTCGCTGCAAAGTTAGTTCTATCAGTGTTTGGAATCACTTGATCGTGAACCGGTCGCTGGCTCGGAATGTTAGGAGACTAGAGATTCTTGATGAACGGTCTACAGAACCTGCATCTGTACCGTCAGACATTTTGGTTTCAGAAACGGATTTAGAGTCCACAGACGACGAGTTGGGCATGCACGTCAAGCAAGAGAGGTTCCTCGTTTCTGCTTTGACCAAGATGACCGCGCTCCATTCCTTTTCTTGGTCATGCAACCATTCGCCCATTTCTATTGATAATGTTTGGCCCACATTATTGAAATGCCCATCTATCAGAGAAGTTGAAATCAACGACAACCTTGTTTTCAGCGATTATAGCCATGGTATTGATGGAGTCCGCCCTAGAAATTCTCAAAAGTCAATTGTGAGTTGACGTTACAGTTACACAGAACTGTTTATATAACCAAAACTTTGGACAGTTACCCGAGTTGAAGACGGTGGCGTTACGGTCGACTAAACATGTCTATGGGTCAACTAAAACCCCCCAACTTTTACGGATATCTAATTTATTGACCAATTGTCCCAACCTCGAGGTGACTTGCATATCTTGCACATGTGGTGGTTTGATGCTAATCTTGACAATAAAGTCGCTCGATATTGGATACGAGCATCGTCGTGGATCAGGGTATCAGCGTCCAGTTGCAGACGATTTCTTCCTCTGCTCTCGTTGGTCCGCTCTTCGCTCTTTGTCGCTCAGCAATTTATTCTGCTCCGCAATTCACGGTTTGGACGCTGCTGCCACATTCTTGGCTTCTCATGTAAACCTGGAAGTTCTCCACCTCGATTTTGGAGATGGCATAGTAATCAATAACAATAGCACTATGTCCCACGGGTCTCACCAGCTGGTCCTACCTCATAATTCTCTGCCGCGTTTGCGCGAATTGAGATGCAGCAGAGACGTTGCTACTGCCGTGCTCCAGTGTCCATGCGATGTTCCCCGCCCACTTGAGTCAATCAAATCGGTGAAGCTTTCGGGTTCGGGTGGGGACCAGCCGTTCTTAACCAGCTTGAAATTAAGCGGAGGGACCGTCAAGCGATTTGAACTAGCTGGTTGGAATGATATAGAGGATATTAGGAAGTTGGTTGAGTGCGTACCGAAACTGACCTGGTTGGACGTGGGGAAGAAGGGCAATCCACAGCAACGTGAACATAGCAGCGGCAAGACCTCATCCACCTATGCTGTCGCCACCAATGTCGTCGAGTGGGCGACAGTGCTTGCACTCTTGGCGGAACTATCAGCATTTCATGGCGTCAAATTCTTTTATGAAGTATCTTCCTTGACGCTCTCCACACTGTCATCTTCATCTCCCTCTTCGTTGTCAGCGTCAGAGCTAAGTAGGGTCAGGAAGAATGAGAAAATAGCGACTGTGTTGGCAAACAAGTGCTCGAGACTTCGTCGGGTTGATCACTGGGAAGAGACAGCAGGGCCTGCAACAAAGGTCATTGTATTAAACAGGGATGGCGGAGATGTGAAATGGGACGTTAGGCGGGTAAAGACATGATGAAACATGATGACATGATGAAAGTAGTCGGTTCGGTATTCATGCGGTCAATTCGCTCCCCCGGTTATGCTTTTGCTTACCAATTTACCGTACTTTTTTTGTTTGCCGTGCCGTGGTCAGATTCAAATACCCTCGTTGTGATTTTCTGTACGTTACACTTTAGTCCCCGTATGCACCCTATGCACCGTTGTCAAACTACTTTGAACTTTTCCGTGTGATGTTGCCTTCCACCGTATGGATTGTATGGTTTGTCCTGCAGTTGTATTCTGCTGGCGCACGTCTGACGTTGAAACATAGTGCCTGTAAAATGTGTCAAGTAACCGAGAAAGATGATAGATGCCGGTAAGTACGTGGGGAACACACACAAGGTTCGATGGCAGTAGGTGAGTACATGTGGTAGAATTTCTAAAGCACACATGCTGTCCTGCCTTAGTGCGCTACAGAAGGTCCTGGGGGTCTTTGTTGATGCAAAGATCTTGTGCAGTGGCGTTCGATCCCGAGCTAGAATCGTGATCGAAGTGTCGAAAAAAAAAAGTGTATGCTTAGAGTGTCTCTATAATATCGCGAGAAAGGCTTTTTCTATCGATACGAGACGGGTCCAGCTACGGTCCCGTTCCCGTTATACCCTGCAATTATTATCCGTTAATTCGGTGGAAATATCACAGTGCCGGTCTGACGTTATTGATATTCATGATAGCCGCGCAAACAGGTCCGCAGCATTTTTCTCCTGGCTTCCTTCATTAGGAACCTTGAATCAGGTTCGTCAGCATCACAATGAGGGATAAACGTTGCCCAGTGGCTGGTGCGAAGGGACCCATCGTGCCATCCGAGGCGCGGCCAATATCAGTCACAGAAGGAGGAACATCCATACGTACCTTTCTCTATCTACCAATATGAAAACCGGACCTAGCTTATTTTGCAAAGCATGAAAATACAATCGTCAGATGGCTGATGGGCCGGCCTATAGTTCCTTCCGTGTTCACTATTATAATTATCCAGAAGATTGCAGAGAGTTCTGGAAGCCTGAAAGGCAGCGCAAATATAGCAGGTGACTGATGTTTTTCGGTGTCAGTTGTCGCCTCGAGCTTGCAATGCGTGTAAAGCCGAACTATTTCGTTCGGGCTGTATGTCAGCTAATAATCAGGGTAGAGACCTGGGACCAGGCTATTGGCCTCGAAAAGTAACAAAACCAAACAGAAGGTGTGCGAAACAGAAAAAAGAAATTTCATTTCTTGATTCATTTAGTAATTAGATGCCGACTATAAGTAGCCGTTAAATAGCCGTTTCTGCTGCCAAATCCCCGGAAAGTGCACCCTCTAGTCTGCAGACATGCTTACGCTTTCTTCACACACAAAACAGCGAACATATCTATCGCGAACAGCCAGGAAACAGTGGCATCTGCCTGTCGAAATCATTGACCTTATTACTTCCAGCGTTGATCGTCGTCAAGACTTGATATCTTTCGCTCTCTCATGCCATGCTCACAAACAGGTCGCCATACCTCGTTACAGCGAGTATCGCATAATTCGCTCTCCTCTCCAGTCTCCCATATGGGCACATCTTGCAGCACGTCCTGACCTGGGACGAAATATCCAAGTACTCGATATTCTATGTGATCATATCTCGTCTGCATGCAGACCACATCGCGTTCCTACCACCTGGGTAGACCCATCTCATGCTTCATTGACGTCCGCCACAGATGTGACAGACGCATTTGTCAACGCTCTGCGCTCAATGGAGTCCTTACATACGTTCTCGTGGGCCACGGACTTCAAATTTCACCTAGAGTACGAGCGCACATTTGAGGAGAATATCTGGAGTGCTCTTCAGCATAATAAATCACTGAGACACGTAGAATTCTCCGATCCTTCATTTCATCGCAGCTTCTATCACTATGACAACTTTCACCGTTCCGCAAATCCGGTAAGTGAGCGGACCATTATCGTAACACTTTGTCCATGCTCATACAGCTATCTATGTATCCAGCTTTGGGGTTTATCCAACCTCACATCGCTGTCCTTGATAAATGGACCTTACCTGTACGATACATTATGTGGCTCCAATTTTAGACGTATGCTCGTTTCATCGCCCATGCTAGAGGCAAGTGCCCAACCCTACCAGTCTATCCAAGATCTCTATATTGATGATTCTCTAGGTTCTCTGCATTCGCCTCGATTATAGGCTTTGTAACATCAACCCAGTATTCTCAGGAATACACTGGCCTCGTCTACGCAAATTATCCCTCAAGATTTTTGCGGATCCAAGGGATCATGGAAGGGCATTTGCCAATTTTCTAGAGTGTCATCCGACACTTGAGGACGTTGAATGGCAATATCTTCACCCCATAAACCTGAGATCTGGCAGTCTGCCTTTACTGCGTCAATTATCCACGGCAGATGACGGTAACGGGATTTTAGAGGTCATTCGGCACCCCACAACACCTCCTCGGCCTATCCAGAGCCTAGGCAAAGTCCCGCTAAATACTAGATACTTGATAGCATTGAAAACCATCGACAGAAACGTTCTACACAAGCTGGAGCTCCATTTTTTCGAGTCGCTCGACTCTCTACGCAGTGTTGCTAACATGTTTCCAAACTTGATGTGGTTGCGCGTACCGTCCGTCGACTATCAACACGATTATACCACAGCCACGTATTCGTCTATTCACATGGTACGTGTTTTTATTTAGTATGCCAATCTCCTTTTTTCATATATATTTCGAGCAGGGCGAGTGGGCGGAACTTCTCCCATTATTCCCAAGGCTGGAAGTGTTTCATGGAGTATCATTTCTGAAAGATGTCGAACCTTACAATAACGACGATAGAGCTGCTGACCTCAAGGCGTTATGCCCGCATCTACGGCGAATAGATCATTGGGGCGATACATCCGATATCATCGTCATCATCCATCAGGAAGGGAGTCGAGTGACGTGGAAAGAGATGCTGGTCTATAATTATGTTGAGTGTTTGTAAGAGTGTTTTTCGGCTCAGTCGATGATTCGGGGATATCAGATACCAGTTTAAACTAATGGAATTTTCTTATTATTGTCAACTTGTACTCTGTGTAATACACTGGGTTGGAACAGTATAAAACTACGACAGATAATGTTATTGGGGCTAGTGACTGAACAAGAGTGGTGAGATAGACGATCCTTGCGATGATTGAACTGGGAAATTTTGCAGGTAACCTAGTTGCTACAGGTATAAGTTGAATGCGTAAATTATGTGGTTTTGTTGTTAATATTGTAAGCCCTTGATGCGCCCTTTTGCATGTATTCCCTCTAATTCCATAGATTCCACGCCATCTCCTCTGTTCTTCCGCCACGCCTCTACGATTGACTTACCCTCAATAGGTAGCACATTGGCATCACGCGTGCCCACCGTAATGTGCATCCTTCCTCTCACCTCTTCAGGTAACTTGGACACAAACTCATGTCCCTCCTGTCCATCGTCAGTGTGGCCCAGAGCATCCGTATCAACCTCCAGATCATCCACCGTGATTGCCATCACACGTTCGTTCCAGACGAGATGTCCCAAATTAAACTTGAAGAGAGGAGGTGCTGGGGTCCGGTGTAAAGCACTGCATCGTTCCCAAAGCTCGTACTCAGCCGGAAGTGTGTTTCGGTGCACAATCGTGACATGTGGCCTCCCTGCCACTCTTTTATCGCTGACCAATTGTTCCCAGAGCGCCTTCCCACTCTCTGGCACATCGTCGGCTTCTCGCAGCTTCTCTCCGATGGACTGGACCAGATCAACCTCAGCCAGCAATCCGAAATAGCGTGGAGTGGCATCGTCGTCGTCGCTCTTCTTCTTCTTTTTCTTATCATCTGGCTTTTTAGACCTTGGGACGTATCCCATAGCTAGTTGTGCCGCTTCACTAATCTTCTCTTCGCTCGGTCGCTCAAGCCCTAAAATATCTACGCAGCCATCGACTGCTCTCCTTATCGCTTGCTCTGGAGTTTCCTCCACGTTCATTTCAATGGTGACGTCCATCTCGTTGTCTGATAGCTCTTCATAGCCTTTGAGGAATTGCCAAATGGCGTCTTCGTGTGATTTCGTGATCTTGTCAGCGCGCAGTGATTGGTGATTGTCGCCCCGCGAAAATACACGGTCTCCACAAATCCGCTGGATAGTGGCCGGGGGCTCGTCGAGTGCCCAATTAAGGGCCAGTAGCCTTACGGGCGGATCCATATGGGAGACAGCTTCACGAAGCTGTTCACGATGTTGCACAAGATGGTTATTTCTGTACAAAAATTGGTATCAGATTAATCAGATTATCAAGGGTCTCAGCGAAATGGGTAACACGCTTACTTATCAGCTATAACCACATCATGTAATTTCAGTAGTTCAACAACATTCTTGATAAAAATAGGCGCAGGTTTTTTAGCTTGGACGTCGTCACTTTGCGTGTGACCAAACTTAAACAGATGAGCGAGAGCAACGGCGACAGTTGTTTTACCTGCGCGAAGAGAATGAGTAATGATCACTGACATCGAGAGAGAGTGGATTACTTACCACACCCAGGAATAGCTATCGGAACGATGATCGTTTTTCCAAACGCCTTATCGCTCGCAGCGGATTCCTTGATCTCACTCAGATCAGTTTTGCCTCCGTCGTCTTCCAGCCATCTGAGAAACTTCTCCCTGGTGCTAATGATACCCTTGCCCTTCGTATATTCAGAGAAAGCACCCCGGTTCTTCGATATCTCTTCTTTGACCCACTTGATATACACCTTGGTCTCGGGCCTTTTCAATTTTGACCTTGGAAGCTTTGCATCTTGCAAAGAACCTTTTGTGTTTAAAAGAATCTTCGTGATTTCGCGCCAATCTCTATACATCATATAGGGTTCATCGAATTTGACTTTGAAGAAAAAGGAAGAGCCAGCAGGATAGGGTGGAGGACATGTAGTGTTTCGATCGCTGGCATGAGTGGGCACGGAAATGTGAGTCCGAACGACAAATCCTTCGAGGGCTTCATCATTCCACTTCCCTGTTTCGCCAATCTTGTCCGTGAAAGCTTTGACCTCTGGAATTGTCTGGAGTTCTATAGACGCAGTTTTAATGAAGCCCCACTCGTCTGCAAATGCGTCCACTGCGGTAGTTGGCAATGTGCGGAATGCTTTTGTAGTTTCGTTGAAGCCATGAAGATGAAGGCCTGATTTGTCAGATGAGTACGGAAGTACGTGTTCCTCGAAACTATCGTCACAGAGCTGCGGAGAATTGAGATAGCTTGAGTATGCATGGGCCAGCAACAAAGTGTTCACACTACATACCTCAGCTATAGCAGTCCAATTCTTCTCCCATAAAGTGGAAGCGAACTGCTCTTCTGTCTTTCCCTTGTCAGCCAGATGACGTCGCAACCATCGGTGACCTGCTTCGGAGTGCGACTCGGTAACACCTTTTACGGGACCAAGCGAGTGTTTCGAAGTCACAAGCAGTTTCGAAGGAGTAAGCGCAGCGATGAAGATAATGCATCCGTTAGATTTGAGTGTCAGTGTATATGGAGAGCCGGTGTAAGCTTCCAAGGATTTCCACTAAGTTTATAGGGGAGGAAGGGTCATCCATCAATTCGATCAGAATGACTCGGTGAAACGACATAATAATGTACATACATTTGTCCAAGGCACTTCTCCAATATTGAAGAATTTATCGTATCCTCTGACAACGATTCGATGTTTGGCCTTTCCAGTACCATCCACACCATCGTTCTTGTCGGAAAGTTTCAGAGAAAACAGTCCTCTCGCCAATGTCGGGAAAGGAGAAGGAATGTCATAATACTTGAATTCATTCATCTTCCAGCTTCGAACGGTAACTTCTGGATCGGAAGGCGCGGCATACTCTGACGACCGCACAAGTTTGGGCGATTTCGAGGATAGCATGTAGAGGTCGGCGATGAGCTGCGAGTCTTCTGGGCTACATGGAGGGGTCATGTTGGAGATGGTTCTCTTGAACGACGAAAGAAATGGTATATCATATGATCGGAAAGTCCGGGTTAAATATGGGCTCAGGCCCTTTGAAAGATGAGTCAAGATGGTGGAATGAGTCACTTTTGAGTCACTTTGTTGGTTTGCAGTGTACAGACTCGTTTGCACTGGTCCCTATAAAAAGCAAGCGATATCGAAGTCAATAGCCTTGGATCCTAACAAGGACAAACTTGAAGTTTGCGGTGCCATACAGTCATCAAAGCACTGGTTCCATGATACTCAGATACTGACAGGTAGCATAGTCATGCCCCTTCGAAACCGCCCAGTCTTGACCCCGACATATCCGCAACGCGTTTGACATCTGTTGCAACATCTCGTTTGATTCCCAGAGACGGTCCCCGAAGCGCGCTATCATCCCGCTCTCGATCTTCTTCTTCTCAAATTAGTCGCCACCAACGGCGAAGACGTCCGTTTTCATGGTTGGACCTTATCCCATGCATCGCAAGGGGCTGTCGATCGTATCGTCTTCATCGTCCTCGACCCGGACACGGAAGCCAGTCTTTGTGGCAGAGCTTGAAGACGACGACTGGATCAACCGGCCCTTCCAAACGCGCCGAGGCTAACCGTCAGATTCGCTCGCGCTTCGACCTCATGCAAGGCACCTGCCCAATTCCCCATATCGCATGGGGCCCAGCTTCGTCGGCGCACGAGTTCGCTTTTACCAACGCGAGCGGTCATAGGATTTGACCCGCCCGAGCTAGCCCGTCCCCACGCCATCCGACTCTAACCCCGCGATGTCCTCGCTGGCGAGTAGTCCGTCGGCCTTCCTTCCCAGGAAGACGTCAACGAGGTGAAGGAGATACTCGCGTACTCATCGGAAAAGGACTGCGATGGGTTGTAGGGCTCGGGTGTAGATGGGGGCGTGTTGAGCCTTTCTTCCGTTCTTGCTCATCAAATGCATATCAACTGCCCCGCCATCCTCCCTCTCGCGCATGCATTTCCCCTCGTCTAACCTGGACCGGCCATCGATCTCGGGACGCGCGGTGACCCATCTAGCCAAACAGAACATCAAGATCCACCCAGACACGATAGGCTCGCAGCGTTACTAATACGTCCATCTTCCAGCCACAGCCTCCCGGTCCCCAAGTTCACGCTATTAAGCCATTAAGCCATGCCCACCCCCCTCTTGGACCCCTCGAGGACTCGACATACGATTTACATACCATATATCGAACTACAAGGAATTGAGACATCTCCACTCCCGGTGACCTGGTGCTAGAGTTTTACTGGCAGTCAGCCAATCCAGTACTCATATCTCCCCCACCTCATGTCCATCGCCGCCACTGGCATCTTCGAGCTTCAAACTTGTAACTTTCCATTTGAAAATTCAAAACCGCCAGAAAGTTGAAAACGCGACGAAGCTACCAAGACAAACAGCCCCGATCCGATCATGATAGACTTCAGCCCCATCCCACTGGCATCTCGTTCATCTCGTTCGTCTCTCGCCCTCTCATCTTGTATCCCACCTCACATCCGCGTCAAGCCCAAAACACCACCCGCAGCATGTTCATTCAGCGTCTTTACGTCTACGTTTACGTTTGCAGTGTATAGAATAGTACGTGTATGTGATAGGTCACGCAATGTGTTGTTTGTTATTCGTGTAACGACTCGGAGAGCGTCTGAATTCTAATAACAGGTGTTGATATGCCTGAAGCAGATAGCTGGAAGTGTATCATTGCGCGAACACCCTGACCACGACACGAAAGCAAAAAAAAAAAACAGAAAAGTAAAGACTTGAAATCCAAAAAAAAATAATGAGAAATGTAGATTTTCTATTGATGATGACCATGATGTTGATGACGAAAGGAAAGGAAAGGAAAAGAAAAAAAAAAGGGAATTCCATACTATAGCTAGTCTAAAGATGATTGAGATGCATTAGAAGAGTGAAAACACCCGAGTCCAACTTCAAAGGAACGAAAAATGAAAAAAATGAAAGTAGCATAAACGAGAGACACGTGAAAATCTCAGCAATGACCGAGTGAAGCACCATCACCATCAACAGCACCGAACCCATCGTCCCTCCACTTCCCCCCCCCTACTGAACAACCTACAAACTAAACACCCCCCCCGCCCTCCTCCGACTCTGCACCGGATGCACCACCACAAGCGAAATCCCCAGGCCGACCGTCAACCCGATCGAGACTGAGATCAGCTGGAGGGCGACCTGGAAGCCGCCGAGGTAGGACGAGGACGTGCCGCTCGTCGTGTCGGAGACAAAGTTGAGGAGACCGCCGTTGCCGAGGCCCGAGGGCACTTGGAAGAGGATGCCGGTGATCTGAGTGGGAGGGGTGGGTGGGGGTGCCTATCGAGCAGAAGGAGAGGGACGTACCATAACGACAAACGCGTTCCCATTGAAGAACCGTCCATACAGATTCGACACAAACCCCACCGCGAACGCCCTATTGACATCATACACCGCCAATGCGCATCTCATCAGCATCTCCCACTTTTCGAAAACACAAAAAAGGCAAAACGGCAAGGAGGGAAAGGGAGGAGGGGAAGGGAGGAAGGGAGGAAAGACGCACCCAACAGCCGCACTGATATCACTCTGACTCGGAAACTTGGTGCTCGCAAAATGATTCGTCACCCAGCCGATACACGACACCGCTATCAACAGCACCTGTGCATCGATGATACCCACGTCAAAATCAGGGATTTCAAATAATCAAAAATTCAAACATTCAAAAAAGAAAAAGAACGTCCTCCTCAGATCGAAAATCCAAAATCCAAAAAAAACACTCACGAATTCCTTCCGGAAAATAGGCGCCTGATTCCTCAAGCTCAAAAAGAACGAATACATCGGGACCGTCAAGAACGCTACCGTGCACAAAAACGCAATCACCATCAGCACCCATCCCCCACCCCTTCCTCAACCCCCCGAAAAAACGCCACTCACCCCAATACAACCCCGCCGTCCTCTGCCACCACGGCCCCAGCGGATCATGACTCTCCACACAACTGTAATCCGTCGCCCCCACCACCGTTTTCCCCACCATCTTCTGATACATCTCCGCCCCCATCGCCAGCCCAAAGCCGAGGAAGAGGGAGTACATGAGCGCGAAGCAGAGGCGCACGGCGCCTGCGACGAGCGAGCGAGAGGAGATTTCGAGCGAGCCGCAGAGGACGATGAAGCCCTGGCAAAGGGAGGGCGTAAGCGGGGAGGGGAGGGGAGGGAGAAGGGGGAAAAAGCACCCACCGGTAAAATCAACACCACCGAACTCGATGCCACCGCCGAATAACAAAAATGATACGTACTGGCCCAACCCCGCGCTCACAAAGCTCAACAGCGTCGCAATCGTGATCTCAAAAATATTGCTGTACAGCTCGTTCCGCACGCTCAGCAGCTGCACGCCCACCAGGAGCGCACCGAGCGGGGCGACGACGAGGCAGTCGATGAAGCTGCCGCTGAAGGACACGCTGCAGATCGCGGCGGAGCACATCCCGCCGATGAGCACGAGTTGGACGCGGTTGTAGAGGGGCTTTTTGTGCATGAGCGCGTCGAGGGCGGTGGTGGCGGAGGAGACGGACATGTCGTCGTGGATGACCTACGGCGTAGAAGCATTAGCTGATCAGGCGTCGATTTCACCCCCTATACGCGTAGACACTCACAGCCCAATACAACCCATGCGCATCCCCCAACTTTCCTAGATCAAGCGCACTCCCCTGCCTAATAAACTTGACGTTACTCGTCCCCGTCGCACTGTCCTCAAACGAGATGAGCATCACGTCGGGCAGATACAAGCAGCTAAGCTCCACATCCAGCACACGCGCCGTGCTCTGGATCTGCGCCTGCAGACGATGCGTTGGCCCGCCAAACATCATCATCGCGCGCGCCAGCTTCAGGATGAATTCTTGGCGCTGGAGGATGGCGGCGACGTGGCGCGTGATCTGTCGTCGTCGTTGTCATGGTCAGCAACACGCAGGAGCCAAACACAGGGCGGAGAGCAACGCACATAAACCTCCGCCTTCTTCCTCTTCCTCCTCTTCTCCCTCTCCCTCTCTCTCTCCCTCTTCTCCCTCCTCTCCCTCTCCTTCACCTCCCTCGCCTCCTTATGCAACCTCTCCTTCTCCGCCCTCTCATTCGCCTCCTTCGCCTCCCTCTCCGCCCTCTCCACCCACTTTTCATCCAGCCATTCGTCCCGCTCGCGGTCGACGGAGAGAGAGCCGGGAGTGCCGCTGGGGGTGCCGCTATGGCTTCCGGTGCGGCTCATGAGGGGCGTATTGCCACGGCTGCCTACAAAACCGATGCAACACATCAATCCAAACGCCTCCCCAAAACCGATGCAACACATCCATCCAAACGCAAAAAGCACTCACCGCCACCAAACCCAATCCCCACTCCCACCCCCGTCATACCCCCCAACGGCGTCCCAGGCAAGGAAAAGCCCTTGACGTGTCCGTGTCCGAGTCCAAGCCCATGCCCATCCAATCCGAGCCCATGCGACGACGCATGTTCCAAGTCGCGCAACACCCCACTCCACCTCTTCCTTCCCGTCCCAGCCCCCGTCTTCACGCCTTCCGTCCCAGCGCCGGTTCCCACCGCAGCCATCGCACTCGGGCTCCCGCCCACCCCTACAGATGTAGACCCAGATCCGGATGCAGATGCAGAAGCAAGCGACGACTCCGGCGTCCCCCCTTCCCCTTCACCGGCACCATCACCGGCAGGCGGGGCCACCGCCACCACCTCATGCTCCCCCCCCTCCTCCAACACAGCCCCCATCCCCATCCCGTTCCCCATCGCCCTCTCCACAAGCGACTGCGCGCTCCTCGTCCGCCTCACCCCCTCCTTCCTCGCGCTCCTCGCGCCGCCGCCCTCGCCCCCCCGCCTGCCGCCCTCCCCTCCGCCCACGTCGCCCCCCTCGCCGGGACTCTCGCCCTCCCCAGACGGCTCATCCACGCTATACCTAACCAGCCCCCACCCACCCCTCCTCTTCAGATTCGGCCCCAGCGCCGCAGACGTGGGCGCAGCTGCACCGGCGATGTTGCCCGTGCTGGCGATGAGCGGGCCAAAGACGCCTGCTGCCGTGCGTGATTTGGGGGGGACCGAGGGGCCTGCAGCGAGAGGGGGGCGTCAGTGAGACGACGAAGGGACACGAGACACGGCGGAAGGAAAAATTGGAAACTCACCCGTCAAGCCGAAACTCGCCAACGGCTTCACGACATCACTCGCAAACTCGCGCAAGAGCGAGGAGGCAGAGTCGGAGGTGAGCGTCCTGCCGAGCGCAGGCGGTCGCGGGTCGTGGCTTCCCTTCTCTTTC